AGATTATTTAGACACCACTGACAAACAGTGAAGGAAAAACATCGTGAGGAAACCTGGGCTTATAATTTCTAATTATAAGTTTGAAATCGCCAACTCGCATTGAGCAAGCGTGGTGATTAAAGCTCAAACCTTCTCCGTGTGAGAAGAGGCTTTGCTCAGCGGTGGGCATTTATAGGCTGTTGATGATGATGATGATGATGAAACAATATCCATAGCATTTTAAGAAAATTATTCCTAGACCTCCCTTTACCAGTAAGATTTCTCCAAGGTCACAAGAGCATATTCAATTCATAATAATTTCAAAATAACCTTTAACATATTTTTCACAGTTCTACTCCTGCTGCTAGTCTCAATGGCATCAGGTCTGCCGTACCAAGGCTTGTCTGCAGCAGACCTGATTAGCTGCCCCATGTGCCACGGGATCCTGGACCCTGTCTGCGCATCAAACGGACGCACCTACTGGAACCTGGAATGTGCCAAGTGCTTCAATTCAGAACTTATTGTAGCTCGTAAAGGGTTTTGTCCAAATCTCGCTATCGAATTGGAAGGTTAAATTAAATGTTTAAAATATATGTTCATCTTATTATTTTGATAATTGATTCGTATGCGTGGTCTGATCTGGTAAAGTTTGTATGTTACTTTTTTTATGGAAGTAAACGAGCAGACGGATCACCTGATAGTAAGCGATCAGCGCCGCCCATGGACACCCGCAACACCAGAGGAGTCAAAGGTGCGTTGGGACTTTTAAAAAGGAATACGCTGTTTTCTTGAAGTTTTGAAGGTCGTATCGGTTCGGAAATACCGCCGACGACAGATCATTCCACAGTTTTGCTGTGTGAGCCAGAAAGTATCGTGAGAATGCATGTGGAATTGTGAATGTTCCCTATGTATGGTGACGTCGAAACACGTGAGCTTGTACATTACTTTGAACTGGTAAAGCAGTTGTTAAATAATGTAAAGAAGATGGTTGACACTTCAGGTGATCGAAAGACTGGCTACCATCTTGGCCAAACGTTAAGCATTGCCATCCAATGTGGCAATGCTGAAAGCCTTACCTAATGACAATACGGTAGTTGACAACTAGTCAAATTCAATACTTTTATCGAAACGTAAAAAACGATACTGTTCTATGAATTTTGTACGAAATACTAGCTTATGACGTCATCATATTTTCGCGTCAAATAGCACACTTATATCTGAAGAAAATGCAAAAATAAATCGAAAATTAAGTAGAGGTATATCGGCAAATCAATGAATGAAAGTGTAACTATTTTTCAATATTTAATTGGATTGAAAAGTCTTTTATGTAGTTTAGTATTTTTGACCCAGGAAACTACCCAATTATGAGGATAATTGTTTTGATGCGTTACGTTAGGTTTTCTTGTTTTTTTCCCTATCTATCCTATTTTTCTTTTGTTGTAAAACATAGTCATTTTAAACCACTTAAACCTAAATGAACATCTACATATTAATAGTATTCTCTTCTTGGTCGCTTGATGGAATAATTATAAAGATTGTATAAATTACTTAAGTACTGGTAATAATTGCATCATTGTTTGATAACGCAATTTCTCACTTGATTCATCATCATACAACGTAGCAATGCTGCCAGCCTTCTGGGAACGTTCCCCAGTCACAGTGAGTTTCCTTTTTTCTTTTAGTTTGTAGGTCATCATCATAACATCACGCCTTCTATCCCCGAAGGGGTAGGTAGAGGTGCACATTACGGCACTTAATGCCACTGTACAGTGTAACACCCACTTTTCACTATTTATGTTATGAATTCGATGTAATAGGAGGTGAGCGAGCCTATTGCCATATAACATGTACATATTTATTTATTTTCTTTGCTTGTTATTTAAGTTTCCTATGTTTGCCTAATCTGCGTACTCCTCTCGGAAAAACCAGCGTAAAGTGGCATATTATGTGTTTTATTATCTAATCTGTATACAAATTAAGGTTTTTTAAAGAAAGTATGTATGTATATATGTAGTACATATATAACTATAAACGGAGGGTACAGGCTATAAATATAATTGGTAAATAAATATGTCTTATGTGTTATCTCAGTTTTGTTCTATTCGTCTACAAGTTATATAAGATATGCGTAATGTCGCGTCTATTGATAAAACTATAATAACCAAGGTATTAGGTAAATATCATGCATTTCGTAGACTTGATTCTTTGGCGCGTAGGAGCTCTAAGTTTGGAAGGCGTAGGTCTCCCTAGGGACCCTCCGGCGTCCTACATAGAACTTCATATTTGATCATGTCATGTCACTCCGTAGGTACATGGAAATCAAAAACGCTTTTACTCGACTTGCATCTTTTTTTGAGGGGGTAATCATCCAATCCTCCTGCCTTGGGTGAGAGATAGTGTCAGGCTCTTATTAGGTGAAAATCTATCTGTTGCAAGTCCTGCTTCTAGTTTGAGCCTCTGTAACCCGGTAGGTCGTCCACAGCCCCGGGTACCAGACTACACCTGCGTTTATATAAATTGGCTAGCCACTTCTGTCTCTGTAATGTATGAAAATTATATTTCAACTGTGTATATTTACGACTGCCTTGTTGGCCGAGTGGTCGTAAGTGCAACTGCCGGGCAAGGGGTCTCGGGTTCGGTTCCCGGGTCGGGCAAAGTGTTACTGGGTTTTAAAAAATTCTCAGTAGTAGCACGGAGTCTGGAATTGTGCTCGGTATATGGCAATAGGCTCACCCCCTATTACATGGGACTCATAACATAAATAGTGAAGATGCCACTGTACAATGTACTAGCCTACCCCTTCGGGGATAAAAGACGTGATGTAATGTGTTATGTATAGAGGTATATTTAAGACAATGTACTTTAAATACTTTTGTACACACATGTGATTTAATACAAAGTTAATATTTTAATTAATATGTCATCAGCTAACAATTTAATTCTATAACAAACACGAATTCTGTTTTATCTTTATTGCGTTTTACAACAATTATACCTAACTACAATAAAAACATAGAACTACAACACATGAATGATATACGGTCGATATTTCCGGCTTTGTCTCCCTTAAAAAAGTTAAGGATTTATTACACCATATCTTTTAAAACCCACATATTAAATTTACGTACATAATTATAATGTAAATTACAACACGCACTTACCATATTTTTTATGGGACAAGTCCGTCATAACACCTCCCAAAACCGCTGCAACTCCTACAGGAGTGTACTCTACTGTAGATCCTGGTTTGTAAGCCAGGATCTACAGTAGAGTAGATACAACCAAGAAAATACCCGAACACTGCACTTACCATATGTAGTACTTTAAGTGTGGGAGAGCCATGCTTCAGCACGAATGGGCCGGCTCGGCCGGAGTGACACCACGGCTTCACAGAAAACCGACGTGAAGCAAAGCTTGAGTTGTGTTAGGACATGAAGATACACCCATTTCTATAACCTAACCTGTATAATCTGTACAGGCCCCTTGTTATTAGCGTGTCAAATAAACGTTTTTTCTTCTTCTTTTCCTATAGTAACGCTATGGATCCACGACGTGGTTGTCACCCGCGCCTGCCGCGGCTACAGGAACACGGCCGCGCCCGCCGGGTACAGCGGGAGCCGCAAACAACCGCAACCGCGGGTGTAAAACGCGTCGGGAAATGTGCTTTAATTTTTTACATACATATCTGTATTCTACAAAGGCTGCGGGGCCTGGGACGCGCCGGACTTCAGTGTTCCGGTGTTTTCATGGTTGTATCTACTGTAGATCCTAGCTTACAGGAGTTTCAGTAGTTTTGGGAGGTTGTGGCGGGAATGTCCCATTAAAAAAAAAAGGCTGCGGGGCGCGGGAGGAAATGGCTCCGTTAGTCCTTAGCCTAACAATCAAGAGCTCAATAGTCGGTCATTCTCAGTTTCAGACATCACAATTACAGTTTCGTAAATGTATCCATGTTTATTATATGGTCAAGTGTTCATTCATTAAGTCCAGGGGCCCAGCTCTACTATTTAACCTAGCGTGACTCGTGTCGTTAATTACTAAATTGCTGAAATACAGCGACGTAGTGATCACGTGAAATTAAACCTTTAAGGCAAGATTACTTTACAGATCCGGAGCTGCGGACGGTCTTGCAGGGTTACCAGGGCTCCTGATAAAAGCAGGAGTCAAGAGCCACTCTCTCTCTTGCCTCACCGTCTCACCCAAGGCAGGTGAATTCGTTCGATAATTTTCACATCCAATGACTTCTACAGAGAGAAAAAGACTTACTTTAAAATAGTTAGGTAGTTTTCTCTCACAAAGGCCAAGTTTTCAGATAAAGGATAAGTATTTTCTTAAGGTAGGCTTTTCTTCAAATCAAAAATATCTTATTATTTGAATACGTAGATACAGAGATAGAATAAAATAATGAAATGGGTAGACCAAGTCTGTCTAGTTAAAAATGGGTTGTATAAGTTAAGATAGTTATATTTTTTATTGTAATAGAAACCAACCCATTAGCATCAAATCAAATACGAATTAAACGTAAAAACAAAATTCTCTTTGAGTTGATTAATTCTGTTGTTTTTAAAACTATCCTTTTTCTTTGAAAATTGCTAAATGGACCGTCAATATTTACATTAAATTTTGGACTCCGAAAAGACTGGTAGCCAAGTTGTCAGTACCATTTAATTGAGACAGACACACAGACAAATTGATCTCAATTGAATTGTTACGAAACTGTAGCTAAATTCCATATGAAGATAATTAGTTATTGTAAGTACGTCGCGAGTGTACGTCTTGCTTTCATTGTGATAAATTGACTATGTTACAGCGGTGATATTTTTTAAAAGCGTAAAAAAAATCAACCGCTCAATTTTTTTTATTTATTTTTTTAAATGGCTTAATTGATGATGAACTGAATCGTGTTCCTAATTTAAATAAATCGAGTAAAATATTAATTTAATTTCTATTTTGACAATTTAGGATTTGGTTTAAAAAAACTTCAATTCTTTTTTCAAAGTTAGTTGTTAGTGATTATTTCAAAAATGGCGGACAAAAAGTGCGAGGGCAATAAAGCGTGTGAAGTCTCAAAAATATTTGAAAATTTTGGGAGATACCAAATAATACAGTACTCATTGATATGTTTTCCTGCAATGTTCGTCACTATGATCAATATTAATTACATATTTGCTGCTGGAGATATCAATTATAGGTGAGTGAATTTAAGGTTCAATTTTGAGTATTGCTATCTGGTTAAGTAAAGCAATTGTTACCAGATTTAACTGGGTCCTATTTAAGATACTTGGGTTCAGAATCGAAGCTCAATCAACATAGTTAATGGTCATCTAACCGCTAAAACGGTGTTTTTGCTAATCTGACTAAGTGACTATCCACAGGTTTTGCAATTCATAGGATAGCATGACTAATGAAAATATCTACGCTGTCATTAGTTGAAAAGTCCTCTCTCCTAAATTATAATCCAATGTTCAATGTACTATTTAAACTATGTGCCGTAAGTAAATTAAACCTTTTTTAGTTTAATTCACTTTGTACAAGAAAACAATATTTTAATCAGATGTCGAGTGGCCGAGTGTGAAGAACAGAATTCAAGTTTCTACCCAGCCTGGTGGCCAAACCAAACCATAGACCGGTGTTCTTCCCCTGTGCTGCTAGAAGACCATACTCAACCATATTGCACCAACCAAAGCTTTAGTGAGGAGCTGAAAACCTGCACTGAATGGATTTATGAGTCAAATAATACTATTATTGCAGAGGTATTTTTTTACCATTACTGTTATTCTTTCATTCTTCTTTTTTCATTCAAGCTGTTCTTCTGTGGAATGCGCTGCCCAAGAAGATCAGAATAGCAACAAATCGCAGGTTCTTTAAATTTAAAGTCCGCGAGCATTTAGGTATTTAAGCATTGGCATATTGAAAACATTTGAGGAAACCAGTTTGACTAAGTTTTCTATAAGGTCTTGTACTCAATATTTATGTAGAAGGTATAAGTATTCGTTTAGCAATATATTTGATATAGTATATTAATAGCAATAGCAGTATATTTATATATTTATTTTATGGCTATTTATATGTGTAGTATACATAATATTATTTAATAATTACTTTTTTTTAATGTGTTCTGGCTTCGCACCGCTTCATTTCTCTGCACTTTCCTAAACTTGATTGTCAGAGAATGCCTTAAGGCATTAAGTCCGCCATTCACTGTATTTTTCATTCATATTTTTTTGTGAAGAAGTATAAATAAATAAAATTACAAGGGGGAAAAACGGGCCCCAGAGACTAACAGCCGGAATAAATTACCGATCTCAATCCAAATTCGGCCTTCTTCGGAATCAGATCGATTTGTAACATTAATCGATTGGAGTTTCTGTCAAAATGTCTGCTCCCGCCTGGGTGACGCGCGAGGGAGTGTCAGACTCTTATTGACTAAAAACCATCCTTCTCTTGCACGTCGAGCCGGAGCCCCAGTAACCCGTTAGGTTCTCCCCGACAATCGGTGACAATAACTGCTAATGCCCGTCACCATGATAGTAAAACAATAGACTAAAGTTTTCAAAAATGATGTATTTCTGTTACTGTTGTAAAAATAGAACAAAATAAATATTTAAGTAGGACTCTCATACAATAAACATCACACCTAAAAAAACCAGAACGATTTGTACAACAAATAAGGTATTAGTCAAAGTTAATATTTGTTTATTACGTATTTGATAGCTGAATAAAGTAATGAGATTGTTTATTTATAACTTTTTTAGCATAATTAAAATAAGTCTGTACTTCTTGTAATTATGCTAAAAAAAATCTGTACTTATTGTAATTATAGTAAAAAAAGTTATAAATATCGATGGATAATCCTGTGATTATCCATTTAAAATAGCAACCAAAATCCACTAAGGTTTAAACTTGTGCCTCGTTGGCCGAGTGGTCGCAAGTGCGACTCCCGGCAAGGGGTCTCGGGTTCGATTCCCGGGTCGGGCAAAGTATTACTGGGGTTTTTAAAAAAAATCTCAGTAGTAGCTCAGAGTCTGGAATTGTGCCCGGTATAAGGCAATAGGTTCACCCCTATTACATGGGACTCATAACATAAATAGTGAAAAGTGGGTGTTTCATTGTACAGTGGCATAATGTTCACCCTTGCCTACCCCTTTGGGGTTAAAAGGCGTGATGTTATGTTATGTGTTTAAACTTGTGCTATCATGATACAATCTCAAAATCGAATATTTATAAAATGAGGTTTTACAAATATATATTTTAATGGCGCTAACAATATAGACAACCTAGGATAAACAAACACATTTCTAAATAATATTTATGTAATATTGCTTTAGTTTACATTTTATGTTCTTTTGCGTAATATATATTTTTATTTCTGAGGGTAAGCTATTAATAAGTCGTAAACGAGTTTAGTTCACGTAATTTCCACGTGAACTTGTCCATACCAGTTCACGTGCAAAAACATTATCTAACAATCATTCGCTAACAAAAACATTGTCATCAAGAAAATCTAGATTTCTTACGCCCGAATATTGAAAGGTTACTCAATTTTAAGTTGTACCACGTCCCGTGGACTCCTTGCTTCAGTCACATAGAATAGAATAGAAAAGACAATGATGTGGATGTAAGAGGTGACATAATTAAACACATTGTTATCTCTGTCATTTTACAAAAAAAATTTAGAGAAAGAACTATACTTAAGCGCGACTTAAGTGACATTTGAGTATTTGGATATAAGCTGTTTATAGCTACTTCTAACCTGACGTCTTTACCTTAAGGTTAAATGGTAGTCCATCACCTACAGATTATTATTTAAAGCGCCAGATGTGTTCCTTTTGCATTAATATAAAAAATAAATAAATATTTTAAAATTTATTTTCAGTTGTTACTTCTTAAAACAGTAAATGAAAAAGGACGAAAAGAAATTGAACAATAAGCCCCAATTAGGCGCCAAAGCACTCATCCGCATCATTATATGGCAATGCTAATTTTTTGATCGAAGCAATATCCATCTGGTCTCTTGCCGTCAACACGTACCAAACAAATAGGCTCTAATACGACTGTTACTCCGGCTGAGGCAAGAGCACGACGAATAGGTACTGTCGTTGATGCTGACATGACGAACCATTTTTTTTTTAAGGGGGGAAAATCATCGAATGACTGCTCCCGCCTGGGTGAGGCGGAAGGGAGTGTCAGACTCTTACTGACTAAAAACCACCCCGTTCCTTCTCCTGCACGTCGAGCCGGAGCCCCGGTTACCCGTTAGCCATAGTAGCCTGCACTTGTGCAACAAGAAAGACCAAAGAGAAAGATCTTTCGTCTTTAGGTTCGATACAACCACGTGCCAATTATATTTGATTTCCTAATTGTTACACGATTATCTTTACCATTTATACCACACTTAATCATGTTTATAATAACTAACTATGTATGTACGATTAACGGAGTAATTTTGAATTAGTTTTATACGCTCGTGTCGTTCCGCAGTCCCATAGCTATACGTAGGGTGTGACATGATATCTATACTTATAATAAATCTGTAGAGAGGTCAATTCTGTACATAAAATATATTTAAAAAGTAACTATCAAGGGGTGGTTAGGGATCGCTACTGATGCCAAAAATGCAATCAGTAAAATTTTTGTCTGTCTGTCTGTCTGTCTGTCTGTATGTTCGTTATGGAAACAAAAACTATTCGATGGATTTTAACGAAAGGAGAATGGCAGGTTTGTATGGAAGTTTTGTACCGCTATAAAATTTTGTATTAGTCATTGTTTTAACCAAGCGAATAGTCTGAACGATAGACATTTTTATTATGAAGTTTAGAAAAAAATTACATATTTTTAGAACTTGGGGTTCAAAAGTTATTTCACTTTGAAAATGTGCAAAAGGTACGTTAAGGTGGTACCACACTTGACATTGCGTAGTCGCTTCATTTGTTAAAATATTTGTAGACTACGTACAAATGGCGTCCAAATAGTATCTCTATATGTAATGGCGTGCAAATATAGAGCAAACAAAGAAGAATAAATCCTCCACACATGTTCTTTTTTGGCCGAACACTACAAATACGCAACGTCAAGTGTAGAGCCACCGTTAAGCAAAATATCTATTACAAATGACAGATGACAGTTAACGGAAAAATGTCAATGTATGTGCTCTCTTGTGGTTGTTTACAAAAAACAAAAATCTAAACACTGCTCGCTACTCAAGTGACTATTACACTTTGTATTATTAGGAATGATCCTGTTAATTCAGAAAGCATGATGTACCAATAGAGTTTTAAAGAGTATGTCTCACAATCTATTTCATTTCTTAGGTGCCTACGAAAATGCAAATTCATAATGTAAGCGACTGTCATTGGGTAGAAGGCCTACATTTAGCAGTGGAAGTCTTGTGGCGGATATGATAAAACTAATTTCTCACTTCACCTTGAACCTTGCGGGCAGACGCAAGATTTAATGTGTAAATTCAAGATTCGAGGCAGAGGCCTGATATACAAATAGTCTTTAAGTTAATTCGATTTAAACTTAAGCTTAGCTGTTTGAGAAAGTATTTCTTCTGAAAACTGGTTGCTTAGCACGCGTGTAAGGTTTAATTTCTAATAAGTAAGTCAAATTAGTAGAATCATCAACATTTTCATCATTAAGTCTATAAGTGGCCACTGCTGACCGAAGCCTCTTCTCGCATGGAGAAGGTTTGAGCATTAATCACCATACTAGCTCAATGTGGGTTGGTAATTCAAACTTATAATAAGAAATTATAAGCCCATGTTTCCTCACAATTCGTTAGAGGTGTCTTTGTACTTTCTTAGATTATTTACATACATACATACATAACTTCACGCCTGTCTCCCATGGGGGTAGGCAGAGACTAAGGAACGCCAATTACTACGATTCTTACATACCTCTTTCGCTTCAATAACAGTCATCAATCTTTTCATGCATGCTCGTCGGTTAAGGGTACTTTTAATTTGGCCCTTCTTTAATATATCGCATAGATATATAAAAATATATTAGATTATTTAATATACGAATAACTCGGAAAAAAGACACATTGGTACTTTGCTGTTGGTAGGTTTCGAACCCGCACTCTCATGCATGAGAAGCAGGCTTCTTAAAGCTCCAGGCCACCACATCACAACTAAAGAAAATGAAAATGAACATTTTTGGTATAAAACTAAAGCTATCTAAATTAAATATGGCATTTATTTTATAGATTGATTCTTAAAATCACTTTTATCAAGATAGAATTTACAGTTACTTACTAGGTTAAAATAAAACAAATGTATTATTTTAAAATTCTTTTATTTCATTGTATTCAGGTTGTTTCTAGGACTATTTCATCTAAAAAGAGAACAGGCAGTGTCATAGGTACAGCAGACATCAATTGCTGATATCTGTAAACAAGTAAGGTAACTGTAAATAAAGTAAACAAAAGTACATTTTTTCCTTTAGTTTTATATGTTATAATAATATGTCTGATTCCCTACCTTAAAATGGAAAAGATAAAAATAAATATTTGATTACATTAATTGATTTTATAACATTTATTATAGTTATTTGTATATCAGATCACATTATTTGTATTACAGATCATAGGAGCTCAAACAGCATGCTAATAAATTATAATTATAACATGAGTATAAACCAACATGAGTAGATACATAATTATGTAGGTACATTATAATGAGAATGCATACTTGTTGAAGCTCTGAGAGCCGAACAACAATTTTCCGGCCTCATCTGTTCTACAAATGGCAATGTTAAACTGAGGCTTAGTCCATGTTTACATAACACATTACTTCCTGATAGTGAACACTGTGAGGTGGTATGTCAAGTTGTGGTTTTATAGTTTCGACTCTTGTATGGTCTCTCAGTCAGTATGGAACATGATCTTCATCATGGGAAGTAAGCTAAAATAAGTAATATTATTAGAATATGATATTGACCTTAGATTACACTGTAAATAATAATAGTATGGTTAAATTATGCTTTATTACCTCTTGTGGCTGAATCCAATCAAATACTATATGAGCCAGTCTTTAGCCCTGTTCTTTGGCGCCTTCAATTAAAACCCTGCGTCACCTTATCCTTGCAATGAATCACCCATATTCGACACAAACATGCCGATGACCAATTTGTTTGCTGGACATACTTTCAGCAACATCCCGATACATTGCTAATTGCCAGCAAGCATTGCAAATATGGTTGGTAGGAGAGATCTAGAATAAAATGATACATTATGGGTAGATAACACTATGCGCCTTCTTTTATTCAGGCAACATGGTGACTTTCGATATGTTATCCGGGTAAACTTGTTACTTACATCTCTAGGATAAGTCCGCAATGGGATATTGTTGACCACGTCTAATCTTCACTCTCATTTCCTAGAGCGTCTCATGTGCGACAAACTCTGAATGCAATTAATGCACTGTAAATTCATCATCACGACAGATTACAACACACTATGCACAAAATAATGTAAATAAGTGTCTTTTCGCAATTGTCACAACAATGACGCCAATAACACCAATTTGGGCTACGGAGGAACGGTTGCCAAACTCAACGTATCACCAGATGAATAAAATAACTTCAAATAACATCGCATTTGAAACAAACAGCAATGCGCCAGTCAGTGTTGCCAACCCCAGCATAGAGTAAAACTGTAGATTTGCTTGAAAAAAACTGTAGAAAACTGTAAATATAAAATTAAAAAACAGTAAATCTACAGTTTTATCTTATATTATATTTTGTATAATTGTATGAATGGAATACATTATATGGAGGGTATTAAAAATAAGAAAACTCGTATAATTATCAAAATTTTTATCAAATTAAATGGCGTAACATTTCAAGTATTACTAGCTACTATGTTATTTTCAATTTCTAAGTCTTCCTGATTTTCCGTTTCATTTTTATTTTTATTGAATTCGTATATATTTTTATTGAATTTTTTAAAATGGTCATTTGTCACATTGAACTCGAAACAATTATTAATTTCTGACTTTGTGTGCAAGGTACCTTTTATTGTGGTCGTAGAAAGTTTATTTCTTAGTTTGGTTTTCATAACATTAATGCTCGAAAACAAACGTTCTACCGTAGCGGTACTGTGAGGCAAACATAGAACCTTTCTGGTTAAAGTCGATAATAGTGAACCGTCGCCTTTTTTTAATTTGGAAACATTCCACCAAAATTCCTCTACATTAGGCGTATCAGTCTTATCAAAATTTAAATTGGTATTACGCAGATTTCTCCATTCTCTATCTAATTCTGTTATATTTTCTGGAAAAATACCTGGGAAATAATACAACATCTCAGAAATTGAAGTTATACGTTTTTGGGTCAAATCATGACCTAAAATCGCTTGTGGGTTCAACATCTGTAAACACTTCAGTGCCAGACGTTCTTTATCATCGAAAGCAAACCTTTGTTTGATTTGGTTTACCTGAAGCTGACTTAGTGTACAGACAAATAAAATAGATGACGCTAGCATCTTGCATAAAAACTGTAGAAAACTGTAGATTTCGAGGCTTAAACTAAAAACTGAGAGAATCTCCTAAAAACTGTAGATCTACAGTTAAAACTGTAGGGTTGGCATCACTGGCGCCAGTATTGACAAATTAATTGTCAATGTCATCAAGACAAATGCCAGTTCAACATTGCCATATTCAAGTTTGTTAAAATGTTAATTATTATTAATAATCCATGTAAACGTAGATTTAGATTGGATGTAGATTTTTATATTTACTTATAAAAATGTTTGAAATGGAAAGGAAAATATTTCATTGATAGATATTAAAATAAATGAGTTTATGAAATAGCGACATTCAATATGCTCTGATTTCATCTTTACGCATGGCAACTTTGTAAACGTCAATCGCGATTTGTTTTAACGTTTGGAAACGCTTAGTGGATTGATTTTTATCATTATTGAATATCAGTTTTTCTAGGGTTTCCCAAGTTCTAAAAATCTATTAAATATGCTAACATAATGTACTCAGGAGGTTCTATAACGACCCAATTTTTTAATGACAAATCTTTTTTTAGCGAAGCGGTACAAAATCTGCCGTTCTCCTTTGGCACAATTATTCTTCATACTCTTGGGCAGGTTATAGTATACTTTTCATTACGCTACGATCAATAGGAGCAGAGCAGTGAAGGGAAATATTGCGAAAACGGGAGAAGTTACTCCGTTTTTTTAAGCTTCCGTGGCGTGTGCAGGCTTATAGGTTAAATCTGCATAGAAATCATGTATGACGGAAATATTCTCCTTAAAATTATATAAAAAATATTCCTTGACAGCATATGTCTATCTTTTATGGTTGACTCGCAATAACACGTGAAACTCCCGATAGCTTAGCAATTCGGTGATTTCTGATTGTAGAGGTATTTGTCTACTCTAACGTTTACAATACTCATTCATAGACTTTACGCTGTAACTGAAAGGCCAATGGTTGAAATTAGCTTGACTCGATATTATAAATGAAAATATGTGAGTTTATGTGTATGTTTGTTACTCAGTCATATTAAAACGACTGAAGAGACCGGAATGAAATTCGGAACAGAGGTAGGTTATGGTCTGAAGTGATATATAGGCATTTTATCCCTGGGATCGCGAGCGAAGCCGCTGGCAGAAGCTAGTGTATAATAATATTGAAGAACATTATAATGTCTACAAAAAACTCCGCGGTAGCTTAAGTCCAACAATTGTAGTTATGTCACTAAAACAATCCAAATTTCCAAAAATAAATAATTGTCTACCCCGTGCGAAGCCGGGACAGGCTGCTAGTGTATAATAAAATTATACTTAGATATAACGAATCAAAGTTTAGTAGTGCGGGCTAAAACGTCATTTCTACGTATAAAATGTACAAAGAAGTGCGACATTTCAAATCAATATAATTATCATCGAAAGTATTCGAAGATACTCTACCAGATGGACCTGATGGACCCGGGGCTCCGACTCGAATTGCAAGAGAAGGAACGGGGTTTTTTTTAGTCAGTAAGAGTCTGACACTCCCTTCCGCCTTACCCAGGTGGGAGAAAGCATTCGATGATTTCCCCCCTTAAAAAATTGTCTAGAGTGTCTATACTGGTCTGTATCTACCTAGTAATCATTTCCAATTTCGACCTAGTAAACATTCCCGAATCCGTGTAGTTCGTGTTCACTCTTGACTGCGCCATATAAATATAAATCAACTAAAGAATCAATGTTCTTATGTCTTCCAGCTAAATCTGGCCTGTCAACCATGGAAGATAAACCTGATTGGAACCATTCACAGTACTGGAATGCTAGTCTCCATGCTAATCTCAGGTTGGATGTCAGATAGGTAGGTGTCTACTAACTTCTATCATAGAAACTTTAAAAATAATTATTTAATTTATACCCACCTCGGAATTAATCGCACATCTAACCTTTAATCTAATTATTATCGATTGATTTTTCACCAGTTAATAATAATTTGTTTACAAAATCATCCATACTTTTTTAAGAATTTATTTGAAGTGTACAGTATAATTCATTTATTCAAATAAAAAACTTAAATTAAAAACTAACTATTACTTAAAAAAAAAAAAGTGAAGATATTGAAGTGTAGATATTGCAAAAAATATTATCGTTCGCTATGGCTAAGTGAAAATATTTTAGACCTTATAGTTTATTTTGACGAATTGTTGATGGCTTTGTAGTCTTAAGACGGCTACAAATTTTGTAAGTCAGGATTACTTTGTCATAAATCTTCATTTAAATAAACCATCTTCCAGGTTCGGTCGTAAGCCAACGTTCATATTCTGCGTGTGCTGTGGCTGCATTGGCCTCATCAAAACCTTCGTGACCTCCTACTATGTGTACGTCGTCATCGAGTTCTTGGAGGCATCTGTCACAGGAGGTTCCTATGCTGCTGCTATGGTCATAAGTAAGTATACATTAATGCCGAACAAACCATCATTCTCTGAAGACACAAACATTGAGCCCAAGTCTGATTGGGAAGTCGGATTGAGCAATACAGCAATTAACTCTTTGAGTACCGTCATTATAGACACAATTAAAGAACAATAGGTTGCGGTCACCGGTGTTTTAACGGTGTTTGACAGTTTAAATATGCGAAACAATCCAATGGGTCCAATCATTTATTTTAAAGCAGCCAAACAAAAATATGTTCATACTATGAAAATGAATAAAAAAGTTTAAATATATTATTTCTTGGTTTTCAGTGGTTGAGATAGCAAGCGCCAGACACAGGTTATTATCAGGAGTAATTTTCTCATACGCTGTCTACCTCGGCGAATGCTTGTTTGCTGTCATCGCTATGTTCGTGCCCTACTGGAAGACATTACTCCGCATCATCAACGGACCTCTCATCTTCTTCCTCTCGTACATGTTCATTATCCACGAAAGCCCAAGATGGCAAATTGTTAACGGAAGAATAGACAAAGCAAAGGAATCAATCAGAAAAATTGCCAAAATGAACAAAATAAATATCGACTATGAAGAACTGGATACTATAACTGACGTGGATTTAAAATATAAGTTCGATATAGCTGAAAATCAAGTTAAAGAGAGTTATGGTGAAATTTTCAAGTCTAAAGTGATTTTAAAGAGGTTGTTAGTGGTAGGGATGTGTCGGTTTACATCAAGTTTCGTGTACTATGGGTTGATGATCAACTCTGTGTGGTTGCCGGGTGATAAGTATGTGAACTTTTTACTGTCGACCGTGATGTCGTTCCCCGGGGAGATCATTAGTTTATATCTTATGAACAAGTACGGGAGGAAAATACCGTTGATGGCGGGATACTTCATCAGTGGGACAGTTTGTGTCATCTCCGCCTTGGTGCCTGATAGTAAGTATAATTTAAATATACTTGAAACGACGTTGACAAGATGGTAACCTACCTTACCCTGATCAAAGTATAATTAACGATTTGGTTGTTTTTTGTTGTTACACCTATAATTTTATTTTATAAATCAGTATTAGTCAAATAAACGAACTCAGTTATTAAATTCAGCAATAGACGCTAATTGACTATGATGATAAAATAAACTCACAATGAAACTAAAACATGAAATGAAATATTCCAGGATACTTATGGGCGAAGATCACGTTATTCCTGTTGGGTAAAGTGGTCATCTCAGCGTGTTTTACTGGAGCCATCACCTACACCATGGAACTCTTCCCCACGAGTGTGAGGGGCACACTCCTCGGGTTGGGATCCTTCGCGTCCAGGCTCGGTGGCATGCTGGCACCTTTGTCGCCAATACTGGTAAATATTTAGAAAAGATTTCACTGTCCTGTTTTAGCTTTTCAAATAACTCTAATGCAATACAAATGGTATAAAACTGGAACTGAATTGTGATAATCGAAAGGCAAAATGAAGAAAAATAAGGGCTACAACGAAATTACTATTATTACGTGTAAATGATACTATTACAATCTTAGTTAGAAGTGAGATGTAAGAAGTATAAATATTGCAACACAAAAATACACATATGATTCATTACGATAGTTAAAAATTTATACACCAGTGTCATCTTGGAACGGATAAAACGTAATAGATAACATCGTTAAAAGTATCTACTCTAGATGTCTATCATTCAATTCTTATTCTCTCTTTTCCAGAACACAATATCGACGGCGTTACCATTCACATTTTTTGGATGTTCAGCGATCATAACCTCTTTGTCACTCTTCCTCACTCCTGAGACAAAGAACACACCTCTCTACGACACCATCAAACAAGTCGAGGAAAGCGAGAGAAGAAGAAAAGAGAATAATACAGAGAAAGTTGTAGAACGATCTATGGACACTATTAGCAGTCATATTTAAGTAGTTTAATGTACAATTTTAAGTAAAAGTATTAATAAGTTCCTAATTTTCGTTTTGATTTTCACACCTAGGTACCTATACAAATGAAATGAAATAAAATGAAATGAAATACGTTTATTCGGCATAAGACATGCACGCCAGAAAAGACATATAACAATAAAAAGGTATAAAAACAGAAAAATAAAAAGATAAATTATAAAACTAAAACTGCCTCGTTGGCCGAGTTGTCGCAAGTGCGAATGCCGGGCAAGGGGTCTCGGTTTCGATTCCCGGGTCGGGCAAAGTATTACTGGTTATATAAAAAAAATTTCAGTAGTAGCACGGAGTCTGGAATTGTGCCCGGTATATGGCAATAGGCTCACCCCCTATTACATGGGACTCATAACATAAATAGTGAAAGGCGGGTGTTACATTGTACAGTGGCATAATGTGCACCTCTGCCTACCCCTTCGGGGATAAAACGCGTGGCGTTATGTTGTTGTTGTATAAAATTAAAACTAAAACAAGCTAATAATACAGGTGCAACATACTTCGCGGTATTGGCGGACATGCCCAATCCGAACGGGTCACTAACTCAGCATAGAGGTAAAGCTGGGCACAATGAGCACTCAACACTGATTTTCAGTTGGCACCCCTGCAGTGACGCACGGACGAAAGCAACACACATTGTACTTACAAGCTCTTTCCTTCCTTTGCTTTCCTGTAAGAACCGGAATCTACAGAGTATGTTCCATCATAATAGATTTCTACTTACTATTTAGTACGATTAGGTACATACTTCTTTAGTTTTAATAATTTAAACCCGAATACTGAAAGGCTACTTAATTTTAACTTGTATGTACTTATATATCGTGCCATCTCAGTCATTCTATATAGAATTTGTAGTGACAGAACTATACTTAAGCGCTTCTTAAAATTTAGTGGCATTTGAGTATATGGACTATGTAGTTCATACATTTGGTCATACAAACATGTCATTATGATTATCGTCATCTGTTTTTTCAATCAAAATAGCAATTACCTACTGAATGTTCTTTAGACTACGAATGCTTATGTCACTTCTACTGTGTGACTAGAAATGACTTTGCTATGTTCTACAGCCAAGATTAATATTCATTTATTTTCACAATCCTTAAAAGTAATTCATAATTATTATAATTTCTATATTAATAATGGCTGCTGCACTACTATTACACCTCTGCCTACACCATTACAAACAACAAGCTCTAAAATTATGTGAACTACAAAAATAAAGCCATATTTCTTCATATCCATGCAAATAAGCATACGTTAAATAAAAACCCAGGTACTTTTAAGAAAATAGATAAGGTTACGCCATCTATTGAAGGCATGACACTTGTTGTAAATACCTAAGTTTCACAACAATTTCAACGAAAACGTAGATGGCGCTAGTTTACTCACTAATTTACGGAGTGCGTGGTGATATGAACTTTAATTTTTTATTAACAGGCGTAGGTATTTTGGAAAACAAATAAAGAAATCCATCAATTAAACATTTATTTACTTACAATTTAGTTTAAACTTAGTGTAAAAATTGGAGGCGTTTTGTCTTAAACTATGCTTACATACCTACTATTACTTTAACCCAGGTAAATTATGATCTATATTCTAAGCAGGAACTGCATCAGCATAAGCCTTGACCTTGGGTAAGGAGTATACTCTGTCCTTTACCTGCTGCAAGGCGGGGTACTTCTGTCCAAGATCAGGCATACGCATCATAGCGCTCAAGTAATCAAATAGACCCGCAAACATGAAGTCAGCCCATGTCAACTGTAATAGGGAGAAAGTATAAATTAACAACAGGAGAAATTACCGCGCCATCTATTAGTAACTATACGAATCACAAACTTTAGTAGATAAGCCAAGAAAAATTGACAGTCGAAAACTACTAATGAAGTGGGACCATTGATAAGTTTGATCATTATAAGGGACTTAGTATTGTAGTGACCTGACTATTATAGATATAAATTATAGCAAAGCAATTTATGAAATTTCGTGTTTTGTACCTTTCCTAAAGCGACGTGACCGTTGTTCTTAGCAAAGAGAGCATTAAGCATTTCTAGGGAGTCTGGGAAAGCTCCTTTAGAGAGCTCTTTATATTTCTGCTCCTTAATGACCTCGTCCTTTTCGTAATGTGCTGATGCCGCCTCTGTAAGAATTAAGTAATTTATCGGTAAATTTTTTACACTCATCACAATACACGGAGAACTATTGTGAACATCAAACAAAATTCCATTATTAACCTGCTTCTTCCAAATCCAAAATCATTTATGTTTTGTAATACTCACTTATACGAAGATCATTGATGAGGTAGACGTTCTGGTCGATCTCCAGATTATCTTCCAGGGTATCTCCAGTCAGACCGTACTTGTTACCCAAGTACCGAGCGATGGCGATACTCTGAGCGTACTGCTTGCCGTCAAACTCTATGACTGGCATCTGTCCAAAGGGAGTATCTGGAAAATGAAGGAGGATTTTTCTTAAAGATCGTAAGCTAGTTCCTTTATGCTCATAAAGCTGTAGCAGAAAAGAGAAGATCAAGAAAAATGAAATTCGTAAGGTGATGTTTAAATAAAATATAACTTGTAGCTAGTGAGTGAATTCACAATAAGTGTATTGTGAATTTGAAACTCATTCATTTCAGATAACATGTTATCAAAAATCGATATAATAGCTTCGTAATACATATTTCACCATAATATTTTTACCATGTTCATTCATCAAGAAATAGCAAATCACACACACTTATCACTCATTCAATCGTATTGTAATCTTTATAGGACAACCAAGTAATGAGGATAAGGAAATAATCTAATCTTTTGTTTGTATGAAAACATACAAAGGTAGGTACTGATATAGATTGATAAAACAGGCACCCTATATCAGGGTTTTCACTGAAATAGTAATTTCAAAACAAAATAAGCCTAGCTTCTTTATTAAATGAGTTATTATACAGACTCTTGTTAGTCGCTCTGCCTGCTTCCATGGGAGACAGGCGTAACCTATGACCTCTTGTTAGTTCTTCTACATACAAATCTACATTTTAAAACGAACAACTATTTTACTCTATACGTGTCCAATGTGTTTGTAGATTTATGATTTATATGAAATGAAATACTTTGGTCTAATACTTATTGAAACGACGAAATACTTAAGGTGGAAGAAAATTGCTGGTGGCTTCCAACTGGTCGATCTGGAAATCTGGAGGCCCATGTTTAGCAGTCGACCTTTTGTGACTGATATCCGTCATCATTATATGGTGATTATGAATATTTAGACAAAAACACATTGTCACACACATCATTCATGATTCAGGTGATGGTTCATGATTGTCGTGTATCTATATTATATTTCCTATTTTTTTTGTAAACTTACTTGGTTTAAACTTCGGCCAGTCGTCCAAATCTATCCGATGGTCTTCGAACCCCTCGCCACCATACGCCAGCAGCAGACGAACCGACTCGCCCAGAGCTTTTATCGGAAAATAGTGGAATACGTATTTCGGCATGATTCTGTAAGTAATAATATTTTGTCAGTTGTGGCAATATTTGATTTGTTTATCCTCTCTTTGATCAATCGACAATGTTATTAATGTAACAAGAGAAACCAGAAAGGTTTTTGGACCACATTTCACCATCAATATCAGATCCACTCCTGGTCACCCACCAGAAGTGGATCTTATGATTAGCCGCGTCATCAACGTCAGCTTATACTTAGATGGGCTATAAGGAGATGTTGGACATAAACCTATGGTGGCTAATTATGTCCAACCATGTATAAGCAGGGACGAACCTTTCTCCATTACACAAACACCAAATAAATGTATCGTGATCAAATATAGAAATTGAAATAAAACTGACATGAAACATACTAAATTAATAATTATGTTTTCGGCATACTCATGAATATGAGCCTAACATGGCTTGAAACTAGACGAGTTCCTAGTCAAACAGTTACGTGAATTAGTCGAAAACATAATAATTAATCTAGGATCAGCCAGACACCAACCAATAAAAGAAAAAAATTGAGAAAGATACCATGGACCAATAAGAGAATTACTCAATACATTTGTTTTCAAGTGAAATAAATACTTACAATTTAGTAGATGTAGAATAGAGTACACTTTCAACCAATTCTCTAGAACGCCTAACGAACGTTGCTAAAGCACTGATACCTTTATCTCAAACAGGTAAATTTATACTAAATTATTGTTATAGTCATCATCACAAGTAGTAACTTGATAAGAATAAAAATATTGATTGATTGATAAGCTTAATCTTAGTTTCGTACACCTCCATCGACGTCATTCATGTATTTGATGCCTAGAGTTTTATTAGTGGTTTTTCCCATTTTATTTTTCATGGATGGAAAGAACAATAGGTGTATGGGTTTTAACGTAAGATAAGTAAATATCATCCAATTTAGTTCATGGGTTGTTTGTGAAGGAATATTCTTCTTCTTCTTCGTTTTCTTGCTTAAACTGTCAAGCACCAAGCGGTCATCGGTGACCGCTTTAATTGTGTCTATAATGACGGTACTCAACGAGTTAATCCATTCTGCCTTATCTGTCGTCATTCTGTTACCAACTCCTATTTCATAATTATCATTCTTCTCAGTGTTTATTCTTCTTTTGTTTGTTTGTCCTTTAACTTTCCATCCTTTTGTTCCATCCTCTGAGTTTGCTTCCTAATATTGTATTATTCTACTGCTTTAGAACTGGAGGAATTAGTTTAAATCTATATTCATGTGTATATTTTATACAAACAAACAAACAAGCTTTGACAAATTAAGATAGATAAGAGACTAAATATATCAAATTCGATTACCTATAAATCGATTATTTTGTAGTAAATCAACAAAAAATATTCCAACCCATTGATGAATTGTAATTTTTATTGCTTAATATTTATCCATACTATCGCAAATTACCTAATGTTATATATCGAACATATATTGTGGTTACAAATGACATAGCAAAACGGAGATATTTATGCCCACATTTGGGGCCGATTTTCCAACGCCAGATAAATTTGAACTAAATAACTCAAATATCAATTTTATTCTAGAGTTACGAATAAACTGATAATTGAAAAATCGGCCATTAAAATACAAGGGATATGTAAGCACTTAGGACAAGCTTATTGTCTTTTTGCAATTGACGTGTCCCTAGAAACTGGAAAAAACTGTACAACAAATTTAGAGTACACAAATGCATAGTAATGTAGATTTCCAGTAAGGTATTCCGAAAACTGAAGTCAATGGGGTAGGCCTATATTCAGCAGAGAACTTCTTGTAGCTAAAACGATGGTAATCTTCATGCGCTTCGTATAATTTATTCTTATTATATAGGTGCCTTCATAAAAATCTTAAGTACCCCGGATTCTGCCGATAACTTTCAAACTCGAACGATAGTAATAGAGATGAGGTCACTTTGTACTCATGACGTTAGTCACAATCCACTAGTCATTGTACAGTGACGTTAAACAAATTATCTCGTTAACTCCGAACTACATAGTATTGCGCAATATTGTGTATTTGCTTGAAAAATGTTTGATATACAAAAAGCTGTCGTTAGACTTTGAAATAAGGATTATTTTGGTAGGTGATGTGTATAATTTAGATTTGTTGGAAACTATACAAAAATATGTCTTTGTGCCTTGAAATAAAGATGATTTTAGTATTACAGGATATGTGTGTAATTACAATGTATTGGTAGTAATTTGATGTGAACTGGTACCTACTGAAGCAGTAGTGTAATAGGTAACTCGTGTTTTTATACTGTTATTATACTTCCTAGATAATTACCCCTCAATCAAAAGTAAAAAGTAAAAATCATTTATTTCAATTAGACCAGGAAGGCATTTTTGTACGCCAAATATGTATTAAAAATGTTATTATGTCGGTCAGTCTTCTAGTGAAGATATTTGCTGGTTTCAATGTGTAGATTCCTATGGAGAAGAACGAACAAAAACTCCATAGGTTACTCTTGCTCAGGTTCACAATACAATTCTTGGTTACAATGTTTCTTTGGTTTAATTATGAAACAGTGTAATGTGTCTTTTTATACTACTTGGGGACATCACAATTGTGGATCAGAGGATCAAGAGTAAATAGGATTTTTCGTGCTTTCGAAAAGTTCTCAGTAATAGCTATTACTGATATCATAGACAGTGGAACTTTCAACGTGGAAGTTTCAAAGTGGAACTTTCAACGTAGAACTTGCAACGTGGAAGTTTTAGTTCAAATAGTCTTTAAATGGTATTTAAGAAAGATAAAAGTAAAATCGATGAAAGTAAATAATTACGGAAGTATTCTTGTAGTTTCATGGTAACAGATAGTACGGTGATAACAGTAAAATATTAATGGCTTCTATTTATATTTTATTTAATTTTATGTCGTCAAAAATTTACAATAAATTACCTCTTATCTTAATTTTGATCACCACCCAGCACGTCATTCATGTCAGTGTCACCAAGTGTTTCGGTCACGACTTTTCTGTCGATAAAATTTGTGTATACATATGTGTACAACTGCCTCGTTGTCCAAATGGTCGAAAGTAGCACGGAGTCTAGAATTGTGCCCGGTATATGGCAATAAGCTCACCCCCTATTACATGGGACTCATAACATAAATAGTGAAAAATGGGTGTTACATTGTACAGTGGCATTAAGTTCCATAATGTCTACTGCCTAGCCCTGCCTACCTTCAGAGATAAAAGACGTGATGTTACGTTTCATGTGTACAACTACCAATGTCATCAAATAACTAACAATAAATCAGGGTGCTTATTCTTCAAACTAATCTCAATGTCAATTCAATTCCAATTCAATAAAATCTCAACACTATACAATCCCAATCGCAGCTGTTTAAATAGCATTCAGTAATATAAAGCGAATTTTAATTCCATTTAGTTCATTCGATTTCCACGCAATACGGATGCAATGGGCGCTAGTGTTGTGAAGACTACTAGCTGCATTGTGAAATGGACTTACTTAAAACTTTTAACTGTAATAGTTAAACATTTGTTGCCTAGATGGCAGCACTAGTAGATACAAAAACTCGTTCTCATTGCGTTACAATCTCATGCTTAAAGTGGAATTAAACAGAAAGATTTTGACAAATCCTCTCATGCAGACGAAACTCATAGTCCAGTGATGGAGTGTCGTAGGCTATAAGCTTGTTGATGATGATAAAAACTAAAACTACAACTACATATTAATCAACAGCGCGGTATCTGTATCAGGATCGGCTTCAATCTTAGTAAATACTACTATCATACAGTTATCTACTTGCGTAATATACATACATAACGTATCAAAACATCACCCAGGTAAATAATTATGTGATGTAATATTGCCTGATTCATTTACTTTCAACTGAATTTTTTAATAAATTGTTATTTCAACATATAATATTTTAATTATTCGAAAATTGTCCGGGACCAATGTTCAGTAATAGACTTGTCCTCTTCTCTATTAGTAAACGTAACGTAAAAGTGCGAGTTATATTTTGTATATGTTTTTTAAGGGGGGAAAAATCATCGAATGACTTCTTCCGCCTGGGTGAGGTAGGTGGGAGTGTCAGACTCTCACTGGGAAACACCACTGGATGTCTTCAAGGCCCGAGTGAATAGGTTGCTTATGGGACAACTTGTTCCATCGTAGACCGCATCATCGCTTACCACCAGGCGAGATAGTGGTCAAACGTCGGCCCATCAAATATATAAAAAAACCACCCTGTTCCTACTCCTGCACTTTGAACCGGAGCCCCGGTAAACTTTTATTTTCTCCGCAGCTCGCATTTTTGTATAGGTAAGCCTCTTCTTATCCCTAATGTAGTTCGAGTAATAAAAGGTTACTGCTGCAATCTGTTACTCTGTATTTAATTAAGATTAAAGTCAAATCATTTTATTCCAATTAGACCAAAATAAGGCAGTTTTTAACGTCAACCTAGTCATCAGTCCGTTTCTGTCCACAGCTAGACATCCAGGAATGCTTTTATAATAGTTCACTGTCAGTCGTCAGCACACACATATAGCATCCGTGCATGTATCACACAACAAGCAGATCGATAAACATCACCAATGTCTTCAACATCTTAAAATGTTACGATAAATCATCTATTCATCTTCTACCTCTATATTATAAAAATAGATTGTTGTTCGTTAGTCTGGCTAAAAGTTGAAAAAGGTTGGACCGATTTCGCTAATAATTATGGTCTTTAATTATTTTTTTTTTATTTCAACTTCATACAACAAATGTGTACAGGACTTAATGCCTTGGGCATTGTCTCCCAGTCAACCTTTAAGCAGTGCAGAGATGAAAGTAGCAGGTGATTTTAAATTATCCAGTCCAGAGAAGGTTTAAAAGGCGAGAAAAAGAAATTGAGGCGTTACGAAGTTTGCCGGGTCAGTTAGAAACAAATAAAAAACAAAAATTTAAAATCAATAATTTATTTCGACTTCTGTAATTAAATAACAGCTCTATTGTATGCCTAATACAGTCTTAGTGATAGACTTACGTATATAATACAATACTATAACCAATTCACGCACACACATTTAAAATTATAAAAGCGCAATATAAATCTTAAAATTAGAATTCCGTAGGGCCTAGGGCATCAGCGTATGCCTTGACTTTGGGGATGGAGTATACATGGTCTATAACTCGCTGGAAGGCTGGGTACTTCTTCTCCAAGTCAGGAATTCGTACGATGAACTTAATGGAGTCGAAAAATCCAGCAAAGACGAAATCAGCCCATGTCAACTGTAAAAAAGAAAGGTATAATCAATAAACATGAATTTATCTATCTATATCTAATACAATCGCAGGAAATTGAAAACGTGTACGTACATTGAATATTTTTTTAAAAGAATGCTTTGGTCGTGATCTACAGTCGATACCGAAACTACGGTTTTTAGAATTGTTGTTTGTTTGTCTGTATGTATGTCCGGGGTGAACTCAAAAAGTGTAGCATGGATTTACTTAAAATTTTTCATGATTATTAGATACTATCAGGCCGGGTCAACATATTATAGACTACATATTATCATGCTAACTACGGGCGGTTGTGTATCACTATTCCACGGGGATGAAGTCGCGAGCTCAGCTAGTTAATAAATATGAAAATACGTGAGTGCATAAAATTTCAATATTTAAAACTTAGTATCTTTATAAGAGTTAAATTAAGCGCACAAAACGTTATTTTCTTTTTGTGAGATTAGGAGCAAACTAGTTGATAGATATAGATCACCCTGTTGCTAAGTAGTCAGCGCCGCCCATGGACTCCCACAATACCAGAGATTTTAAAAATGCTTTGCCGGTCTTTAGGTAACTCAGGTACTTACGGATTTAAAGATCTTACCTTTCCGAGAGCATAGTGTCCATTGTTCTTTTCAATGATGTCGTTGAATCTGTCCAATTGTTCAGGAAACACGTCTTTGCTATATTCCTCATATCTCTGTTCCTTTAATTTCTCATCTTTTTCATAAGTTACGATTGCAGCTTCTAGAAAATTAAAAAATGTTTGTGTCAAACTAAATTGTGAAGGAAAATGAAATCAGATAACAGATACTTCTCGTAACAGATCAATTATTAGTAGTTTCTTTTTTTAGTTACTAAATTTTTATTGTCCTTGTTCGTTTGTATAAGTAGTTTTTAATTTATCGCTTAATTGTAAAGTTGGTTAACCTATAATTGGCGACTGCGATTATTTTTTAATACTATGTATACAGAAGCTGGTGGTATACCGATTTAAATAAATATATGAATAAATACAAACAATAATACGACTACAATTTAAACACGCTGTTCAATTTTTTTAAAGATTGTTAGATATATCATCTCACGATCTTATATTTTGTTTCCAAAACAACTGTCAAATCATGCCAAAATAACGAAATTTAAAAATTGTGGAATCATCGTCTCGTTATCGGTATTGGTAAATCAGAAATATATTTTACAAGATCTAGTAAACTTCTTATCAAAACTGAATGATATAAATTATTATGTTTCCGGCTTAGGTACTCACGTAAGCAGCGCGACATTCGTCGCGTCGCGGGTCGCGAAATGCTGCTCATAAATATGAGTCTTTAGCATGGCTTGAAACTAGTCGAGTTCCTCGTCAAATAATTACGTGAGTAAGCCGAAAACATAATTATTTATTTAGAGGTAGTATGTCTCACGAAAGTTACAATACAAATACTGAATGACATGTTTTAAAACGTATGAGAAAACTTCTGAGTAATGTATTTTTGGGAATTTGGGTTTTCATGATTTGATAACAAAGCAAAAATTATGAAAATCGGGAAATAGCGGACCGATAGTATTTAAAAAAAAAGAACCGTCTAAGGAATATTGAACTGTGATACTTACTTAGACGAAAATCAACGAGGAGGTCGACGAACTGGTCGATCTCCAGGGCTTCCTCAGGGGTGTCTCCAGCCAGGCCGTACTTGTTGCCAAGGTAACGGCAGATGGCAATGCTCTGAGCGTACTTCTTGCCATCAATATCGAGATTTGGCATTTGTCCAAAAACAGTATCTGGAATTGAAAACGCATTTTTAAATAATTTATTTTCTCATCTCATTCCAAGTACTTGAAATGAAAAAAGAAGGCAAGTGGCACACATAAAGGATAGATAAACTTAGACTATGACAATTGATCTTCTTCAGGCTCTATTACATCTGCGTTGATTTAATTGTAATTTACTTAACTATTTTTAGTTAAGTAAATTACAATTCAAGTAAATACAAGTAAAATACAATTTTTAGTTAAGTAAATAACTCTATAGTTATGTAGGTCTTAACGAAAAATACTTTTGTAAACTTATCTCCACTCAAAGTGTATGATTTTTTCTTCGACTGGCAAAATCATTCAATACTATTCTTTACTCACGACTAGCCCCTTCTCGCTTGAATTGAACTACTTAATATTCAACGTATAAACATTTTATGAGGAGACGTTCAGTACCGAACGAATATTTCTCACTAGCTGTTGCCCGAGACTTCGTCCGCGTAGAATATGATTTCTGTTTTATCCAATGGAAGCATTTAATGGGGATAAAAAGAATATTCTATCACCTAGTCAACCCATACCCTGCCTGTATACCAAATTTCATCAAAATCCGTTCAGCAGTGTCAGCATGATTGACCAACAAACACTCAAACATTAATGTAATATTAGTTTGATGTAGGGCTATTTAAAGGCTCGAAGCAGAAGTATGAACGGCGTGGTTTTTAGTTAGTAATTCCTAGGCGGGAGAAACAATTTGGAGATTTCTCCGCCTGAAAAAAAATATGGTTCTTTTGCCATAATCCCCACGATTAGTAAGCTTGAAGATCAAACTTACTTTTCTTATATTCTGGCCAGTCCTTGGGAGAGACGCGGTGGTCTTCAAAATCCTCGCCTCCATAAGCCAGCAACAAACGGATGGGCTCGCCCAATCCCTTTCCGTTGAAATAGTGGACAACGTACTTCGGCATGATTGCTTAATCTGAAACTGACAATGCAAAGAGAAATGTTATTAATTTTTTTTCATGAACAAGAAACTAGTTTTAGTGTCAGCTTATGTTTCGGGTGCAAATTGAAAAGAGAAATAAAGTACGTCGAAAAAATCCACCTTCGATCCCCTCTTTCTTTGAAGTCGGTTATTTAAACGGTCCAACACTGCGCAGTCACGGTTATTGTTCTATAATGACGGTACTCAAAGAGTTAATATACTAAAAACTAAGTGTAACAAAAAATTTTCTGAAAACCGCATCGGATAATCGGGTCAGCCAATCGCGAGAAAATCGAGCACAATCATACATACTTCAATATCATCATCATCATCATCATCAACAGCCGGAATACGTCCACTGCTGGACAAAGGCCTCCCCCTTACTCCTCCACATACATACATATACAGGTTAAATTGAACGCGTCCTTCTTTTTTGAAGTCGATTAAAAATTGTGTCACGCTAACATTAAAAAAAATTAAATTAACATTTTGTAAATAAAATAATTGAACAAAATAATGCTCTCGACAAAATCTTTGGTTGTTTTTTTTCAGTATGGTTGGAAAATTATATCAAGCAGTAATTATATTATTTATGTATGTTATTGATATATCAACTTTTAATGCTTTTAAAAAAATCATATTTTTTGTTTTGATAATGAAATATGAATTCCAAATCAAAGAACACTGAAATAATGATCATTTTGAGAATAGAGGTTACAAAAAGCTGTCACCAACCAGACTTAAAATTGAACTTTATTTACTTTGAAATAAAATCGAACATTTGATATTTCCCATGCAAATAAATTATTCAAAGCCTTATGACTTTGGCCTTATGGATTATTCCATAGAACCGAAGCTTTGTATCGATTTTCTAGCAAAACTGTACACAACACCACCCGCTTATACCAATATGTTTACATACACACTTTATTTTTGGAGTAAAGTTAACACAACGTACGACAGCTAACAAGACCTAAACAAATTGATTGAACCGAAAAATACAAAGTCGAGGACACAATAAAAATTCGTCTGTAGTTACTAACAAATACAGTCTTAATTTCAACAACAATAAGTAGATAAAATGCTAAATAGGACTTACTTCTTAGGGGTCCTGTAACTGACTGCACGAACGAGTTAATACTGATGCGCTAACGACCGACTACCGGTAGATATATCCTTCTAATCAAGCTCAGTACTTCACCAACGATGTTCCACCAATTGATAACTCTATCTGAGTTTGCACAACAGAGATAGCCCACGTGTACTAATAATTTTACAAATCCTGGTAAATTTGGCATGTCACGCTTAGTGTAGTATTGTATAAGATCATTATCTTCGTACTAAAAATACAGGTGGTAGTGAAAGCTTTTTGTCGATATTATTGTTGTTCTTTCAGAATTATGTTTACTTGTTACGATTCCTTCATCAAAACTACCATTACCATGCTGTGTTTCAAGTAAATAATTAGGTTCATAGTCATATGAGTATGTATTTTTATTTTAATAATCCTTTGCCTTATTAATTTGAAAAGAAGATGTTGTATTGGAGAAAAAACCTAAAGATGAAGACAAAAAGAAGAAGGAAAAGCTTTAACTCTAAAGAAAAAACACTATACCTGGCTGATTATAAAGGCAAAAAACAAAAAGTAATGGTTGCTTATCTAGTAATTCAAGACGTAAAGCGAGTTAAAAATATTCACGTTATTCAAAGATACGGACCATGACACAGACAAATATGTAACATAACACAACTAATACCCGAACGTATAGATAATATAGAAATATAGAAGCCACATAATATCAATGACTAGGCAAAAAGTTGTTGTGTACAGAATTGTGCAAGTCATTGGTCTCGGGTGGTGATTCAGTGACCTTCAGCTCCAATAATATAATGATAACTGGTACCACCAGTGGTACCACCCACTGGTGTTATATTATATCGCACCATTACTGATAACATTTGTATTATTTAGTTATCAATCAATTGCATTCAATGTAATTTATTTATGGAATAAACCAGTATGCTATCAGACGGATCACTTGATGATGGTAAGGAATCGGCGCTGCCATCGACATCCGCAACACCAGAGGCGGTACAACTGTTACCGTTACTTACCGACCTTTTGGGGATAACGAAATTGAGGATTGTTGGGGATCCGGACCGGAGATTGGGGATATTGGGGACAAGGGAAATTGGAGCTCCGGTAACCTCACTCACACGACGAAACACAACGCAAGTGTTTTTCCACGTCAGTTTTCTGTGTGTGGTATCACGTCGATCGAGCCGGCCCATTCGTGGCGAAGCATGGCTCTCCCACACTAATCGATAATACTGTGTGCTTATGGGATAATTTTTATGACTAACTGCTCATGACATTTTTCACTTATCAGTTCGGTATTTTTCCGTACCAATTCCGTACCAATAAGAATTTCAGGTTTAAAATTGATGTTCACAGAATGTCACATAAGACCTCTTTGTCAGGATGCTACTATCACAATTGTTTCGATTAATTATGCATGCGTTCCATAATGGTTCCATACAACACATCAAGTTATACTTCATCGGGGGAACTGATCCAGAGACATTATACACTACAAATTTTCTGCAATAGTCCCATTTACTATACCTACTCATTCTTGAAAATATTATGACGAAATATAAAATGGCCATCGAATCCACGTACCAAAAATCTGGACTTCTATTATGACTTAATCAAGTTCCACATTTGTATAAACATAAACCATCATACTTCAGGTAGAAAGGTAGTAGAAAACGAAATGAAGAAACCATTAAATTCTTAGTTATTTATTTATTTAAAAATAATATACGAGTGCTTAAACTATAACGTAAACATTACAACAATCGGAACCGTGCTGCACACAGATCGTAATTAATACATTGTACCGAATTATAACAAGACCCTGTCTCTTTCTCTATAACTCAAATCTTGGTACATAATATTCAGACAGTGCACTTCAAAACAAATTCACACCAACAAACAGCCATCAAATAAAATGCGATCTCTTTAGTCTTAAAATTAGAATTCCGTGGGTCCTACAGCATCAGCGTAGGTCTTGACCTTAGGAATGGAGTACACGGCGTCTACGACCTTCTGGAATGCTGGGTACTTCTTCTCCAAGTCAGGTACAACCAACAAGTGCTTGATGTAGTCGAACATACCAGCGAAGACAAAGTCTCCCCAAGACAGCTAAAACAGAAAAAGATGATAAGTATGCGTGAACAACTGACCAACTGTGAAAAGTGAAATATGTTCTGGTGCATTTTCCTCAAAGATAATTCGAATATTTCATCTACTCAAAAACTTCATATTCAATTTAAAAAAAAGACTGTCTTTTATAACTTCATTGTAGGTTTAAACAACCACAATGGTGAGTGCCATCGAATCCCTAAACGAGACTAATAAAGACTAATTGACGTCAGTAGGTGTGCCTCTCTGACTTCTATCAAGCACAGGAGTGCCAGTTAATTAACAAGTAATCTATTTTTACCTTTCCAATGGCGATGTGGCCGTTGTTCTTAGTGATGATTTCGTTTAACTTCTCCAGCATGTTGGGGAACACGTCCTTGTTGAATTCAGCGTACTTCTTCTCCTTCACAGCCTCGTCCTTTTCGTAGGATGCAATTGCAGCCTCTATTAAATTATAATAAATATATCTTTAGATACAACAAGATGAAAATGAAGTTTAAAAACACGTTGCGTGATAGTAAAATAACTAAAGTGACTAAATTGTCGAATTAGAAAATTAATATTTGATACTATCTGAAGCTGTCATGCTTAGAAAGGTTTTTAGTAGTGACTTTTCCTCTATTGAGCTGCACAATATAGTTTCAACTACAACAGTTACACTCACTGGCACGGAGGTCATTGATGAGGTCAACGTTCTGGTCGATCTCTAGAGCATCCTCGAGGGACTCTCCCGCCAGACCGTACTTCTTGCCGAGGTAGCGAGCGATTGACAGACTCTGGGCGTACTGCTTGCCTTCAAACTCTAGGAGTGGCATCTGACCGAAGGGGGTTTCTGGAAAAGAAATCAGCATTATTTTAAGACTTACTTAAAAATACCTTTTTAGATGAAATTGATACATTTCTTTTAACTTCAGCACTAAATCTTTCGCTGGATGGACAGTGAACATGTTTTCACAGTGTTAATCTGAAACTATTATGCTATTCATCTAAAATAGTATGTCATTTAAATTCATCACTTCCTAATCTCTTTACAAATTAAAGAATTTTTAGTTAGTCAGTCGGCCCTTGGCGATAGGTGACATTTTGAAACATACATTCTGACCATAACGTAATTTACCTATTTAACACAGCCCATCGATAAATACTAAATAATAATTGATAATAAATCACAATTTTCGTACGTGATTGATTAGGTAAACTCCACAAAACATGCCTAATTCATATTATATACTATGTACATGGTTAAGCCATTTATCAAGAGTCAATTGAAAAGTTTTATCTTATCATATGTTGTGTGACAACCGCATGAATACATGAAAATCAGGTGAAACTTATCAAGTAAGTGACAAATATATTTTACTTTCTTATCTTTTTGTTATCATTCGTAGTTACCACATGAGGAGAAAAAACTGCGGGTCTAGCATGAGTGCTTGTGATTTTTTTACTAGTATTTAAATTATGTATTATCTGATTTTTTGTTGCTATGTTTGTCCGTGTTCGATTCCGTACAATTGATTTTAAAGAAGAATTGAAGTCGACGTATCGCCAAGGTTTATGCAGGCTTTTTCTCAAAAAAATTGTACAACTATTAATTTATTTATTTATCAAGTCGATATAAAAAAAAAACAATAAAAAACCACAAAAAGTCACAACAAATAACATTGTTACTTTAAACGACTCCCTAAAATAATTATGGACATCAAACAATAGTCTAGAAATATTCCAAAACTTTTTACTTACTTGGCTTAAAGTCAGGCCAGTCCTTGAAGGCTACTCGGTGGTCTTCAAAACCTTCATCACCGAAAGCCAGGAGCAGACGCACTGGCTCACCCAAACCCTTGCCATCAAAGTAGTGGAATACGTATTTCGGCATGTTTCTGAAAAATATTTCCTAAATTGAAACACTTATCACTAACACTAAACTAACTTCAAAGATTTCAAAGAAACTTCTAGAAAATTCGACGCCTACTTTCATGGGTATCTTTAAAAGTAATCAACTATAGGACTTTACTAAAAGTATAGAAAAAAAATCAATCAATTTAAATTCAATAGACGCGGACAAAACTGTTTAACAATGAATAAAATTCATGTGCGGTAGGCAAACGGGTTTATATTTAGCCCAGAATGTTTTGTATTGAAAAAAATCAAGGTCTTTTGGAAACAACGTTGCAGTTAATGCATTAGGAATCAAATAAAGAAATAGAAGCTTAAAATAATATCGATTTTTCTTAATTACTTAGTACAAAATAGAGAGTTTGGTATAGTAAACCGGTACTTACAACTGGTTTTTCGAGTCTGTGGTGTTACCGGCTTGGTGAGCAAACTAACACTGGTGGGATTATGCGCCGGCCGGTAGATATATACGTTTATGTATAGAAACAGTCGCTTGGAACTCGTCAACAGAACACCTCGACGATGTGTACCTACTATTGATAAAGTTTATAATATCTTCTAATCTCTTGCTCAATACCTCGTAACTTCAATAGTAACGGTAACCATGCACAACAAAACTATAGTCTATTTATAGACACTTTCACCTACTTTAAACGTAAATTAAATACGATCATAATACTTGTAAGTAAGTAATATTAGTTATGTTCATTGTTTCCGAAATATTAAAAAAAAGGATGCTTTTTTTAGATAAAAATCTATGACAATGACATCATCGAATGTTATTTGACCGTCAAATAATAATTTTGTTTTTTCTTTCTTTTTCTTTTTTTTTTCTATTGATAAAAATTAGAAAAGAGGTTTTGATATAATGAGAACTTGTTGTATTTGTATACCTACCTATTACCCAATTTGACCCAATTTTCTAAGAATTTTTAAGTTAAGTTTTTATCAAGAACCCGTTTTATAGAAGTTAAATATAAACTTTAATTATTATATTAACTTTAATACAATTATCTATATTCAACTATAAAAGTATAGCTATGCACACGACATTAAGCGTCTTATTACTAGAAAAAAAAGAAACAAATAAAATAATAGTTTTCTTAAAAGAATAACAAAAAGACTTATCGCATTGTAAATATTTCCGTCAGAATTTTTCGATATGAAAATGAGACAATGCACATAGTTTTCAGTTATTCCATCATACTTCCCATATTTAAGCATTTAATCACATATGAATCAAACCGCAGATTAAAATTACATTGTAAAAACAATAAATTAACATCAAATGTTGGTAGTTTTCTTGAAAAAACAAAACTAATATAACTAGAACATTGTATTGTGAACCTGGTTGAAAAAGAGTAACTTATAAAGTTTCTTGCTCATTCTTCTCCGTAGGAATCTACACCCCAAGGTGTAGATGTCCAAAGGTGCCTTCCTGGTCTACTTAAAATAAATGATTTTGACTTTGACTTTGACTTTGATACTTATGTCCCTTACTAAATTTAGGGAGAGAGAAGATTGGAATGTTTGTTTGTTTGCATTGTATAGGTTCTAAAACAACTGGACCAATTACGAAAATACTTTTAGGTTTTAAACACCTACAGGTATTTAAACCTTTATTATGAACTTAGCACATTCTTACAGCATAAAAACCAAATTATCTGAACAGAATCGGGAACTGAATCGCAGAAAATCAACACGAGTGAAGATGGAAAAATCTTTTTTTTATGAACTAACCTCGTTTACCGGACGAAATACAATGCAAGCGTTATTTCACGTCGGTTTTCTGTAAGGCCGTGGTATCACTCCGGTCGAGCCAACCCATTCGTGCCGAAGCATGGCACTCCCATACTTAAAAAGTACTTTCTCTAGTTCCAAATAGGCGGTTGAATAGACGTAAAATTACATCCATAGGTACGACTTAGTGATTGAACTATAACCATTGTGTTAGGTAAACGCATTAGCTGAATGAATACCAGGACAAACCTACAAAACCAAACACAGACAGTAATATTTTTTCATTGCTTGTAAAATAATAATGTTGTATGTTATCGTCACATGACAACTGTCTAGACAGGGGTTTTTTACAAGTAATGATAAAATAATATGTGTAGGCAGGTACTTATACTGCCATCAGACAAAGTGCATTGTAGCTACCGGACGTAGTAATAATATTCAAGCCATGTAGTTGGAATATGTCGATTGGAGTTAGCTGCGGTCGTCGAAAGGGTGGAAGAGCCATGTTTGGGCACTGCTATACCGGTTAGACGGCGTCACAGAAATTCGGGGTGAAACAGCGCTTAAGTTGTGTTTCGTCTCATAAGTGAGGTTACTGGAATACCAATTCCTCTCCTCCCCAATCTCTTTCTTCATCAAATGGAGTTGCGAGTGCCCATGCGACGCCGATTGCTTACCATCAAGTGTGTCTGCCAATTAACCCTCGTAGATTGAAAAAAATATAAGAAAAACTTTTTAAAAACAAGCTTTTCATTTTTGTTAAAGCTTAACTTTAAGAGCCAAGTTTTCCAACGCCACATAAATTTTAAGTAAGGAATAACTTTGAATATTTTACTTCCGTACTAAAAACTATCAAATATAAATTTTATTCTATTTATTTTTTATTTATTTGAAAGCTTCATGCACAAAATATACATAAGGAGGACTTAACGCCGCAGGCATTTTCTCCCAGTCTGACCTTTGGATGATGCAGAGAAGAGTTAATGGTGTGAGCAAGAAGCAAGCAATATTCTACAGTTAAGAATTAACTGATCATTGAAAAATCGACCCTAAGCCTCATTAGAAACCCGAGCGTTCCGCCCGCGCCTCAAAGAGCCGTCAGACCACCACAGATGGGTCCCAATATTCGATGCCGATACAGAGCCGCGGAAAATCTAACGGGTTACCGGGGCTCCGGCTCGAAGTGCAAGAGAAGGAACGGGGTGGTTTTTAGTCAGTAAGAGCCTGACACTCGCTCCCACCTCACCCAGGCGGGAGCAGTAATTCGATGATTTTCCCCTCTTAAAAAAAAATTGATCAGAAAAAAGAAGTGTTAAAAGAAAGGATGTTACATTTTGATTTCAAAATAAGAATAACAATAGTGATCTTTAATATTGCATCACAATGCCCCTTTTCAATTTTATTTTTCCCACTTACATAAAAAAACGTAAGTATTTTAATAAATATATAATTATGAGAAAAGTCAAAGCTCATCTCATAATAATATGACTCAGGACATGACTGGCAAAAGTAAGAATAACTCTTTATTGCTACTGTTGTCAGTAGATGTAATGCTGTGTCTAATGTTACGGTGTATGAATCATCAGAATCATCTATCGATGACGTTATAAAGTTTATATCAATTGACAATAATAGACCTGTTTAAATAAATGGTTGAACACGTGGTTACAGGTCATTTACAGTCAATAAAGTAATGCATACTTGCCTCACTATGTAATATTTTTTTTTATTAAAATCATTGTCAACGTCGCGTGTCATTCACCGCTCACGCAGCTCAATATTATAAGTCCAGAGTTACGTGTGCCGCGGAGAACTTAACGGGTTACCGGGACTCCGGCTCGAAGTGCAGGAGTAGGAACGGGGTGGTTTTTAGTCAGTAAGAGTCTGACACTCCCTCCCGCCTCACCCAGGTGGAAGAAGTCATTCGATGATTTTCACCGAAAAAAAAAGAAGTACGCGTTCGGCGCTCTGATTGGCCAACTCCAATGAACCAACCAATGAGTGCCGAACGCGGTCTCGTTTCGATTACTATAAACGTAAAACACATACTAAGGCCCCTGATGTGGCTTGAAATTAGTTGAGCTTTTGAATAATTTTATTTATTTAAGTTAATATCATAATCAATTTTAATAAATCTAACATAGTTTAGATCTGTGACTATGTTTGATGTTAACCATACCATGATTGACAAAAGACCTACTCTTTTAACGTTATTCACTGTACATTACCTTTGCCTAGGTTTTTTTAATTGACTTACTTTTACGTTTAAACGTAACAGTTAGTGTTAGTATTGGTAGTCAGTTAATGAAGTACCAAACTGGGCCAGATCTTTTTTAAGACAGGTTGAAAAACTAATTCAACTACTAAATAAAAATTATTTATCCGAATAATGCATGATTGCATGATACTTCATGCATGGTGTAGCAGTGATGGGATCTAATAATTACGACTACTTATACAATGCTTCGTTCACGGTCACTGACGGTCGGTGACCGCGTGCCAGCGTCGCCTCGTCTATACATATTCATGTAGGTACACACCCACTAAACTGCTGACGATTTTACATTGAACTTGGTGATCCAGGAGTATTCTTTACAATGTCCTATAAAATAAAATTATTGGTCTGAACCTATGAGAGGTTTAATATAAAGATTGTGTGACTAAAATAAATAAGTACGCATACAAACATTTTAAATAACATTTATTTATCATTTAAACACATCCTTACAATCTAAAAATTACAGAAAAATATCAATAACATATTGACGGATGTAGATATTATCTCTATTCATAATGTATAAGATAAATATATTCGACATGCATTCGGGATTCGTCAAACGTATAGTTTTAAAATAGACTCTTTATATTTTGTACGTGTTGTTTCGGTAATTCAAATTTAGAAGTCAGTGGGGGGCGCGGCGTCTGCGTACACCTTGACTTTAGGAATGGAGTACACGTTGTCTATGACCTGCTGGAACACAGGGTACTTCTTTTCCAAGTCAGGCATACGCAGCATCACCTTCAGGTAGTCAAACATGCCCGCGAACACGAAATCTCCCCAGGTCAACTGCAAGAAAGATAATTATTATGTTTAAAAGTTCCTTTCAGCTTATCAGTTATAAGATGTCCCATCCGAGAAAACATAGCCATCCTCTAATGACTATTCGATCAAAAATTCCTATACGATCACACCATTGCAATAAAACCTCAAGATGCATTTAGTATCTTCATTCAGACACATACTCCTCCGGTTTATGCCTTTACTCTAGTTAGAAGTCCTTGATTTGTTATTTCATAAAAGGACATATAGCCACCAACTCATATCCGACTTTCGCTTATTATTCCATGACGGTAGTACTCAGATCGTCGTAATCTCATAATCCACGTCGTCATGCTTTAGCACCATAATTATGACGTCATCTAAGTTGAGTAGGATTAGTTTTTTTTAACTACAGCGGATTAGTCAAGAGGTTGTTCCATGATACAGCATATTTTACAGCTACTAGAAATCAAATATTTGTGTACCGTAATGAACTAGGTGGAACAGGTCGAATGGATCGTCCATCTAAAGTTCAAAATAAAACCAATCTATCTTTAAGTTATAAACTCAAAAACAACAACTACTTATTCGTAATTATTGTGTCCGTAATCCATGTAAATAGACCTGCATAATTTAGAAGAAGAAGCCATAAAAAAAGGTCATAAAATGGTCGAACGAACATTACATATATTTTTGTCATCATCACGTTCTGACAAAACAGTTTACGTCCAAAATGAAATATTCATATCTAACTTGTTCTTAACTGTAATTATTTTTGGATTTATCTAAAACGGAACGCAGTAGGAGTCTAGTCTAGTTTTATATTTAGTATTTTTTTACCTTTCCTAAAGCAACATGGCCGTTGTTCTTGACAAAAATAGCACTCAATTTCTCAAAAAGGTCTGGGAATACATTCTTAACGAAGTCGGCGTATTTAGCTTCTTTCAGAGCCTCATCAGCTTCATAATGTACTACTGCAGCCTCTGTAAATAAAAGCCAGAATTAAATATGCCACTTAACTCTTCAAAGAAATAACTCGACCAGTTTCAAGCCACGTTTGGAGCTCATAGTGATAATCAACATTATGCGACAAACAAGATGGCGAAGGTCGCAAGCGAGCCGGATATTAAAAAAACAAAATTGTTTTTAGACTTGCATAATATTGCGTAATATTTCAACATGGAAACCCCACACTGGACAAAAATAGATTTAATTTTTTCATTTTTATCTTTACGTTGGTCTTTCGATATTTCCATCGTTGGGGATCTTAGTAATTAAGTACCTATTTTTAGGAGCATTGTTATTTAATTTGTTAGATATATATAGGTATTAATTACACGGAAACGATATTGTTACCGTTACAGAATTAACCTCTGTTAATTCTAGATATATTGTAAATATGGTCTCACTCATTTGTCTCACCTCAATACCTTCCAAAACATATTTGACATCAACAAAAATATAATAATAATGGTTAGCTTTAGATTCAATACGGCACTTACTTGCACGCAGATCATTAATGAGGTCCACGTTCTGGTCGATCTCCAGAGCATCCTCGAAGGAGTCTCCAGCGACTCCGTACTTGTTACCGAGGTACCGGCTGATGGCCAAGCTTTGGGCGTACTCCTTGCCGTCAATCACCAGAACTGGCATCTGACCGAATGGGGTCTCTGAAAAAAGTAATTTTGTTAACTTTTGTAGACTGAATTGCTTTGTGAGCCAGGTTCTATAGAGTGAAGGAACACCACATGATATCCTCTATGGAGTACGATGTGCAGTTGCTTAAAAGTTGACCTGCCTGAATCATATGAATTTTAGTCAAGGATTCGAAAAGTTTCTTCTAATCCTTAAAGGGACTTGCTTCATAAGACAATTGAAAATCGTACTCATAATATACCATCAACACAATTTTTTCCATAAAAAATCGTAATCTATATTTATAAGTCCCACGTTGGGCATCAGTTGTTCAGGAAAACTGTCGCATTAAATAACGAGATAGCAACCATTTAAAATCGAGTGTTAATCTGACATACATACATACATAGTTACATAAACTGCCGCGGCCAAGGTCGGACTGTGAGCCGAAACGAATCATTATCAAACATGTTTTTATAGGTATGAGCGCAATGAGAAGAGAAGCGGATAAGGACTAGACGCGGCCGCGGGCGCGATTTAAGGATAAGGTACGCCAGATTCTAGAAAGACACAGGATTTTTCAACCCTTCTTCAATAATATACCATAAGATGAATACACGGGAATTTACAAAGTGAAAAAAGTAAATAATAATATCTACTTCGGATAGTGTCTTTACCATTTGTAGCCGAAAACAAAGCAATATGACAACGTTAGTGTCAACCCTATAATCCGAGCGCAATGACCACAAAACCAATATACAGTCATTCATATCTCATCACACACCCGCTTCCGCTTGACAATGTATACTAGATCTAATGACCTTGACGAGAATGACTGTGCAAATATTGTGTGAAGAGACGCTCAGACTCAATTGGTCGCACAGTGACGTCACAGAATGGGAAGAGGGACTATTGTATGATTGAACACACAGCTAAAAAACTAATATAAACTGATCCTTGAATGCGCAGAAAGGTCGTACATAGCGGGACTAGTATAAAGTCGACTTGTTAAGCTTGATGTGTGCTGTGTATATTTTATTCAACCTGCATGCACTTACTGAACGATTTTAACCAATTTGTTGCCATTCATTCTATGACCGTGTAGGTGTATTGTATGAGACTATTGTGATATTTGATTGGATTGATCTATAAAAGTAACTGTGCTTGTGCAAATATTCTGAAGATGTTCAGAACTTTTCAGAATTAATCATATTATTATCTAATCGGAATTAAAACTTTAGTCTATACACAGGGTTATAATACGATAGATAAGTAACTCTAGTAGGATTATTTTGGTGCAATTAAAATAATTTATTTTTCTCGCATCAAAAACACCCTGTGTTTAGTTTTTATGGTATACGCCGGTAAACGAGTAGACGGATCACCTGATGGTAAAAAATCGGCGTCGTATATGAACACCTCGAAAACCAGGGGCGTTACCAGTTCGTTACTCTCCCATACTTGTGCACTATTTCAGGACATAGTATGAATACTTCAGAACACATAACAAAAATATAACTAGAAATACCTATAGTATTTTTTTAAGGAGGGGTAATCATCGAATGACTGCTCCCGCCTGGGTGAGGCGGGAGGGAGCGTCAGACTCTTACTGTCTAAAAACCACCCCGTTCCTTCTCCTGCACGTCGAGCCGGAGCCCCGGTTACCCGTTCGGTTCTCCGCGACAGAATTATAGTATAACTTTTAAAAGACGTATTTGTTTTGACACCCACTTTGTAACAGCTATATTATTTACGTCTGTATTTACAGTGGGCGATCTTATCCTCATTACATACCGGATAAACAAAAAATACTAAATACTTGAGAACTTTTTGTTTGGAGACGCCAATTTAACAAGCTAGTCCAATCTATAGGCATTTTAATACATTTTCAACCTTATTGAACACTGAAATTACCTTATTGCAAGTATTCATTAATTAATCGATTTTTAACCTTATTGCACATTGATATTGTTTAAAATCTATTACATGCATATAGGAGGTAGCTTAATATGCTTGTGTCTACAGATTATAGATGTGTGTGTTGTGTCTATAGATTAGATAAATAAGTTTTTTTTTTAAGTAAACGTTGCCCCACACTAGGATTTTCTCCTGTATCGTAGGTGCGTTTACAAACATACAAGTTCACATACACATCACACCCAGACCCGAAACAACAATTTATGGATCACACAAAGTGTTGTTCCGTGCGGGAGTCGAACCCGCGACACGTTGCACGGTAGCCGGTTGCTCAGCCACCACACCAATCGTGCAGTCATAAATAAGTGTGAGAAAGGTCTAGAAATCGAACTAGACCTTCTCAAAATTATTATAAAACACAAACTACGTCAGTACAACGATGATACTATTTTTGTTATACGCGTGACCTTGTCTATCAATTGTTATCAACTACCCATTTAGGTAGGTATAAATACGTGGTCTTCCAATCAATAACAAAATGTAACATTTGTGGACGAATTTGTATTTTTTTAATACTATTTATTTTATCCTATTGATCGAGATCGTAGCGTTATATACATATACACATGTCCTAACGCCTTTTTTTATGGGGGAAAATCATCGAATGACTGCTCCCGCCTGGGTGAGGCGGAAGGGCGTGTCAGACTCTTACTGACTAAAAACCACCCCGTTCCTTCTCCTGCACGTCGAGCCGGAGCCCCGGTTACCCGTTAGGTTCTACGCGACTCCGAGTCGGCATCGGCCCTATTGGGCCCCATCTGTGGTGGTCTGATGGCTCTTTGAGGCGCGCGCGGAACGCGACGCGCCGTACGCTCGGGATGTCCTAACGCCTGTCTCCCATATAGGTAGGCAGAGACTATATGAAATGCAAATACTAAGTAGGTACGTAGCGTAATATACTACGACATATTTTCAATTTTGCTCGATAAATGGACATTTCTTTATCTATTTGAACTAGTAGTTCTTATATGTGTACGAAATGCTGTTAGAAAAGTAAACTTAGAGGTAGTTTAGGAAGACCTCCGTTCTCTGAAAATGATGATGTAGTCGCTAACCGACAACACAGTCATAGTATGTTATAAGTTTTGTCTAGAAACTACGTTTGCAATGCACTTGAAATTGGCTGCTACTGATTTATGTAATTAAAAACCTCATAGAATTTGATTTATAAAATTAAAAACCTTTGGAAAATAAATAAACGGAATATTGATAAAAATGATAAAAAGATTAGGTAATGATATTCACCCCTTAAAATATCCTAAAAAAAATTGGCAGAAAAAAGAAAACTATTAAGTGAAACAGCCGTACAGGAAAACTCAAGATATTTCATCAAAATCCAAAATGAAACGTATCTAGATAATTCTAGTGTTGACATTGTAAAGATATGAAACACGAACTGTTTTTTTTACTGTTGTCACCCGAGATAACAAAAACGTCAATCGTACGATATTTTTATACATGCCTCATTCATGTACATGTGAAATAATATATTTATACGATGACTCATATATAAATTATCAATGCATTTGTGTTATGTGCACGAATGTTTATCGAAATATTGACGAATTCCTCGAAACTACTTACCTATAATATGTAGATATATATTGTGAAATCATTCACCTTAAAACTCTGGATAAACTATCATACTTATCTTAACTAAACAGATATTACTTTTTGTTCTAGACTTTTCCTAACACTCCTACTTTTCGCGAAGGACACACCGGGCGTCGGGGATCGCGGGACGATCTCCGGCCACCGTAAGCGCGGGCCTGCGGACGGCGAGCATGGGTGGCTCCCCGTCCGACCAGAAACAGACCCGAGCGTACGGCGCGTCGCGTTCCGCGCGCGCCTCAAAGAGCCATCAGACCACCACAGATGGGGCCCAATAGGGCCGATGCCGATTCGGAGTCGCGGAGAACCTAACGGGTAACCGGGGCTCCGGCTCGACGTGCAGGAGAAGGAACGGGGTGGTTTTTAGTCAGTAAGAGTCTGACACTCCCTTCCGCCTCACCCAGGCGGGAGCAGTCATTCGATGATTTTACCCCTTAAAAAAAACACTCCTACTTTTCTCTCTGAATTGTGAAATGGTCTTACAACGACCACACAACCCAGTCTGGTCGTTAGGCTTCATGCAGTATTAGTTATTATTTTTTAGATTATTAATAGCCGCCTGCCTCGTCGGCCGAGTGGTTGCAAGTGCGACTGCCGGGCAAGGGGTCTCGGGTTCGATTCCCGTGTCGGGCAAAGTATTACTGGGTTTTTAAAAATTGTACATAATAGCACGGAGTCTAGAAATGTGCCCGGTATATGGCAATAGGCTCACCCACATTACACAGGACTCCTAATACGAATAGTGAAAAGTGAATAGTGGGTGTTACATCTGTGTGCGCCTCTGACTACCTCTTCCGGGATAAAAGGCGTGAGGTCATGTTATTAACAGTCGGTAAATATATTAATCAGGATTGACTGAATGTTTACAAAATATTTGTCAATAGTTATTATAAGTCACCGACAACCGAAAGAATTGAGTCCCTATAAAGCTGATACAAGACAGTAGCCAGCAGGTCATGCCATCCTTTTCTGTCAAAATTCTCTATTACATATTCAACTTTATTGTATTAACAAAAAGTCGAAAATACAACGATAGATTAGACTAGTTTGATTTGCTAGCCACTGTCACAGTATGGAAACAGAGATGATACAATAAACTCTAATTACGACGACTATTTTGGCCCCTATTATATGAACTGAAAGACAATTACGGGACATGTTATAAAAATAAAACTTCTTTATAATACCAACACCCACAAGTAATTGGTGCAATAGTTCTAATATAAACAATATGATGGTCTGCACCCACATCTCGTCAATTTATCTAATTGGAAGGTGACGATGCCCTGGTACCATAAAATGACTAGAAGTCAGTCATCAGGCTAACTGTCCCGTGCTTAAATAAATGGAAATACTGACGACAATGAGAACAAATAATCAGAATATGATGATGATGACGATGATATTGAATTATAGCGACGTCACCGGCACCTGCAGGTCGTGATTGAAGGTCCTGGTATAACTCGAAATTAGTAGAGCAACCCTCAAAACAATTTTTGTAAGAAAATATGTATAAATGTTATCACAACTTTATTGCCACATAGACTCAAACACAAGACATATCAGTCCTTATATGAGCTTTAAAACAACAAAACATTATGAGAGATAACAGAAAAATAGTAACATAAAAGTCTTTCTTAACTGAATGCGGTTGACCCGTAGGACCAAGTCTTATCATTGAAGAGTTAAAAGATAACTGTCAAACATGAACATCTTTCATTGATACTTTCATAAAAGCATTATGCCGAAATAAGGATGTTGATACACCGGCTTGATAACCTAAACCTACCACAATAGTGGCTTGTTGTCTCACTCTTTCACAGCATTCAGCCATTCTTTGTCTTTGCCTTTCATTTAAGTTGTTTTGTAAACTCTCAGTAGTATAATTGTGAGAAAGTTACTGTTCTGTCTATACCTCCTAATGCAGAGTAGGTATATAGTTACGGTGTACCCGGAGTTATACCGAGATAGTGGGAAAACGTCGGCCCATCAAATATAAAAAAAAATCAAGTTACGGACTATAATGAACAGATAATGGGGCAGCGGCTTGAAGGAGGATTAAAAACGGAGTGGTTTCTAGTCAGTAAGATTCTAACGCTCTCTCTTATGTCATCCAAGCCGGAGAAGTTATTGGATCAATATATCGACCCTCAAAAAGACATTCAGAACTATACCTCTAGATATACTATTCAGAGCAGATAAGAAATATAGATACTAGCAGACCCGACAGACGTTGTGCTGCATATCCATGTAAATGTATAAACAAAAATATATTCAGATTAGTTCAACCGTTTAGGATAATTAACCTATACACCGACTGCAGCGCCATCTGCCGGGCTGATTTGTAAATCTAAACCATCCAGGGCGCCACACAAAAACAGAAACTCTCGTGCAGAAAAATTCATTTAAATCGGTCAAGCCGTTTAGGAGGAGTTCAATGACATACACACGTACAGCAGAATGATATATATAAAGATAAGTAGTGACAGTAACTATAATTAGAGTTACGTAATATTAAATTGTAGATGTGTTTGTTCGAAAAACTATATATTTTGTGACCATTTTGCTTAATTCAATGGCCAACTGAGTTAATATTAATTTTCTTATTTGTATACTAAATAACTTTGGTAACTGTACCTATACTTATGAGTGTTTCTTTTGTTTAATAAGATAAAACAGTTCTTATGAGTAGCACATGCCTATTAACTAATGTTATTATCCCGTCCCACGAAGGTAGGCAAAAAGTATTAAATGCAACACGTAATATTAATTAAACAAATCCTGTGAGCTTTGGAAAACAATGGAAGTGTTATCGTCATGAAAATCCGTGAAAATAAACATTCAACGAACGATATGGTGACCTACTTTGCAAATAAAACATTACTAATACACCTACAGTATATGTCTAATATAGATACACAGACATAAACACAAATACACACACACATGCACGCACACACAGACACAAACACACACACACACAAGGTCGTTCGTCCCTACTGTCCCTAGCGAGATAAGGGAGCAAAAGGATCATGCCCGACAGCCATCAGCGTCGCCCATCTTCATCAACATCATCCACAAGACGTCGACTGCTGAACATAGGCCTCCCTAAAGACTTCCGTCGCCTATGGACACCCAATACCAGGGGAAGTACAAGTTGTAACTCTACTCACACGGCGAAACATAACGCAAGCGGTGTTTCACGCCGGCTTACTATGAGTATCAGGGTTATATTTCACCGGGATCATGAGTGCACAACCAGTCGCGCCACCATGGTGTCCGGTAAGCTATAAAATACCATACAGACACCAAAGTCACCACACTACACTAAGACAGTATCAAAATATACCGTCTGAACTGGTCGCGCCGATTGGTCGCGGAACCAAGTGGACACCAAGGTGAATAACTCTCTATAGACGCATTTTATTGGTGGCGGCGACTGGTTGAACCACCATGGTGTCCCGGTGAAATACATGGTGTTGTTTTAAAGCCGCGTCATTTTCTAGGAGCTAACTCGGATATCGATTCTGAGTCCGAATCAATGTAGGTAAATATTTTTCATATTTCTGTAATTACGGCAATCCGTAAGTGCGAAATGCACGCCGCCGCCGTCTTGTAACTACTTAGCTTTATGACGCGGCTTAACACACACAAACTCAAACACGTAATTGTTATTATTCCTAATTCCATAAAACTCCAATAAGAAACATTGCTGTCGCTTATTCTGAAATACTGTCGAACTTAAACGATTTATTATAGCCGTATTTTTAACTATTGGCCCAAAATTTTCTCTTACATTGAACCTCTCTACATTGAACATCTCTTATTATGACTTCTGTGACATGCCCTGAGAAATGACACAGTTTCAAAACTACACCTTGTATACCCTCACGCCTTATCTTTCCGGGACACTCAAGTCTAAGCATGCCAGGGAAGTGTTTAAGTTTAGAATATCGCTAGTTCTAGACACAGTGTACCTATAATCTCCAGTCATAACAATTCATGGCTGTTATAGATAACATTATAACACACTCGTCCTCCATATTATGAGTATTTTGTTACCTATATTCTATTATTATACCTATCATGTGTCCTCAGCGTTGAATTTGTAAGTGAGTCAGTAAGAGTCTGACACTCCCTCCCGCCTCACCCAGGCGAGAGCAGCCATACGATGATTTTCACCCCTTAAAAAAAAGCGTTGTATTTATAGGAAACTTACTTGGCTTGAATGCAGGCCATTCTGTCTGTGGGATACGACGGTCATCGAACTCCTGGCCACCGTAAGCCAGCAGCAAACGGACGGACTCGCCCAGAGCCTTCACGGGGAAGTAGTAGAACACGACCTCAGGCATGGTTCTGGAATATAAACATTGATTTTATAAAAAAGAAAGACATTTATTGTTCACAAACCACCAGAGCTGACTATGGGACTACATATTTGACAGAGACCAGGCAGTAGCGTGGTGTAATGTAATGGTGGCTTCTCATGCATGATGGTGCGAGAAACCTACCAACGGCAAGTACCAATGTGACTTTTTCCGAGATATATGTACTTTCTAAAATTATTTAGACACCACTGACAAACTGTGAAGAAAATTATCGTGAGGAAACCTGGGCTTATATTTTCTAATTATAAGTTTGAAATCGGCAACCTGCATTGAGCAAGCGTGGTGATTAATATTCAAACCTTCTCCGTGCGAGAAGAGGCTTTGGTAGTAACCACTTATAGGCTGTTGATAATGATGAGGTTGATCCTGATCTTTTTAAACCACGATCTTCAACGGACCTTAGAGGTTATGGCCAACCTCTCTATTGTAGAAGGCACACGTATGAAACCATGATACGAGAAATACAACAGACAGTCAGGTTATTATTATTATTATTTATTTAATAACTAGCGGCCCGTCCCGGCTTCGCACGGGGGGACTTAAGATTTTTTACATAGTTTTACGTTTTATTTATATTTATTCTCAGCTTTTTTTTAGCAACCTGCCCTCCGTTGTCGATGTCGCGTCTTAAGGTAACCGATTGAACAATTCAAAAGTTATCTAGAGCAAACTTTTATAAGGATTGAACCATTCATTAAAACGATTGTTATTTTCCCCCGTTTTTAAAACATTTTTGGTTACTGCTCCACAATTATAGGACCTAGCGTGATATTATATAGCCTATGTTACTTCTGAATAATGCAGCTTTCGAATGGTGAAAAAATTATTGCAATCGGTTCAGTAGTTTTTGAGTTTATTCATTACAAACATACAAAAATACAAATCTTTCCTCTTTATAATATTAGTATAGATAAAAGATACATGATGTGCCTTACAATCTAAGGCCATGTCCAACAAAACTATACATAAATAGTTTATGTACAGTTAAATAATAACATAACAAATAATTCTATGCGTTTACGTGAATAAATATTAAAATACTGAATTGTATCAATTTTAACTTTAAACATTAACTCATGGCAAAGTGCGAACATTATAGGACCATGTAAGAGAGTAAATTAATAATGTAATTGATCATTTATGGTGATATATTATTACACAAGAGTATATTGAGTAGCGTGGGTTCGGAGATACAGTTCTTATCGACCGGGCTTCCGATTGATAGCCAATGCATATGATACGAAAAAAAATCGTTACCATCAACAACAGCCTATTAGAATCCATTGCTGGACAATGAAAACAGAACAAAAGAGGATAGAGCAGAAACATAACGAACATAGTCGTAAGCAACAGATTTTATTGCTGTTTTTTTTTGTAAACAGATATTGTTTTACTTTTGTAGTTAACTATATTATTTTACGTAGTAACTATTAAGTAATCCATGGTTTTACTGCAAAACGCGTGCGAAGCCGTGGCAAAAGCTAGTTATGCATAATTTTATACCTAACTAGATTTTAACCGAGGATTTGTCCGCGTAGTCCTGTTTTATCTCATGGGAGCATTCATCACGATAAATCACCTAAGTAAGCCCATACCCTGCCTGTATACCACATTATAATCCGTTTAATAGTGACAGTGTGATTGACGGACAAACATCCAAACAAAGAAACTTTCACATTTAAGTATAATGTTAGCGTGATATCTACACTTAAGAGCAAAGAATTCGTTTATAGAAACCACAAGCGTTTTTTTTTTTAATTCTATCAAATCCTTTGTATTTAAAAAAATCCTTATACAACAAAATGATCTTATTATAAAGGTAACTAAATTACCTTTTATACGACATACGTTACCATAATTATATTAGATGGCATGAGTCCCATGTTATGAGTAACATAAATAGTGAAAAGTGAGTGTTACATTACATTGTACATTGGCATTAAGTGCCGTAATGTGCACCTCTGCCTACAGGCATAAAAGGCGTGATGTTATGTTATGTTAAAATACTTATATCATAAAAACCGACTTCAAAAAACCAAAAACTAATAACAAACAAAAAGTCTAAACTAAAAAGCAAAAAATAACTATTATTAGTACTGATAGGTTACCCACCCACTGATAGGTAAGAAGTCGGTGCCATAAACCACTCGGCCAACGAAGCAGTCTATGTATACCTATCGAGAAATCAAAAAGAAAAACTCCGATTCTTTGCTCCCAGCTGTATTATTCTATTCATAAGTTTTTCTGAGAGACAATTCACAAGACAACGGATTTTTGTTACAAAAAAGCTCTTCGACTTTACTGTATTAGTTTAATTATAAAAATTAACAAACAATAGCTAACTACTTAACATACTTTTCTATATTGTATTATCACACGATATTCTGTCACACCTCAAAGATTTTGACGGCGTGAACGTTTTAATCACCAGTTAATGTAAAATTAGGTACTGTGATGTTTTTCATTGTTTTTTTTAATTAATTGCCAATACAATTACGATCACAATAATTACATAACATAACATTACGCCTTTTTATCCCCGAAGGGGTAGGCAGAGGTGCACACAGAAGTAACACCCACTTTACACTATTTATGTTATGAGTCCCATGTAATAGGGGGTGAACCTATTGCCATATACGGGGCACATTTCCAGACTCCGTGCTACTACTGAGATTTTTGAAAAACCCAGTAATACTTTGCCCGACCCGGGAATCGAACCCGAGACACCTTGCTAAATAATTTTCAGATATTAATTAATATCTGAATAATTACTTCTATTTCAACGCAGCATTTTCCAACCGGTTATCATATCGTCAATATCCTTATCTCGTATTATGAAAGAAAGAAAGAAAGTAATGGCATTTATTTTGCACCTGAATTGTTAACAACAGAATGAAAATTTAAATACTTTTTTTATTTAGTACAAAAATGTTTGTTAGACGAAATATTTACACTGTGGTAAAAATAATCCATTTTTACCTATATTCAAGAAACTTAAACCAGTATTGGATATGGTTCATTTAAGTTCAAAAAAAAGGTTCAAATACGTATCATTATAATAATATTATTTCCGACTTAGATAACGCTAAGTTTATTCCCTTATTCCTTTAGATGTCATTAATCAAAAACATATCGAAATCTAGCAATACTCAATAGATACGTAATAAGAATTACTTAACACTAAATACAAACAACAGAGTAACCGATCGATAATAAATTAAACACTATCGACAATGACAACCAAGATACATAAAATATTCATACAATAGGCGAACTGTAAATACACGCCCCCCAACCTAGAGACGATCAATTGTTATTCAGTCCGATCTTAACCTTTACTACTTCGTAAAGCGTAGAAAAACGTTCGATTTACTTAAAAAATTAGCATAAAATTAATATTATAATTTTAATGTTTAATTTTTATTTAACTTCAAGTATTATTTGCCGTATTTTAAGATACTTACAGTTATTTTTGGGAGCACGGAAGCAGTGTCGTCTGGAAGGCGTCCTCTTCAATACTAAGCCGTCGACGGTTGCCGGCCGGTAGAACTAGTCAGAAGTTAGCTGCTATAAACAAAAACGATTTCTATGTAATCGTATTGACAAAAATACTGAACACGCCTCGCGGTTTGAACTACTGAAATCTAGAATATTCACTGTAGCGGCTTGTCGAATAAAATGACTCGAAATATGGATAGCTTGTGTGAAAAATCATAATATCAATCGAAAAGAAATGTTAATAGCATGACTTCTGAGAAGGTCAAATAAATAATGTACTTGATCTATATCAAGGCATTTATGATGTGAGTCTTCTCTGCTATATAAGTAAGTAAGTATTCACGGGCCATCTCTTTCACCATCAGAGTGTCTAGTGCAAGTTTTTCACCTATCCGATTGTCTTAATTTTAACTACAATTTTTATAGAATACAACAATGTGGCCTATACAAATCATAGACATAGACCTTCAGATTGGTCACTTGCATCACCTTGTAGGTGGAGGTCCTACCATTCCGCTCTTCAATCTACGAGTTCTCTGCCTGAACGGCTGTCAGTTTTACGTGCTGTGTACCCCGACCAATTTTTTTTTCATGACATAAGCCGGTAAACGAGCATACGGATCACCTGATGGTAAGCAATCGGTGTCGCCCATGGACACCTAGAACACCAGAGGCGTTACAAGTGCGTTACCGGCTTTTTGGGGATTAGGAGTTTGAAGATCGTTGGGGATTCAGGGATTGGGGAAATTGGGGAAGGGGAGGGTAATTGGGCCTCCGGTAACCTCACTCACACGACGAAACACAACGCAAGCGTTGCTTCACGTCGGTTTTCTGTGAGGCCGTGGTATCACTCCGGTCGAGCCGGCCCATTCGTGCCGAAGCATGGCTCTCCCACAGTTATTGCCACTTAATTTCCGGTAATTTCACTGGGCCATATCAGCGGTTTTCATTTTTTACGAATCTCTTTATTTCTTATCTTGCAAAGAAACTCAAACTCTTCCCTATTACCTTCTTAAGAGTTCAGGCAGAATGTAGTGTAGGTACGTAGAAATATTGTTTTTTTTGTTTCGATACGATAAATTATCGGGTTCTTTCCGTGCTGGGCCGCGTAGGTATGTAGATTTTCGATTTATGAAAGTAATACGTGACGAATCGGTTACCTCATCTGGAAATAAAAGGCGTTGTCATGTTTAGTTATTAAAATTATACTTAGTTTAAAGAGATAAGTTTTTGCAATAAAAATAAGGTTATCGTTTATCAATGACTTTTGTGTTAAATACGATAATTATGTTAATTATGTACCTACCTATATTTAACAAAACATGGCAATAAAAATTGTTTCGACAAAGTTACTCACGGACGACAGAGAAATCTATTTCGTTTTCATCCCGCGGCAAAATAACATGCCATAAGGAGTACTTTCGATGCAAAAAGTACCAAAAAACAAAAAGAAAGATGTCATTTTATTAGTTTTTAGATGAAAATTGGGTACTATTCTCATCGCACGTGCCACCTGACGAGAAATACGTCTTCGAGATTTAACCTTTTGAATGCACCGATATGAGACACAATAGAAAATACATTGTGTCTCGCGTGGATCCACGCCTTAGAGTCTAAGGCTTACACACACGAAAAGTTAAATGAAATGGCGTGATGTTTTGATAATGTGCTATGAGTTCGTATTAGCTTTCGAAGTTCGCTTTTTGCAATGGTTTACCAGTTGTTTTGTTTTAAACATACCTAACTATTTCTTTATAACCTAATCGGCCTGACAGTTCCACAAGCCTTATAGACCGTTGAGGACAGGGGCGTTTGGAGGAGGGTTGTGCACCAAGTAACGCGTGCACCAGACTAGACACGACCTTCAGTAATGAAGAAGACGACTAGGAAGAAGAACTATTTCTATGCAAAACCATTTTATTATCGAGACAGAACCATTTTACTTCGGGACGAAAACGATTTAAACACGGTATATCCATAGGTAGATCTATCAGCCCTTTAATGAACTTGTGTTTGATAGGTAAAGGAAGCTAATGGTTTTATTACAAAAGTACACACGAATGGGGGGCCATTCGTGTGTAACGTAAAGACTTTTTCAAAGTGGGGTTTTTTTTTAATCTTTATTTAATTATTAAGGATATGGCAACCCCATCGTACCTTAGGGCTGGTACACAAAACTGCCATGCGACGTGACGCATCGCAAAAATGAGCAAGCTCCCTCGCACGAACTTGCCAATTGATTCGCATCGCGCATCAAAATCTTATCTTCCCAAAATCTTCTTTGTTTCTTTTTCCTATATCTCCTAAGCTATAACAGAAATGCACTATTCCTTTTACGATCCATGTCTGACAGTCGTCGAAGGAATAGCCACCCTGGGAGACGCCTTGTCGCACGAAATCGCATCGCAGCAATTCACATCGTTATTTTTTGCGTTGCGATTTCGCATCGCACCGCAGTTTTGCGTACGAGCCCTTTTTCTAAAGTGAACACATAGCTTAAATTATAATTTCACAATAGGAACTTACAGGTACCTAAGTAGAGGTACTTTACAAAAATCTAACATGTAATTGCATATCATATACCTAACTAACTTGTACAATAACTTTACCAGAGGGATACTACTACAGGCACTATATACTCAATTTAGAGATGACAAAAACAATAGTTTAGTCATAAACATTTATTTAAAACAAATACGAAAATTATACATTTGCTGAATGTTGAATTGGGTTAACATCTATTAATAATAAAAAAACAAATTATGTAGAAATCACGGCAGTGAAGAATCGACGGCCGATTGTGCCAGGCAGATTCTCGAATGGACGCCACGTAGCGGCAAGCGCAGCGTAGGCCGTCCACGTACAATAAGGTGGATAGAAGAGACCTGATAAGGGTTCCAGGACGAAGCTGGATGCAGGTAGCTTCCAACCACCCGAACTGGAAGTCACTGGGGACACCTATGTTCAGCTATGGACATTTTGTAGCTGATATGATGATGATGATAGCAGTAATTATTGGGTAATGGGTATAAGCAGTACAATAGACAGTAGACTGAATATTTCATAAAACTATTTAATGTATGTAAACGTTTGTATAATTCACCGCAACAAAGAACACGATATATTTAATGAATTCTTTGAAGACCTCTGTATATGCATTTGAAAATGGAACAGAGTTTAGCAAATACATAACTCGACATATTTCCTCATAAAGGTTTTTAGTATTATTCTCGCATGCATCAGTCCTGGGCATGTTCCTGAAGGCTGACAACTGTTTTCGATTCAGTGACTGGTTTCGTGGTATATTACATTCACAGACAACGCAGTCTTCGCACGCAATCCCATAATTGTCTATTAATTTTGCAGCGCGCTCCATTCCATATGTAACACATGGAATGGAGCGAGGTTCCAAATAATGACCTCTGTAAACAAAAATACAAATTAAAACCAAATAATAAAAAGTTTAGAAATAACTTCTATATTGTAGGTACCTACATGTAACTAAATGTTAATTGCTCTCCTCTTTTTATAGGTTTTAACGCTATGAGGGCTGCACTGTTGCGAAGCCCAATCACGTATGTGTTTGGTGTACATGAATGAGCCAAATTCCCGATCAACGGAAAGTATCCACGGTTTTTGTAATCGTGTGGTTGCATTGTAACCTTACAAATGTAACGAGCGACATGCAACATTTTCACTGGTGTACAATACAGAGACAGATACAAAAATATCCGAGCCACCGCACGTATGGCTGCTTCCTTCTCTTCTGAACCTTCTGGTAAGAATGACGTTCTCATTTCCAAGTAATGAATTATATTAACAATGCACATACATCTATTAAACATTCTGCCATGAATAAATGGGTAGTCAGCGCGTGGTTTCAATACAGAAAACTTATTGGAACCGAAGATCTTCGATGTTATTTCATTTTTTATTCCATCAGTGCCCAAATCATTGGACACGGCAATGAATTCTTCCCAAGAGTTACACAACCGACGTATCTTAAGAACAGTTTTGAAAGGTAATTTTACATCATCCACTATGATATCTGCAATTTTACATTCAACATCGTGTCCCTCCAGCATAGATTTTTCTTTGCAGTTTTCATCACAAAACGAAGCTCTACAGCAACCATCACAAGGTTTCAAATCTGGTGATATACGGAGACAATAATGGCATGAAGTAAATACATTTTTTGAATGAGTCGCAGCCATAAAGGCTGTCTCGTTTGCGAGAAGCGTCCCCACCACGATATTATTAGCAGCAACTACTTTTACTTGTCCTGATTCGACTATGACTTCTACATCTGGAGTAGCACACGGTACGTCCACATTGTTGCCCTTGAGCTTGAAGAAATTCTTAGTAAACGGAGTAGATCTGAAATGAAACACAATAATGAAACAAGTATAAATAATTTTTAGAGCCGCTATCAAAAACTTATGCCTATTATTGTAATTCGTAACTACAGGGTGGAAAGTCGGCAAACTGCCACGGCCCTCCTTCTGGACCCACCCCCCTCGTTCAGAGGTTTTAACGTTTTATTTGAACTTCCGGTTTATTATTAGGAACGAGGGTCCATCCGATGAATTTACCACAAGCCCCGAACGGTACGGTTACGCCACTGTGTATTGTAGTGATCTATCAATTAAAAATACTTATCCATGCAATAAATAATTGACTAAACGTAATACTTACACCTTTTTCAATGCTTCTTTTTCTTTGTGTACTGATTTACTGGCTGTAGATTTCATCTTCGTTAATTTGTCAACTAAATCTTGTGGACAATTCAATGCAAGGCAAGTATTAATATTATTTACACTTAAAGACCAGTGCGCAGGAAATTTCAATAAAAGTTCAGCTCTGCCACAATATGCTAATTGCATGATTTCAGAATTATTTGGTGCAAACATAAGTGCGATATTATACCCTAACAATGCGAGTTCAGCATTGCCTTTAGACATGAAATCCAAACCATGTTGCAGAAAGTTTTGAGATACCGACGTTGATTTTTCATTGAAATTGAACTCTAGCCAATTGTTAGTTTTATTTAACACATTTCTAGCAAGTACCACACAATCCGATAAGTCATTACTCTCCAATACATTGTAGATGTCCTTTAAAGACGAATCCGTGTAATATTTGTCCAGTCCCGTCCAGTTATTATGCATTTTTACTTGTTCGTGGCGCTTTTCACAACTTTATATAAACTAGACTCGCTCACTAAGTTGAGACAGTAAATAAGATACTTTACAGGAGTACCTACTCAGAACTGTAGCAGGATCCTTACTTACTCACGGCTATTTAAACTCTTTATAATCTCAAAATAATCTACCAAAGTACTTAAAACTGTTATCTGATAAATTCATAGGTAATGACGACGTTCGAACTTCAGAGTTTTGGAATTCCCTATTAATTGAAACCAATGATGCCATTCGTTAAAACACCTGATGCAGTTTTAAGACCCAACTTCTACGCGTATATTATGAGCCTCGTTGTGCGTGTCACGCCAGAAGCATTCGATAGGATTAGGTATCATATTCAATGTCCTTATTTTATACCTACATATAGTTTGTCTATTTAAGAATGACGACGAATGTTTGAGGACTAACAACTTTAAAACTATGGCAACACTCAATGAAGGTACGTTTTACGTTGAATGTCGTCAGCTGTGATCGAGTTTGTGCAAATCAGTGTTTGTTAAAGAGGTACTAGAGATTTTGAATAGAACAAGAAACTGGACAAATTTTATTAAATTAAGATTATATTTTCGCTCGAACAGTGGCTATGACGAGTAGGAATCATATTACTGTTTATATTTTATCTACCAGAAGTGAAAAACCTTCAAAATTAACGATGTTATATCTGAAATAAGGGATTTTTAAGTCGCTGGCCAGACCGAATTTGGTTTTTATAACCCGATCACAACTAGAGCAGTATAATAGCTTGCCAACTGCTCTAGTTGCATTTACTACTATGACGATTGACATAAATTATTTAGTAATTAATTAATAGACATACTTGTATGTCGTGTCCGATTGCGTGGGTTGCCAGAACCTTACAGTAATGTATCTTCGCCTTAATGCTGTCTAATTACAACTGTCAACATTGATTAGAACTGTCAAGCTTTCATTTTTCAAATGTCAATGTCAAACAAAATATAAACAAGCCCGGTGCGGTGGTGAGACTGAGACGCTACGTTGTGCAGTGAATAATAAATACTGTGCTCCTATCAGTATTTAGTACTAGGATTTTTGTGCTGTGTGTTTTAAGATTCGTAAGGTGTTAATACTTATTTCCCTTCCCATATAAGCTGTCACAATCGCGGCACAGAGTCACCCTTATCTTACTGATAAACTTTTGACTGTAATCCTGAATTTTATTTCGATTGCAAAACTAATAGGGGGCTATAAAGCCTTAAATAAATTCTTCTTCCGTTTTTCTAAATAATTCCCCTAAAATTATTGAATAGCTTTAGAGAACACTAAGTGTACTATTCATTATGTATATCAGTCCCCAAGATCAGATACTCCTTTCTATCCAACAAAGTCTATTTTGTTCTTAATATAAATGAAGATAGAGTATAAAGGCATCATTCTGGCACTAATAAATAAGATTTGAAATCGTATGGATGGGTATTGCTAGAGAAATGCCCATTATGTATTGAATGTGGTAAGGTAGTAAGGACATTTCATCTTGCCTTGTAAACTAAAATTAAATCCAACTCAAACCATATAAACCGTAAACCAAGGTTCATTATTCTACTGCCTCAATATTGAACATTGTAGAAAATTAGGAGGGGAAAAAGAAGTGAAAATTATCAGTACAAAATAGTAAAACATGATCAAAGAATTCATTATAATAATATTGTAAATGAAATAATTTGTTCTTTTTTTATTCAGAACTTTACAATGAGTCAAAGGCGCAACAGACAATCCAATACAGAAGTTGATATATCAGCACTGGAAGATGCAATTAAGGAATGTGTTCGGTACATAATTTGTCGAGAAGGTAGTAAAATACCAATTAAAAGAGGTGAAGTTTCTAAACATCTTACTGCAACCTGTCACACTACACCCAATCAAGTAAAGACTGTTTTAATTGAAGCAGACAAGATATTGAAACGGGTAAGTTGTGAAATGTTAAAGGCATGACAATAATAAGTTTTTTAAGTGTATAAGAGCCATGCTTTGACACAAATGGGCCGGCTCAGCAGGAGTGATACCACACAGGCCTCACAGAAGATCGACGTGAAACAATGCAAGCATTGTGTTTAATGTGTTTCGTTGTGTGAATGAGGTTACCAGAGGCCCAATATGTGTAGATTCGAAACCAACATGTTAATTCTGTGCAACTTTCCAACTCGCATGCTACTAGTGACAAGTGCTCAATTGAAGCAAGCATTGTTGCTTAAAGCGATTGGTTTCATAAGCGAGAAAATTGCCTTAGAGATAGTAGTTTATGTATAGTAATTTTAAGAATGTATAAAGTATTTATAATAGTTTTAAGAACCTTAAACTAGATTTTTTCACATCATTTTATATTTCCGACTTCATGTAGAAAGCATAAGCTCTTTTACATATTCAAGTAATCTAAGTAAGTAAGTTTTTCCAGGTTTATGGATACAAACTAGTTCAAGTGGACTCTCAAAGTGGTGTACCATACATAGTAGTACTTACAGAAGAATGTGAATCCCTGCCATCACCTGTCACAGATGTTCAACACAGAACTATACTGATTGCCGCACTCATGCACATATTTATGACTGGGGCTCCAATCAAAGAAGGTGTTTATACTTTATACATATTTAAATACTTTGTATGTTGGGTTAACTTAATTTAATATTACATAACATAACATCACGCCTTTTATCCCATAAGGGGTAGACAGAGGTGTACATTACAGCACTCAATGCCACTGTACTATGTAAGACCCACTTTTCGCTTTTTATGTTATGAGTCCCATGTAATAGGGGGTAGGCCTATTGCCATATACCGGCCACATTTCCAGACTCTGTGATTTTTTAAAAACCCAGTAATACTTTGCTCGACCCAGGAATCGAACCCATCGGCATTCCCACTTGCTACCACTCGGCCAATAAGGCAGTCTAATTTAATATTCATTGTAATATTCTTTTTAAAATTAATTACAGATGACATGTGGAAATTCCTAACTGAAGCAGGTCTTATGGAGAATGAGAATGACCAGACAGTAAGGAAACTGCTGACCCATACATTTACTCGGCAAATGTACTTGGAATATACCAAGGTAATTTAACTGACTATTTTATGGTAAACAGAGCCTGATGACTTGATGGTAAGCAATCAACATGACCCATGGATACTTGCAACAGCAGAGGATATGCATAATGTTCAAGTGGGCACAATCACAACAGTTGTGCTTACACAATACATATATGGTTTCAGAAGCAATTTTTGAGTCAGACAAAACAATACCGTGTGCGATATTAACATACTATTGTTTTCTGGTTATGTTAAATTGAATTCATGAAAATATTGTGATTTATTTCTACAAAAATTACAACAAACTACAGAGAGCTTATTACGAGTTAGTTTTGCGTGTAAACAAATCGAAACGAGACTGCTTTAGACACTGATTGATTGGTTCATCGGAGCCGGCCAATCAGAGCGCCGGACGCGTACTAAGGCCTAAGCTTTAATGACTCCAATAACAGTATACAACTGCACGGTTGGCGTCAGCTGGGCAACTGGCTGCCGCGCGACGTGGAACAACGCTTTATTTGATCCACAGATTGTTGTTCCGGGTCTGGATGTCATGTGTATGTGAACTTGTACACGATACAGGAGAAAATCCTACTGTGGGGCATTGTCACAAAAAGTGTTGCAGCCACTGTAGCTCTTGTGTCTTGTTATCGAAACCACTTTCTAAGGAAGTCACAGTAGGCCAAGGTACCTACGAAAATGTTCAATATTATTAGTCTGAATTCTCCATACTTTTTTATTTTTACAGGAAGGCGAGGATGATCTTGCTAGGCATGTCTTCCAATGGGGCGCTCGTGCTGTCGAAGAAGTACCAAAACCATTTCTTCTGGGCAAAATGGCAGAGGTAAAGTTTACATTTTAATGCCTTCAAATTATTTAAAGTGCAACCATGCCCCATAATCACTATTTTTCTATATTATCTCTGGAATTTTGAAACCTAAATAAGCTAGAGTGGTTTTACTTTTTTTTATTTTAAATGGTCATCCATAAATATTTTTTTGCGCCTCCTCCGTCCTTGTCACAGCTGGTGATATTTGTAAGAGTAGTGTGACACTCACCCCTAACGTGACGTCACATTTTGCAAAACATAGAAATTATTGAATGAAAAAAAATTAATGAAAGATTTTACAAAAATAATTTATTTATACAGATTTAGTCATTGGCGAGGCCTATGTTCAGCAGTGGACGTCCTGTGGCTGATATGATGATAATACAGATATAATTGCATATGTTTTTTAACTTTTATAGTGAATATTTTTAAGGTTTTTTTTATTTATTTATCGTATTTACAATAAGTACAGGATTATCCATTTAAAATAGCAACCAAAATTCACTAAGGTTTAGGTGTTTTATCACAGATTATAATAGTTTTTTAAATGTGACGTCATCGTTTAGGATCCCTTCCATACTCTTGTCAATCAATGTCGCACTTTGTCAGCCACGTAATGACTCCCATATGACATTATTTATGCATGGCCCCAAACAAACAAACTAAAAATTATATTTTTATTTTATGCTATAGTATCGAAGAAAGAAAACTAATATGTGATTACAATGTCATAACTAAGTGAGGATAGTAAAATTAAACTATGTACTATTTACTTTTCAGGCATTTCAAAAAGAACCAGAGTATTGGGGTGAGCAGTACAAGAATGCACATCAAGACACAGAAGTCTAATATTTTGTAAAAATAAAATAATTATACCGTTAATATTACTTAGGTACAAAATGTGATAAAAAATTACCTTATCATTTGTTTGAAAGAGATACTTTCACTATGGTTAGGTACGTATTTTAAAATAAGTTGATATGGTCAGCAAACAAAGCACGGCATATTATTTTATACTTTTATATGTGTAATGCGAAAATACTAGGAAGCAATGAAACTAGTGATTTAGTTCCTCCTCGTGATTTATGAAATAGATATGTTAATTTGCAATTCTTACTATATCTTGCCCTCTTCATTTATAAGGCAATTTCGTTTTGTATGTCTTCAATTTAATCACCTATTACTAATAAATAAGTTGAATTTTATTATTATTTTATTTTATGACAGATTCTATAATTTTAACAAAATTTAAAATTGAACTGCCGAGCTCGGGATCCTGTATCCCGAATCAAGTACACAGTGATAATGAAAAAATGTCTTGTTATTTCTTACCCGGACAATGTCGGTCACAAGTATAGGCGATGGGCAAAAAATCGCTCATCTCTAGCCAAGGTCTATGTTTAACAGGAATTCCTGTTAAACATAGACCTTCCTCAAGATCCGGCCTGAAAGCCAGTTTTAATATTAGGAGTTAATAGTAATGATGATAATTGATGGTTTTAATAAAATACCGATCAAAAAATTACCTGCTCTTGATTTTACCTAAAAACCCCATATCTACATAAAATAAAAATTTTATTGACAGTTGACATTTTAATCTGTCAATGTCTGAATGTCACCTGAGATGTAAGGTAGATGCAATGTCACTGTCGTTAAACTACTGTCAAACACAGTAAAGTAGTTAAGTGTCAAATTCAGCTGGAATGTACTGTGTGGTGCACACGTTTTGAAAAATTTCTCTTGTAAATTTTATAAGTTCACTTTACTTAAGTGCAAGAAAAGTGTATAAACTGTGTGTGTTAAAAGTGTAAAATAGTGACAATGGCGCAATCTCCCGCAGCTATAGCTCCTCCTAAGGAGCGCTACGTGCCGAACGCGCTTAAATTCGCTTTCGGCGGCCTTGCCGGGTACAAATCTTGAATTTATTTTAAGAATACAAACATGTCCTTTGAATAAGATCAATGTCATTAACATGGTTATAGAGAAAGGCTGTCGTGTTTTGTTTTTACGATCAAATTTATTAACTGACAACGAATCATATTAGAGCGTTGTTTAGCAATAGTAAACCTTGTCCCCGTTAACAACTGTGTGCTAAATATTACTCTAACAAATTAAACTTGTAATTAAGATCTTTAGGTTCATAATTGAATGGATATTGGTAGCCCAGTGGTGATTATGTAATAAGCCAGAGGTACAAGTTTACAGATATCACTGAGTTTCTCATTAATTTCTTATCAGGTTTCGTATTCTTATTAACACCAACAATGTTTGTTTCACTGGTACTTAATGTAAGATTAAAAAAGTACTGTTAAGCTGTTAGCTACCAAAATAATTTTCTATTGATTAAATAAATATTTTATCACAACTACATAAATATCTGAAAATGCTCAAAATCTCTCAATGAGTACAATATTGGCTACTTACTTGCTAACCTATTCTTTATAAGTTATAGTAGGTAATTGTTGCTGCCACTATTAACTAATTTTATTTTATGAACTTATAAGAATTTATATTTTGAATAAAATAAAAAGTATTACTTAACTACTTATAAATCTTTAGCCCAGATTGTTAGTGTCATTTCACTATTAAAGATCCTTCTGTAAAAAAAGTATACTTTTAGTTAAGTCATAGATTATGCTAAACAACTATATTTTTATTTTTTGTTTCAGTATGGCAGCGACTTGTGTCGTTCAGCCTCTAGACTTGATCAAAACTCGGATGCAATTGAGCGGTGGTAGTCGAACCTCTTTTGCTGTTGCCGGAGAGATTGTGGCCCGAGAAGGCTTTGTGGCACTATACACTGGACTGTCAGCAGGTTTGCTGAGACAGGCTACTTACACTACCACTCGTCTTGGAGTCTACAACTACCTTTTTGATTCATACAAAGAGTGAGTACTGCATATTGAATTCTTTAGAGAGAAAGATAAACCATTTATTTTGCTATGACACACAACAAGAATTTAGGAACACACAAAAAAGCCTTTTCACATTTTAATTAGATAGAATATTTAAACAAGTTGACTGTACCGCTTCTGCCTACTCTTTTTGAGAATAAAAGCGTATTAGATTAATTTTATTATATTTGTCCAACAAAATGAATAACAGCTACAAACAGATCAAACACTATTCAATAATATTGTACTTGTCAGACATCCAATTACTTACTGTACAGTGTATACTATGTGCACTCAGTAACATCATTGCTCCACAAGTCTGAACCTAACTACAATAAATTTGCCTCTGCCCTAATTTGAGAAATATAAACAACATCATGTTAGGCTCGCATCACACATAACTGGGTACATAACGGGGTACTTGCCAACTAGTCAAATTCAATACTTTTTTCGAACTGTCAAAAACGACAGTTTTCTATGAATTTTGAATTGACTATGAGATTGTGATGTCACGTTTTTTTAGCTTCAAACAGCATACTTAGTTGTTAAAAATTTGCTGAAAAAATACTAAAATTAAGGTAGTCATAAAATCAATTAATGAAAATGTGATTATTTTCTAATATTTTATTGTATTGAACAGTCGAAATAATTTATTTTTGATTAAGGCAAGTAGGTACCCAACTGCTGGTGAAAAGCGCATGTTTTTATGAGACAGGAGGCATACGAACATTAAACGTAAGTGAGCATCGCCGCCGATATACATCGGCAACGTCAAAAGAGTTACAAGCCACCACTCGACACTGGCAGTATAGTCGACAACACCGTTTTGGAGACTCAGTTGCCAAAGAAGAAAAAAAAAAGTAGTTAAAACTCTTTCGTTGTGGTTTTTAAGTATAGAATCGGAAACATCGTTGACAGTTCATTCCATTGTCAAGGAATGAATGTTTAAATAACCTTTCTAGGAATAAAACGCGTTGTGTAATATTGACTCTTATTTCTACTGTAACTACGTTCCTGCCTATCCCAGTACTAATTTAGCGTCGTTCTTACACCCACAGTTAGTAATTATGTCATTATTCCAATGGTAGTGGGGAAATATGGCTAGCCAACATACACGCTTAACCGAAAACAAAATTTCAAGCTCGAATCTCTTTATCCGTCTGTCTGTTTGTACCTACTAGCAAAACTCTGGAATGGCTGGACCGATTTTGCAAGACTTTTATTGGCAAGTACTTACTTGATATACTAAGGAGTAACATAGGCTACTTTTCTTTTGGAAAATTGAAACAAAAAAAAATAACTGTATTCTAAAATTCATATTCTACGCGCATGAAGTAGCGAGCAACAGCCAGTAACAAGTAAATGTCATGGAAAAGTAAAATTAGAATGAGGACACACTTGCGATTGCCGGATTGCGAGTCACTCAATTAAATATTAATGAAATATACTTGATTAGCGACCCGCCCCGGCTTCGCACGGATGCAATATACCTCATACTATTTTAGCGGAAGAGCTTGTTTTTTTGTTTGTTTGTTTGAACGCGCTAATCTCCGTAACTACACGTCTGATATGAATAATTCTTTTTGTGTTGGATAAAGCATTTATCGAGGATGGCTATAGACTATAAAACATCACGCTACGACCAATAGGAGCTGAGCAGAGCGTGTGAAACCGTGCGGAAGTAGCTAGTGTATTATACATATAAATCCTTAAGAATCACTCTATCTATTAAAAAAACACATCAAAATCCGTTGCGGAGTTTTAAAGATCTAAGCATACATAGGGACAGAATAACTAAATAGACTATAAGAAAAAAGAATATAACATAAAAACCATCAAATGTAATAACTCTATTTAAAAGTGAATAAAAGAATTTTGAATCAAACAGACGGCGGATACCGACTTTGTTTTATACTATGTGATGAAGTTGACGCATACTAATGCGTAACTTTTTAAGAATGCATGGATGATATTCTTCTACACACACAAGACTATTTTATCCCATTAAAGAAACGAAGCCGCTGGCAGAAACAGAAACTAATCGTATTCACATCGATTGGTCGTAATTGAAATTGATTTGCAGACTATGTACCAATCTAGTATCTAAGCACAAATGCCTAGTATCTAGACTAGGCCGTATAAACTAGACCTATGTAGTTACTACCTATAGTAAATGCTACGTTAGTTTATTTATAAATAGCAGCTTTAGTAACAGACACACCAAGTGACCTGTCGACCTCTCACTTGCACTGCACGGTGCATTGTGCCCGATAAATTAATTTATGCACATTGCATAAATGCGAGCAAAATAAACATATGACATAGGTACTCAATATCCTGACTTTATTCTGCTGTTCACAGGCACAAGTTTAAATTGTGCTTGATATATGGCAATAGACGGGTAATAGTCTTACCCCACATAGTCTTACATGAGTATATTTATGTACCATAGAAGTTATTTTACATAACATAACAACACGCCTTTTATCCCCGAAGGGGTAGGCAGAGGTGCACATTATGCCACTGTAAAATGTAACATCCACTTTTCACTATTTATGTTATGAGTCCCATGTAATATGGGGTGAGCCTATAGCCATATACCGGACACAATTCCAAACCCCGTGCTACTACTGAGAATTTTTTTTAAAACCCAGTAATACTTTGCCCGACCCGGGAATCGAACCAGACGCCCTTGCCCGACAGTTGCACTTGCGACCACTCGGCCAACGAGGCTGCCGAGCAAGTTATTTAAAAAAAAATGTATTTAAAGGCTTGATGTTATGATATGTGTGAAGTTACGTCTTTATATATTAGCAATTCACTTACGATAAAGAAAATGTATATTACCTAAATAAAAATAGGTACCTATTGCTTTCGATCCCTCTTACGACCGTACGATGAAGAAAGTACCAAAATATTAGCTAAATGCAAAAATTGCTTTACAGAATAAAAGTAAATGCCTTACGAAAACATCTGACTACTCACCCTTAGGGTGCGTCCACATTTGGCGAATGAATGAGCAGCTCGGGAGCCGCTCGCAGGCAGCCCGCAAACGGCTCGAGAGCGAAACATTCGCCGGATGAGGACGCACCCTTAGGGACGCGCATGGCTAGGCTGTATAAGCATTAGAGAATGTAACTTAAAAAATAACCAGTAATAAATAATTAACCACTAAAGGCTCGACATTGATAAATGAACTCTATTATTAGTGACTTATTATTCATTATTAGTATTTAGAAATCAGCATTTCAAGGTCATGAGCAAGGCTGCAATGTCGACTAAAATCTGTACTGTGTTTTAAAATAAGTTTATTAGCCATACCAGCATACCGTTGTGTCGTGTGAAGGTTTTAGAAGGGCAGTAACGCTTTCTCATAAAACTAAACCATTTTACAACGCGCCAGCTAAGCGTGAAAATTGAATAATAACTTTCGTGAGACATACTAAATAAATATTATGTTTTAGGCTTAATCACGTAATAATTTGACGAGGAACTCGACTTGTTTCAAGCCATGCTAGAGGCTCATATTCATGAGCAGCATTTCGCGACCTGAGACGCGCCGACTGTCACGCTGCTACTGTAGTAGTACAGTACTGTAGTATGTAGTACTCATGAATATGAGCCTCTAGCATGGCTTGAAATTAGTCGAGTTCCTCATCAAATAATTACGTGAGTAAGCCGAAAACATAATAATTTATTGAAGAATGAAATTAATGGTAAAGGCAAATCCCTGCTTAATAGATAAGACTAATTCTTAGCTGTTTTTTTTATTTAATAATTCTTAGCCTATTCTTATTCTAGTCTTAGCCTTTATTTAAAATGTATTATTTATAGATTCATATCGGAAAAATTGTAAAACATTGGCCGATAATCTTCATCTTTATGTCGATATATTCTATTTCTGGATTACATATCTGAGTAATTGATAATTTGAAGGTATAAATAGTTACACTCCTAAAACCAATAACACATATCCTTACAAAAGGTCACGCTAAAATATTTTTAGAGGCCGTGAAATAACGTGTAAACCGTATTACCAAAGGCATTTTATGAAAATCTAATTTAATTAAAATATGACCAAGAAGTCACTAACGTGCCAATGAATATGCTTTTTCCCATCAACATGATACGAGGACATGAAAAGCCTAAGAGACACCACTACTGGAATATGAGCCTTCTTTACAAAAGAGGTGTTTGCCAAATTAGCAGGCGCGCTGGAGACCGCAGTTCAAAAGGTTTAAGTGTATCAGAAATAGGGTAGTCTCTTAAATTTTATTTTAATGTCCATCTGGTACATTAATTTAAAACTTTAGACACGTGTTTTTCCTTTCCTCACAAAATTAAATACTTTCGACGATATATTAATTTGAAATATCGTGTGTCGTCACAGCGTGTCACATTTTGTAGCACGTTATGACGTAACGACCTCCCACTCCTAAACTTAGCGCCATTTTGTCTAAGTATTGCAGCTTAATACGAGAAAATAAAAAAATACGTGTCTAATATTTTTTCATTATGTAACTGACGGACTAAATAGATTTTTAATTTTGATACCCTGGAAACTACCCAATTGCTGCTGGCCGACCTCCTAAGGTATTCGCTTAGTCGGCTCTTATGACATTTGTATTCTAGGTACTATACTATCACCACATCCACACAGCACTATTTTCCAATTCACTCTTTCATTAATTATTGGACATTTCGTAAGAAAACAATACATTGACGATAACCAATACGAGTATTAACTCGTTTATGTGTGTTTTGTGTGATACAGTTAAAGGTTACACTTCAAGTTACTGTTACATTTCGCTCGTGAATTCGATAAGACTTGCTGCAATAAGTAGGTACCTAATTATGTAATCAAAGGTCTTTAACCTTTCTTGTGAAAAATGATTGGTACTTTACGTATTGTTTGTTGTACTGCCTCATTTCTCGGGTCGCACTTTGAGAAAAGCGTCTGGAAATCTCAACTCGTATTTAATTAATTTTCAAGTCGAGCAAAGCAAGCAGTCCTCTGCTGGATCAAGGGAAACCTCTACTAGATGTTTGCAACAATATGCACCCTTGGCAGTGCTGTCGAAGATCGTAATATCGTAATTGAAAAGGCTAAGAGAATGTTTCAAAGAGCGATGGTAGCCGGTCACTGTCAAGTGTTTAGTCAGGTCTTACGATTCTTACGAAAAAGTAGGGATTCTTACAAATGTTTTCCATTTTACACATTTAATAACATACTCTTCAAATGTTAGGTTAGGTTAGGTCGTTAATAAGTGGCAAAGGAAAAATGCACAAAATTTTTGCGCATTGCAGCCAATTGCTTGTTGGCAGAAATTCGCGCAAAAATTATTTTTTATTACGACTGACCTAGCTACTGCATTCCACTTTACGTTCAATAGTCATAAGCAGCTAACGAAGTTATATTCCAAGTTCTAAGTCTGAATCAAATTAATTACAAAGTATGTATGTAGGTAGTTAGGTACCTATGTACTTACAAAAAAAAGGAATTTACAATCACAAACGGTTCTGAAATCACTCCGGGCGTCCGAGATTCCGCAAACACCTCAAAGAGCCATCAAACCACCACAGATGGGGCCTAGTAGAGCTGATGCCCGATACGGAGCCGCGGAAGGCCTAACGGGTTACCGGGGCTCCGGCTCGAAGAGCTGGAGTAGGAACGGGGTTGTTTTTACTTAGTAAGAGTCTGACACTCGCTCTCGCCTAACCCAAGGCGGGAGAAGTCATTGGATGATTTTCCCCCACAGAAAAGCCAGTTGTTAAAAGTCAACAACTGAACACTGAACAATACATAATTATACAATGCAAATGTAAGGATTGTTGAATGCAAAGTGATATGGAAGAAAAACTTTATGTATGGCGAGGTCACGGTTCACGGCTAAAGCTGATAACAAATCTTAGTTCTCATTATTTGTCTAACCGTGAAAAGAACACCATATATAGCATCGACCCCTAACAAGACACAAGGGCAAGAAGAATAGATAACTATCCGTCTATGTATACAATACCTTTTTTCACACATAACTGAATCAATTTTTCACCATCGAAAATTTTGAAACGCTCTAAATCATCGTGAATAGTGTAAAATGCAAGACAAATGTCACCTTCAGTCGTCGTACGAAGCACGTGCATCTACGTCAGTATTGGAATTCCTTGCTCACCTGATTTTAAAAAAGTTCGGCAAAAAATAGTCACTTATTTCCTATTTTCCATACCATCTATCGTGACATTGCGGTAGCTACTATCGCGTCACTATTTTGATGGATGAACCGATCTGTATCTGTCTGTTCTAAAAATACTTAAAATGATATTTGTATTTTCGGCCCAGCGGTATCAAGGGCAATAGTTTACGTTGTTTTCGATTCTCTTTTGCTCTTGGTATAAGGGGCATATGTATAGTCTGCCAGTTCTACCACCTCGTAATTTTCCCTTCATATAACTGCATAAAATGAAGTTGTTACTAAAAATCAGTCTTCTAGTTTTATTTTATCCTATCCTAATATATCCCCTTCAAAGAGCCATCAGACCACCACGGATGGGGCCCAACAGGGCTGATGCCGATTCGGAGTCGCGGAGAACCTAACGGGTTACCGGGGCTCCGGCTCGACGTGCAGGAGAAGGAACGGGTGGTTTTTAGTCAGTAAGAGTCTGACACTCCCTCTGGCCTCACCCAGGCGGGAGCAGCCATTCGATGATTTTCCCCCCTTAAAAAAAATCCTAATATATCACAAACTCCTCATTTGTTTTCGTTAATTGCAAGTTAAAACATTATCACATTGCGTTCAGCGAAACATCGATATAAACATGAGGGTTGTTCTTGCCATGAACGTGAACTATGACGTCATCGAAATTTGTAGAAAATTGGCACGTTTTCAAACGAAGTCGTTAACATGCGCTGTCTAGATATCTAGGCTATTGCATATAAGTACTAGGTTCATAGAACTTACGTAAGGAAACTATCTGCACTGCACTACATAATAGTGCAATCGGTCAAATCCCTTTAATAGATTTTTAACCTTATCACTATGCGATATAGATGAATATCTATCCCAAAAATTGGTTCGAGAAAAGTAGCTTAAGATGCTAGTCCGTACAATGATTCCTTAAGTTAATAGCATTTATTTTAATTAAAGCTTATTTAGGCACTTTAGTAACGTCAAAAATTGAATTATCCGTTCGTCAGTCCGTCTATCTGTCAGTGAATCTAGGCGCTCGTTCCAAAGTGTAGTTTCGAGTGGAGAAGAACGAGATAGAAACTCCACTGTTCTCGATACGGAGCCGCAGAGAACTTAACGGGTTGCCAGGGCTCCGGCTCGAATAGCAGGAGTAGGAACGGGGTGGTTTTAAGTCAGTAAGAGTCTGACACTCCCTCCCGCCTCACCCAGGCGAGAGAAGGAATTCGATGAATTTCACGCCTTAAAAAAATCGTTACTCTTTTAAAAAAAAATTTTTACAGTCTCATTGATATTTTATCTGATCCTTTACCAATTGTAAAAGTCCACTAATTCCGTGTTTATGGGAATGTCTTCGGTTTATTATCGTATCGGTATATCAGTAAACTTCATTTTCTTCGACCAATGTGCATGCCAGATATGCTTATCTGCATTCTTTGATAATGTAAACTGCAACATCTGTGGCTGTGCTGATAGGATAAGAAAATCCTTTTAAAACCACCTCTGTTGACCTTTATGAATGTTTTTTTCACCATTCAGCAGGCAACGTATATGTAAATTTTCTTGTGTGTAAAGTGTTGACTGTCCACAGACGATACTGAGTACTTTCCATCATTTGATCTCTGGGACCATTATAATAATATCTTGTATATTTACAGGAAAAACGGTGCAGCACCAGGTTTCGGCACCAAGACCCTGCTCGGAGTAGCAGCTGGTTCAGTTGGAGCATTCGTCGGTACTCCTGCTGAGGTGGCTCTCATTCGTATGACAGCTGATGGTAGACTCCCCGTAGAACAGCGAAGAAACTACAAAAATGTCGCCGATGCCCTCATCAGGTGAGTTTTATCTTGTTCCATAGATGGCGCTGCGGACGAAATTGGGCCAGCAAAAATAAAGATAATTGCAAAAAAAGACAACCTTTTAATTAGAAATCACGGGGTATTCACGTGAATATACTGGAAGAGCCTCTCTGTGGCTCGAAACTAGTAGAGCTTTTCTCAGTATATTCACGTGAATAACCCGCGATTTTTAGTTAATTTAGTATGTCTCACGATAGTTATTATAATCTATATAATCACTTGTGATCTGCAGTCCAAATTCACAAGAAGTGAATAAACACAACAACGTTCTGTAAAAAGTACACATAATACTGCACAGAAATATTTTGATACTAGCTTTTAACTGTCAATAAGATTGATGTACAAAAAATACGATTACGTATTACAATAACACTTTCATAATCTTAGGTACGTTTAAAAAACACCTACTACAACCTCCTCTTTTATGAAGTCAGTAAATTAGTATCTATACCAACCTTCAAACCTAAAAAATCTAGTATATAAAAATAATTCATTTTCCTTCCTGACGCTATAACTCCGGAACGCACGAACTGATTTCCACGGTTTTGCATTCGTTGGAAAGGTCTCGGGCTCCGTGAGGTTTATAGCAACGAAAATTCAGGAAAAAAAATCTTCTTTCTTAATCACCAAACGAAATATTACATAAAACGAAGCCATCTGTGGCAAAACGGAGTTCGCCGGGTTTGCTAGTAAAGTAATATATAACCTTCTCCTTACTGTAACAAACAGTTTTGAAAGTCATAGTTGAGTTGAGTTAAGTGAAAATCGCATCAAAATCGCTTTAGTCAATCGCGAGATAATCACGCACAAACATGCATACATTTAGTCGGTTAAAAATACCTATGATGTTGTCTGTGCATACCTAATATCTTATTTATATAAAGATAGAGATAATTGTCAGTCTTGTTACACCTTATCTCCAATGACCTTCTAAATGTCAATTCTGTCATGCTGTAATACTGAACAGATTATGATGAAACTATATTGACTTGTATGCACGGAAATAAATTACAACGAATAGAGATGATGACGGGGTATGAAAATAAAAATCTAATTAGTCTATCAGTTAGGTAATGAAAAAATATTAGACACGTATTTTTTTATTTTGTTCTATAATAAAATGATACTTAGATATAACGAATCAAAGTTTAGGGGTGGGGACTAAAACGTCATTTCTACGTATAAAATGTACATAGAAGTGACGTCACGCAACATTTCAAATCAATATATCGTGGAAAGTATTCGTTTCTGTCAAAAAATAAAAAATACGTGTGTAATGTTTTAAAATAATCTACCAGACGAACATTAAAATAAAAATTAGTCTTCTACCCAATTACTGGGATATTCGATTTTGGTATTATACACTACAGGACTATATTGTAACAGTACCTATGAAGTCACCTTCCACCTAGGGCCTGACAGATCTCCTAAAAACAAATCGATTTAGCAGTCCCCTAGTGAAATATATTCTCTCGTTCCCAAGTCTATATGGAGAAGAACGAGCAAGAAACTTCATGGTTACTCGTCCGAATTATTAATGGCATGGTTACCCACAGGATAGTAAGAGAAGAAGGTGTTCTCAAGCTATGGCGAGGCGCCACACCCACTGTCGGACGAGCCATGGTGGTCAACGCTGCTCAGCTCAGCACATACTCACAGGTAACTTTCCTCTATGTGGTCCTTATCTCAAGGTACTAAGGGCTTTTTACTTGTACTAGAAACTAGAAGTCTTAATGGTAAACAATCAGCGCCGCCCATGAACACTCGCATCACCAGATTAGATACCAGTTCGTTACCGATATTGGTCAGGAGTGTAGTGACCCGGTCATCACAATTATATCTTTTTTCTTCCCTTCACCCCATCACTATATGATATTATACTCGTATATGCTCTTTTTATAAAAGTGCCCGTCATAGAACAGTCATAGTCTTGTGAATGCTTTATTATGTAGATTACTAGCGGCCCACCTCGAATTCGGACACTGTTCTTTTATTTTCTCTTTTACAAAATAAAACTTATCCAATTTAGTACAGTCGTTCAAGAGTTTTGCACATACAAATATGTCGGTTGTTTCCACCAGGCGCGCGAGATGTTCGTTGGCTACGTACCTGACGGTATCACGCTACATTTCTGCGCATCCATGGTGTCTGGTCTCATCACCACCATCGCTTCCATGCCTGTGGACATCATCAAGACAAGGTAAGATCTTTATTGATTCATTTTCCCAGGTTTTGGTCTACTTTTGACTGGGAAGATTAGATTAAGCATCACTATCGTACCTAACGGGTAACCGGGGCTCCGGCTCGACGTGTAGGAGAAGGAACGGGGTGGTTTTTAGTCAGTAAGAGTCTGACACTCCCTTCCGCTTCACCCAGGCGGGAGCAGTCATTCGATGATTTTCCCCCCTTAAAAAAAAAAAGCATCGCTATCGTGACGTCACATTATCACATAGGTCTAGCATCACTATCAAATAAAGTTTCGAAATAAGGTTTCGAGTTGAAATGTTGAGAAAGCAAAACACCTCTTTTTAAACAAGGATTCTAGTACTTAGATGGCTTATGATGTTTCTACGTATCCCATGGAAAAAGACTGGAGTCCGCGAGTGTATGTTTTGGTTTAGAGTAGTGCTCGGTTCACCGCTGGAAGAATGTGCAGTTTTTTGAAAAAATTACGATTGGTTTGAATACCAACGATTGAATACAGCAAACACTGATTAGTCTTTATGCTAAGACTAACCAGTGCCTTTAGCCAAACGCCACTTTAGCGCTTGTCTACAGAGAGAGTAGAAAACTAAATGTAGGGGGATGACACTGTCAAGTGTCAAAATTTACGTCAATTCCATATAATTTGGTTTTCTATTCTACATGTAGACAAGCGCTAAATGGCATTTGGCTACAGCTGCTAAGCCGTTTACAGTGTTTCGTTTATACTTTTCGCAATATAACATCCTAGCCCAAGGCGTTATTAAATTGCCGCAGTTAATATTTCGACATCGATAAACACAATGATACTTCACTCGCCACTCGTTTGCAATTCAACAAAGGTCTAATCATATTTTACCTCTAGAAGTAACAACGGTACATTAAACAATTTACATAATCTCTCCACTAAAAATAAAAATAAAAGTATTATTTCCAAACGGGTCAATGTCGTGGAACTGTGACGTCACGAGTTTAATTTAATAACCTTCATGCTGCTTACGTCAGAGGTATAAACAGTCGGGATCTGACGAGAGCGATATCAGACATACCTTCACACAAACAAATATATTTATTTAGGTGAATGATGAAACTGGTTTATTTCGTCATGTCATAATGTAAATGCGATATTTTATTTTAAACTGTCAAACACCAAGCGGTCACCGGTGACCGCAACCTATTGTTCTTTAATTGTGTCTATAAATACGGTACTCGACGAGTTAAATGGGTGTCTTTTGTCGTCATAAGGTCTTAAATTGTATCCCTTGACCATTAGGCCAAAAACTGAATTGAATTCAAAATCTCTTAAATAATCAAATAGATTAGTTCTTCCCGAACTTTGGGACCTTTATTAATAGACTTAAAATAAATAAGAGTGTATATGTTATGTAACTGTACAAAAAATACATACTATCACGCCTTCTAACCCCGGAGGGGTAAGCAGAGGTCTGCTTACCCCCCCCGAGGGTACTGCACCTGCACATTACGGCATTTAATGCCACTGTACAATGTAACACCCACTTTTCACTATTTACGTTATGAGTTCCATGTAATAGTGGGTGAGCGTATATTCCGGGTAGAATTCCAGACTCCATACTACTACTGCGATTTTTTTTAAACCCAGTAGTAGTAGTACGGAGCCCGAACCAGGAATCGAACCCGAGACCCCTTGCTGAGTCGCACTTGCGGTTACTCGGCCAACGAATTAGTCGTCCGTACAAAACCTGTTGTACGAAAATATGCTTACCTCTATTTCATAGGACACATAACATAACTTTGACTGTGAAAAATGGGTGCTGCTACAATACAGTATACAATACAGTATATGTCCCTCTTTGCATATAGAATGTTATATTACTTACGATTACGGTAAACACCAAACACTAAAATCACATTTAACTTTTCCAGGATACAAAACGCGGCTAAAGGCCAAAGCCAGCTAGGAGTAGTGACCTCCCTCCTCAAGAACGAAGGCGTTCTATCCCTCTGGAAGGGATTCCTCCCATACTACGCGCGTCTCGGCCCTCACACAGTACTCACATTCATATTCCTTGAACAATTCAACGCAGCATACTTCAGGATGACATAAGTATAATTTAGATTAAGAAAAAACAGCAAGCATTATAAGGTAAGCATATAATCTGATACTTTGTGTATAATATATAATCTGGTATTTTTGTGATATATCATAATAGGGTAGTTTCCTAATTTTATTTTATATTTAGTATAATATGTCCGTGTGGTAGATTAATTTAAAACTTTAGACACGTATTTTTTCTTTTCTCATAAAATTAAATACTTTCGACGATATATTAATTCGAAATATCGTGTGACGTCACAGCGTTTTGTAGCACGATGTGACGTAACAACCTCCCACTCCTAAAAATAGCGCCATTTTATTAAAGTATTGCAACTTAATACGAGAAAATACAAAAAATACGTGTCTAATATTTTTTCATTATCTAACTGGCGGACTTATTAGATTTTTAATTTTAATACCCTGGAAACTACCCAATTGTCTGTGCTCTATTTCATTTAGGAAAGGTACTGTGACTTTCGGAGTTTAAAGTTATGTAGGTACTAGTGTTGTAGTGACAATATAATCGTGTTAAAATATGTACAATAAGGGGCAGAATCGCCTGATCACCTTGGTGCAAACATTATGTTATGTGGTATGATAATGTTTGCTTGCACCTAGTGATCCATTGTATTTTTCATGCAATGTTGTTGCGTGTGGACTTTATCGTTTAGGTAAATCAATCGATGTTTTAATACAATTCTATCACAACTTTTAACATCTAAAGTTACAGTACGCTACCCAAATGAAATTGAAGTTTCCAAAGACAAAATTCTGATATTATACGCCAATAAATTATGCGAAAATCAACAAAGAATTATGTCATGTTCATTGCAGTTTTTTTTTGTAATTAATTATGTATTTTTGTATACAACATTTTTCATTTTCTATATATATGTTTAACAATCATTGTGTATACTATACATATACTGTATATGCTGTAAATATATATATTGTAATAAGAGCATTTGCTCTAAGTGTATGTAAATGTTTGCTCTGATATCTGTTATCAGAGAGTTAAGCAATGGATAGTGGACACGCTGAGTGCTTACCTAACAGTTGAATACTCAAATGGTATTAGGTATTACGGATACTAAATGACATTTAGCTGATTTTTAAAGGGTTTAAAAAATTTACCTTTTTGTTTCCAAACTACGAAGAAGCAAAAAGGTGAGTTATGATTTTGCCTCCTGCAGCTGTAGCCAAATGCCATTTAGCGCTTGTCTACAAGTAGAATAGAAAACCAAATTATATGGAATTGACGTAAATTTTGACACATGTCAGTGTCATCCCCATACATTTTGATTTCTACTCTCTCTGTAGACAAGCGCTAAAGTGGCGTTTGGCTAAAGGCCCTGTATACAGACGGAAGCAGGTCAAACCACACTCTGTTTCTTTCTGTGTTTAATTGTTCTGTAATAAGGTTGAACATCGAATGAAAAAGTTTTGCAGATTAGGGTAGGTTGATCTACTGGTCACTGTATAATGTATGTCCCCGAAAAGTTAGATAGTAGTACATAATAATATTTGATGTGACTTTCGTTTTATGCCAGTTTGGTTATTTATTAGTCGCGCCTTAACTATGTAATTTGCATAGTTTTGTATGGAATCATGACAAATTGAACAAATTGGTACATTACAGGAAGGAGGGAAGGAATTTCTGCTTCGGGAAATATTATTATCATAACTATTCTTAATTTCTCAAATTCTCAGTAGTTTTTATGAGATATCCAGTGAATATGAGACGATTTTCTACATAGTTTATTTTTATTTTGTTTTTTTTTTTTGTTTAATATGTAATACTGTTTGAGAATCCAATTGTAAATGCTTACATTATACTCGACCGCAGTAATTGTTATTGAATAATCTCCTTTATACCATTATAATAAGGTTGATTGTTGTCTAACGTGTTACAAGCAGACGTGACGATGTTAAATCATGATATTTTTGTTATAAAATATTTTCGACATCAATACTCGATTTAAGTTTTCGATTATTTATAAGAGCAATCGATTATCGTATTCGATTTGAAATCGAACAAATCAGAGGCCTTAGTACGAGTTTGTTTTACGTTTAAAGTAATCGTAACGAGTACGCGTTCGTCGCTGTGATTGGTTGGTTCATTGGCGCCGGCCAATCAGAGCGCCGAACGCGTACTCGTTTAGAACTTAGGCCTCAGGTTTAAATATTCAATATGTTTTTTTCTACAGATATTTATTTCCTTCTGTCTTGTTGATTGAATTATGCCCAGGGCTACTACTGAGCAAAAACTCGGGTTCCAAACCCTTGACTCAGATATTACATGATTTTGAGAAATTATATTGTGGCCGGTGTAATGACAATAAACACGTCCCCTTATTACATGTCATTTATAACATAACTGACAATAGTTCGTGATGTTATGTTAAAATGTTTGTTTATTCTAAACGGCTGATAAAGTATATGGGTTCGTTACTATCAATGTGTTAATAACTTGTATTGATAAGTTGTTTCTTGCGTAATATCACAAATACTGACGTCATAGTGCTGTACAGTCAGTATCAAAGTTATGTCACTGGTCAACCTTTGTTAGTCGCGGAGAACCTAACAGGTTACCGGGGTTTCGGCTCAACGTGCAGGAGAAGGAACGGGGTGGTTTTTAGTCAGTAAGAGTCTGACACTCCCTCCCGCCTCACCCAGGCGGGAGCAGTCATTCGATGATTTTACCTCATTATTTCATTAAAAAAAGACAACCTTTGTTAAAGATTAAAGTTGAAGCATTTATTTACATCTTAAACGCACATTAATAGGAATTATGAAAATAATTGACAATATGACACAGTTAATTTAAGTGCAATATTAATTTATTATTGCCAAACTAAATGTTATTTGATTCTGTGATGGTAATGTGAATATGAACACACAAATACACCGTGAAATCTATTTCGTTTTCGTCCTGAATAAAATGGTTAACATAACATAACATAACATCACGCCTTTAATCCCCGAAGCGGTAGGCAGAGGTGCACATTATGCCACTGTTCTAATAAAATGGTGTCTTACTAATACAACAGTTTTACAAAGAAATAAAATGTTTTAAAACGAACCATTGCAAAACGCAAACTTCTAAAGCGCATACGAATTCATTATATTATTATAAAAACATTTTAGCATAATATAATAACATCACGCCATATAATTCTCGAAGAGGTATTTCTCGTCGGGTGACACGTGCGATGCAAATAGTGCCTACAAATTTACGTCTAGTATTTCATGTGCGTATTTCCATGAACATTTTTTTTACTAAAAAAATGCCATCTTTTTTTATTTTACTTTATACATCGAAAGTGCTCTTTATTGCAAGTTGTTTTGCCGCGGCTATATACTACTGATATTTTTGTCGCTTATTGTAGGTACACTTCAAACGTGAGAATCAAATTAAATGCTGTTATTTACATTGTGACCGATCTATTTATGTAACGTAAACATGTTATTGACTTCTCAACAATGAATAACTACAAAGTCTAGAATACAAACTTGAAATAGAGAAATATAGCACGAAGTTTAGGAATCAAACTTCATGAAGAAAAAGATTCGTTTCAAAATGATCACCTCAACATGACAATAAGTTCGCAGATATATCTTAACTTTTTTATATGGGATAAGCCCGCCACAACATCCCAAAGCCACTGCAACTCCTGTGCACCCAGGTCTACACTAGACACAACTATAAAAACACCGAAACATTGAGTTAGGTGCGTCCCAGGGACATGAATAATTGTCTTGGTTTGTGTAACGAAATAAATTAAAAGTAAATTATTATGAGACGACTAAACAAACCTACCAACTATCCATATCTTTAACTTACTGGCCACTTTTAGTGAAATTATGCGGTAAAATGTTATTTTTTAATTGAAACTCCAAAAAGGTTATAACTACAGAGGTTGGATTACCACATCACATTGAGGCCCTATCTTATCTGTGGCCGTATAATGACATTTCAATATAATCTTCACAATATCCACTTGTCTAATCTCTAATCCTATAAATTGGGATTTGATCGAATTTCCCCATCGATATATCGGAGTGTAGATAAATTTATAGTACCTATATAAATACTTTCTGACCAAGGTCCCATTAAATAGTACAACTTACTGACTGGCTTATTATATTTTTACAATTATTTACCAAATTACGTTAATTCTAAAGTAAATAAAAAGCTAATAAACATTATATGCAATAAAAAGCATGACGTAAAGAAAAGAAAAATCGATGTGTGGAATTGACATTAGCATAAGACATGTAATGTCAAAACTTATTGACTTTCCTTTCACTTCGATTCGATAAGCGATTATGTCATTTGTCTAAAGAGCGGCTGGAAAAATAGCATCATTTTTATATACTTTACACACCTTACGACTTAACTGTACAGTGAAATCGTAAGGTACCTCTGTACCTATAGCCTGCATTAAAAAATGAATAAATGAAATCATGTTCCTATAAAACGACACACTATGGTGATGTAAATTATTGAAGTAATATACAATATTACAGTTAGCTTTTGCTTATTTTCACTTTATAAAACTTTAAATCGTTGATAAAAAGTTGCATGGAATGTAAAATGTAACATTAATTCATAAAGTGGTATCGAATAAATTCCATTTAAACAATAAAGGGTGAAATGTATTTATTTATTTATTTCCATATTGTTTTTTACCAAACATTTTGAGCCGGATTTCCTGTGTGTAATATATGTTAATGTTGATAACTGGGTACTTAAAAAGTAATATGACGATTACAAATTTCGATTTAATAGACACAAATTTCTCAATTCTGAGCTTCCTCATTGGAGCTGAGTTAAAGTGAGGCGCAAGGTCGTATATTCAAACCAATCAGCTTAGCTGTCAAAAATGTATTAACCAATGATATGCAAACAATATGGTGTTAATATCAAGTATATTATTGGTCCATAGATCTAATGCTACACCAGCGCCTCACACTTATAATTATAGTCACAGGAAATCCAGCTTTACCATTTATAAAATTAAGTTCAAATTAAGAATTCAATTCGTTGTTAACTTTTACATTGCAATATTTAGTTTTAAGTACAAAATATTTTTGATGTATTTTTATCAAGTTTGGGAATATTTTTAATGTTCCATGTCATTTTTGAACGCAATGCAATATCTGTTCCCGAATAAATATATTTTTAATTAAGCGTACAAATTATTTATATGCTACAAAAGTGTTTATATATTGTCATTTGAGAGAATGTATGTTTATTTCGATATTATTATAATTTCTGCCATAATAGCAATTTTGTCGATGAAAAATTATTTTTGAAAGGACTTCAATTTAGAAACGAGATTAAAATTTAGTTATTATTTACATTAATTTGTTTAAAATCAGCACTTAATTATTAAAATTTTGTTATATGCACTTTTATATTGTAAAATATCTTTCATTTATAGCTTAGAGAAAGGGATACCATAAAGTAACTATTTTCTATGACTATGAATAGACTTAAATAATCTCTTTAGCAATAAGGACGTTGAAAATGGCGGAAGTAACATCACTAAGCAATGGCTGAAGCACCAAAATGTCAGTGGTGTATCTATGTGTGCGTGTACTTGCAACACCGTAATGTATGAAGTTTAATGACGGGCCATATCATGCGACAGCAGCTGTAGCCAAATGCCATTTAGCGCTTGTCTACGTGTAGAATAGAAAACCAAATTATATGGAATTGACGTACATTTTGACGCTTGTTAGTGTCATCCCCATACATTTTGATTTCTACTCTCTCTGTAGACAAGCGCTAAAGTGGCGTTTGGCTAAAGGCCCAGATGTCCTTCGTGTCAATGTGTGCATGTTCTGCGTGTAAGTCTTATATAGCCAAGTACCACAGTCGTTGTTTTAAGAGACTATGAATATCTGCTTTTTTTCCATCGTCCTTGTTTAGCAGTTTAGCAACTTGTATGTAGTTTTATATAGAGATACAATGTGATATATATGGTAACGATTATATATTTTTATATACGCTCTTGATTCGAGACTAATGTAATGTGAGAGGCAATGTTGTTATAGATTAATTAATAAAGAACATTGTTTTCAATTTATTTGTTTGCTTTTACCCAAGTGTTATTTTTTGTTATGAAATAAGGCTGCAAACGAGCCGACAAATCGCCTGATGGTATGCAATCAGCGCCGCCCATAGACACCCGGAAGTCCAGAGGAGCAAAAAAAAAAATATACATATATATAATTCACATACCTACATCAAAATCGGTCATGTCGTTCGGGATAACAGCACAACACATACTGACCTAAATATGAATGGAAAAGAAGGAATCCTTCTTAAATTTTTTTATGGCACAACCGGTAAACGTGCAGACGGATCACCTGATGGTAAGCAATCGGCGTCGCCCATGGACACCTGGAACACCAGAGCCGTTACAAGTGCGTTACCGGCCTTTTGAGGATTAACCCTTTGAGTACCGTCATTATAGACACAATTAAAAAACATTAATAAACATTAAACATAACGTTGCGGTCACCGGTATCCTCGGGGTGTTTGACAGTTTAAGAGTTTGAGGATCGTTGGGGATTCAGGAATTGTGGAGATTGGGGAAGGGGAGGGTAATTGGGCCTCCGATAACCTTATTCACACGACGAAACACAACGCAAGCGTTGTTTCATGTCGGTTTTCTGTGAGGCCGTAGTAGCACACCGGTCGAGCAGGCCCATTCGTGCGGAAGCATGGCTCTCCCACACTTGAATTTAATGAAAGAAGGATTGATCCTTCACCAAACTATTTAGAATAGTTTCATAAAAATGTCACCTGCGTAGCTAGGTTTCATGACGATCTTCTGAAAAACGTCAATCAAATAAAAACCAATGACACTAAAGTAAAAAGTAAGTAAAAATCATCAATAAAGTTTTTTTGAACAAAAATTTAATATATAATAACAATGTGATTTGTACTGATGATGACTGTGGTACGACGGACAATATAGTTCCAAATTTATAAGTACAAAACTGAATATCAATTTGATTTGAAAATGGATGAAATTGGAAGGATGAACGTGAATAAGAATATGCCAATCCACCAGCAGGTGATACTTGGAAGTTTATCACGGTGAGTATATATTTAAATACTTAACTACTGCTGTAGAACAGTATATAATTATATTTTTTATAATAACTATCGTGAGACATACTAAATTAACTAAAAATCGCAAGTTACTCACGTGAATATATTGAGAAAAGCTCTACTAGTTTCGAACCACAGAGGGGTTCTTCCTCATGAGCAGCGTGCGCGGTCGCGGCGACGTCGCGCAGCCTCCTCTCGCAACCGACTAGTAAACTAGTAGAGCTTTTCTCAGTATATTCACGTGAGTAACCCGCGATTTTTAGTTAATATACTTATGTATATATTTATAAAATGAAATGTCTTATAATATATGTACTCTTTTTTAATTTATTGGAAGCGTTCTGTCTGTAGAAGTCGAGAGACAACATCGCCCAGTGTCTTCAATCACAATAGCTTATAAATAAATATATGGTCTACTTGTGGTCCAAACATGTCATGGTCTACTGCCTCCTTTACTGTGTAAACAACAATTTCTACAAAATTTTTGCATTATGACAAATTGAGCAAGCCAAAATGCTGTATACAACACCAATATTATAGAGTACGGTCTAAAATTAAAGCACCTAATACTATTTTTGCATCATCATATAATTTCAGTATAATATCAACTACGCTTCTCATTCCTCTCGACGTGATTCAACTGAGGTATCGGTATCCTGACACATGGTGCGCAGAGATGTTCAGGCTGATGGTAAAGAGCAAGGATCGTTCTGGACCCTTTGAAATGATGACGGCAACCAAGTTCCGGACGAGAGTATATCGATCTCTGCGATGGGGGGTCTTCTATTGTCTTTTCGATCGCCATAAAAAGTATATCTGTATTATTTAAATAAGACAAATACACGTACAGTTTGGCAAAAAAGAGTTTAACACGGTGACAATTAGAACTAATATTGATTTGAACTTAATCACCCACTGGCGACTTCGGACCATATCCCATGAGTAACAGAGATGGGGCCCAACAGGGCCAATGCCGATTCGGAGTCGCGGAGAACCTAACGGGTTACTGGGGCTCCAGCTCGACGTGCAGGAGTAGGAACGGGGTGGTTTTTAGTCAGTAAGAGTCTGACACTCCCTCCCGCCTCACCCAGGCGGGAGCAGTCATTCGATGGTCTTCCCCCCTTAAAAAAAATCCCATGAGTAAACAATCATCCGAACATAGTATCTCTTTCAAATCTCGATAAAAGTAACAAATACTAAAACCAATTGAGTCGTATTGTACCAGACTGCCACAGGTATGATACTAGTGACCTTAATTATTCCGACCTCTTTTTTGCCAAGCTGTACTTCATTAGTTTGAGTGTTGATCTCGAGTAATCTCTTTCCAACAAGTACTACTTATAAAGAAACTGTATATTTATTATCATCATCATCATCGTCATCAGCCGGTAGACGTCCACTGCTGAGCCAAGGCCTAAGGACTAAGGGGAAGTCCTCCTCGCATCGGTCGCACGACAACTCGCCACTTGCATCCTTTAGCTCCCCGTGACGGACGATGTTCTCGGTTCATCTAACCTCGTAAGGCCAAAATAAGGCTAGAAGTCAAGATGATTAAAATTTAACAATACTAAATCATGACGTAGCTACCGAAAACACGTAACATTAGGTACAACACGTTGCCAGTTTGGGGAGCTAGTGTGGGGATTGGGAGATTTGGAAATTACAAACAAAATATTGTATCTCACCTATTGGTTATTGAATTATTTCTTTTAATTGTTCTCTTACTTAAGCTTTCTTTTACCGTTGTGGTGACACGAAGGCTCAAGACGCTCGCTTCTCATGCAAGAGAGTAGGGGTTCGAGCTAAATGTACTTTCTAAGATTATTTAGACATCACTAACACACGGTGAAGGAAAAGATTGTAAGGAAACCTTGACATATTTTTACTATCAATTTTGAAATCAGTGTGGGGATGAATGCTATCCGTGTGAGAGCACTCCTCAGCAGTGGGCACTAATGGGCGGTTGATGATGAAACTGTGTAAGTGTAATAACAAGCATTATTTTTCTAAGGAACTGTAACTCTAAAGGGCTCATACCTCTATTCCACAAGACGTACCTGCTAACTGGACGCCCTATTGTCATACAGGCTATTCGGCTCGGAAACTCAAGTGCGGTAAGTCCACCTATAAACAATTTATTATGAATAAGAAATGGCAATTTGAACCGGGCTCCCAAAAGTTCCGAAACTGACAATCGCTGCAGGTGCCCAACGTGACGTACTCTGGCAAACTCATGATAGCTTTGTATAGCAATGACTGACTGAATCGACGCCATACGCCATACCTTCTGTATAATAAATATCGTGGGACATAATAAATTATCGCGTAAGTAATACTGAAAAAAGCTAAACTAGTTTCGAATCACAGTGGGATCAGCAACGCACGTGCGCTCATGCATGAGGAATAATTTCATATTAATTTTTAACCGACTTTAAAAAAAATATGAAGAGATTCTCAGTTCGACCTGTAGGTAATGAAATATAAATTGAAATTAACATACATACATAAATAACTGTATGTAGGTATATTTGTGGGCCATGGGTCTTGCGATTGACTGCACCGATTTTGAAGCGGTTTTTTTTTTTTTTTTTTTTTATAATTCATGGGGCGACGTTTGACCACTATCTCACCTGTTGGTAAGCGATGATGCGGTCTACGTTGGAGCACGTCGTCCCATAAGCAACCTATTCACTCGGGCCTTGAAGACTCCCAGGTTATACCCTTCAGGAAATACAGACTCTGGCAAAGAATTCCACTCTTTAGCAGTACGCACAAGGAAGCTTGAAGCAAAGCGCTTCGTGCGTGTGGGCGGAACATCTACCATGAATCGGTGACGCTTCGCGGATTGTCTTGTGGTACGATGATGGAAAGGACTAGGGGGAATCAAGTTGTGCAATTCCCCCGCACACTCCCCGAAATGTATCCGGTAGAAAACCGAAAGGCTTGCAACCTTACGCCTGTGTTCGAGGCTTTGAAGCCGAGCCTTCACAAGCGCATCATCGTCGATGAGCCTCCTGGCACGCTCTCAATGTGCTCTATCGCGTCCAGCTGATATTTAGCCGAGCCGTCCCAAAGATGAGAGCAGTACTCCATACAGGACCGAACCTGTGCTTGGTACAGGCTCAGCAATTGTCTCGGCGTGAAGTACCGTCTCCCCTCCATAGGACACCCAACTTCCTACCAGCCAGTTGCGCTTTTGACTCTATATAGGAGCCAAAGTTGAGCGTGGGCGTCAGAGTTACACCAAGAAGCTCAAGACGATCGGTTATCGGTACGGATACATTCCGGAAAGTAGGAGTCAGCGGAAATTCACTCCGTTTGGCGGAGAATAGACACGCCTGGGTCTTGCTAGCATTGAACCTAACCAAGTTGGCGTCACCCCAGTCGGACACCGCCTTCAAGGTCGAGTTCAAACGTTCGACCATGGATTCTCTTAAAGACTGGATCTGTGTTCCGCTAGTCCGCGCACCGGACACATACCTTTCAACAACTGTGCTGTCATCTGCATACCCAAAGATACCGGGCTTAAGCAGGTCGTTTATGTGCAGCAAAAAGAGCGTCGCTGAAAGTACTGACCCCTGAGGGACGCCGGCATTAATACCGAATTGGTCAGACGAGCAGCCATCGATGACTACTCGTATTGACCGATCCCTCAGAAAGTCTGCTATCCATCTGCACAGACCAGTAGGAAGTCCATATGCAGGAAGCTTGCCGATTAGACTGTCGTGCCATACCCTGTCAAAGGCCTTCGAAATATCGAGGGAGACTGCTAGTGCCTCTCCGTGCCCCTCTATGGCCTCGCTCCATATGTGAGTGGCATACGCAAGAAGGTCCCCAGTCGATCGGTTACGTCGAAACCCGTATTGCCGATCGCTGAGGAGATCGTTACCTTCAAGGTATGCCAGGAGTCTATTGTTAAGAACACGTTCCATGCTCTTGCAGAGTATGGACGTGACCGAAATAGGGCGGTAATTGTTAGGGTCGGCACGACTACCTTTTTTAGGCACAGGCTGTACGTTGGCCAGCTTCCATGCAACCGGTACTAGACCCGTCTCCAAGGAAAGGCGAAACAGACGTGTCAAGATTGGAGACAACTCAGGCGCACAGGTTTTTAAAACCAGGGCTGGGATTCCGTCGGGACCACTGGCCTTGTTCACGTCCAGATCGCGTAGCGTCCTATATACCTCCCTCTGTCGAATGCGAATTTGCGACATATTCGTCTTGCATACGCTATTAACAGAAGGAGGCAAGGCGCCACCAGTGTCAAGACGCGAAGACTCCGCAAATAGAGAAGCAAATAGATTCGCTTTCTCTACCGCAGTGTGAGCCAGCGTTCCGTCAGACCTCAGGAGCGGAGGAAGTGAGGAGCGACAGAAGTTCGATTTTCAGAAAATCTAAACTTAGGAGATGGTTTTAGTATATTAATAAACCGGCCTTAAAAAAGAAGGGGTATTCGGGGTTATTTACCTAATGTTAATATAATCATTATTTCTCAAATGCTTGGTCCAGTAGACCTCATGAGTATTCTTCCTGTCACCTCTATTTCTTATTAGTTTAAGTACTTATATTTGTTCGACTATCAAATACAGCCTTTCAATTCTCGGGGTTGAAAAAAGAAAATTAGGCCTCATCATATAATAAAGACAAAACTCTTGCAGGCGCTGAATTACTTGCATGAGAGGCAGAGAATACGAGAGCGAAAAATGATAGCAAATTTTATCAAAGACATCAATTCCCAATTCTACGCTGCTATAAACGGTATCACGTTGAAACTGCCCTCAATAAGCTTGCCCACGTTGACCCTGCCTACGGTGAATTGGCAGTCTAATAATACCCTTACGGCAGCGTAAGTACCTATGCTATTTTCCTTGTTTTTCTCAATTTTTTACTGTGTTAAAAGTAAGCTTGGTTTTACAATCCAGTTTATTTACTTACGTAACGATACGCGAGCAAAACCGCAGACAGAAAGCGAAGTCTAAGATAAAATTAATATTAGGTATCATAACATTAATGTTTTAGATATTAGCCATGTTATAGCTCGCACGTAATCACATAATATGCAATGAATAAATGTTGGAACTTAAATTGAACTAAGGATAAACCTGGAAATTCTTAGGAGTTCTAGATTTTTTTTATGGCATAAGCCGGTAAACGAGCAGATGGATCACCTGATGGTAAGCAATCGGCGTCACCCATGGACACCTGGAACACCAGAGGCGTTACAAGTGCGTTACCGGCCTTTTAGGGATTAGGAGTTTGAGGATCGTTGGGGATTCTGGAATCGGGGAGATTGGGGAAGAGGAGGGTAATTGGGCCTCCGGTAACCTCACTCACACGACGAAACATAACGCAAGCGTTGCTTCACGTCAGTTTTCTGTGAGGCCGTGGTATCACTCCGGTCGAGACGGCCCATTCGTGCCGAAGCATGGCTCTCCCACACTTAAAATATGTTCTATATTTCAACGTCCTTGTCTAGATTCTAGATCCATTAATTAGCGCTTTCTGAAAATCGTTGGCTAGCAAGAAACCTTTTTTGAAAATACTCCTATCAAAGAGCTTGGAAACTTGTTGCAACCTTCTTTGTTCATCTGACAGAAGTAAAAAATTGTCTGTCATTACCATCTATCATGTTTCAAAATATTAGATTTCATGCATAAAATTAAACAAAACTAAATTAAATGTGGATATATAAAGTAAAGTGACAATGACTCACAAGCATGGAGAACACCATCGTCACCATCGCGACAGGAAAGTGCCTCAACATATCAAAGTGGGGATGGGCAGCTTCTCTGGGTGCGTCTAGCTTTGTTGCATTGCGAGATATCACATTTCCATACTCATGCTACTGGTCACTGAGGAGTTGTTCTGGGGTTGCTTGTCGTTACAATCTGTGCCCATTCCATTGTTATTAACCTAAAGAGTGTGGTTTTATTGTTTGTAAATGACACATCGGTTTATTTTAGTCTTTGAGAATTGTAATGTAGGTATCATCATTTCACAAGTTCAGACAGTTCTCATCATGTCTAAATGATACCCTAGTCCCTGAATTCCTAACGGGTTACCGGGGCCCGGCTTGAAGTGCAGGAGTAGGAACGGGGTGGTTTTTAGTCAGTAAGAGTCTGACACTCTTCCGCCTCACTCAGGCGGGAGAAGTCATTCGATGATTTTCCCCCCTTATCCCTTTGAGTACCGTCATTATAGACACAATTAATGAACAATAGATTGCGGTCACCGGTGTCCTCGCGGTGTTTGGCAGTTTAAAAAAAAGTCTCTGAGTTTATACCAATTCTTTACAGTCATTATTGCTATTCCAGCTTTGGTGTCATTTACAGTGTAATAGCATCAGCGTTGTTGCACCCTCTGGACGTGTTCAAAGTACGTCTGCAGATGTACCCGGAGGCGTGGGGCATCAGTTTGTTGCGCAACATGTTGCGGTGCGAGGGTATCCGTGCTCCATTCACAGGCTTGACGGCCAGCATACTTCGCCAAACGACATACACTGCTACCAGACTCGGTACCTATTACTTCATGTATGAACATCAAAAGAGGTCAGTGTACTTGGAACTTTATCATAAGCCCTATTTACTTAACTACTAGATATTTATTTATCTATATTACTAGTTACTAGATATTATAAAGGATGGGCGCGTCCGATTTGAACTTCTTCTTGGATAACTCGGTTTTTAGTACATGTTTAGTAACAATGTTTCATTTTGATATTAGTGTGCTGCAGTTGCCTCTCAATATTTATTGTTTAATCCATATTAACAATGGCGCATATTTGTTTAAACAGAAAGTACAATCGTGCCCCGAGTTTTCCGGAGAAGCTGGCTATAGGTTCGTATGCTGGAGTAATGGGTGCGTTCGTGGGCTGTCCCTCAGAGATAGTCCTCGTCCGCATGATGGCAGATGGCCCGGTAGATCCCTTCAGACGGTACAAGGGGCCTGTGGATGCTTTTGTCAAGTAAGTATAGAATGTATGTACATTCTAGTATGTAAACGTATGTATAATTTGAGAAGGGAGTAGTGTGAAAACGATCTATTTTAGAATTTAATGTCATAACAATATTTTTCGAACGATCCAGTTGGAAACCACTATGTAGATAACGGTAAATTGCCAACTATGCTGCGCCACTATCGTAACTTGTAGTCGTAGGCAACAACCTACGACTACATACATGTTGTCCAGTCCAGTTCAGAATTGGGTAGTTTCCAGGGTATCAATATTAAAAATCTAATTAGTCCGTCAGTAAGATAATGAAAAAATATTAACAAATATTTTTTTCGTATTAAGTTGCAATACTTAAATAAAATGACGTGGGAGGCCGTTACGTCATAACGTGCTACAAAATGTGGCACGCTGTGACGTCACACGATGTTTCAAATTAATATATCGTCAAAAGTATTTAATTTTGTGAGAAAAGGTAAAATACGTGTCTAAAGTTTTAAATTAAAGTTTGACATTAAAATAATATTTAGGATTACCCTATTATGTCACATATTGTCTTTCAATTCAGATCCTTTTTTCATAATCTTTTTATAGTAAATACTTTGCTGTTTAGTTGCAGCACTTCTTATTTTATCTTGTATATTATTGGGTTTAATTTGCCGTGTAGGCCATTTTGAAAACACTAAAATATTTAAATAACTGTACATTTCCACCGACCTCTTTGTTCGACAAAAATGTTATTGGAAATTAAATGATCCGATCTATAGCCGAGATTATTCTCTATAAACAAATATTCATTTCTAATCTAGGATATGGAAGACGGAGGGATTCAACACATTCTGGCGCGGCGCCCTCCTCACAATGTCACGATCAGTCGTCGTCAGTGTAGCACAAATTGGAACATACGCCAAGGTCAGTTCAATTTGATTTTTCGATATTTTTCTATAGCTTTTTTATGGAATAGGAGGCAAACGAGCAGACAGATCACATGATGGTAAGCGATCAGCGCCGCCCATGGAAACCCGCAACACCAGAGGAGTCACAGGTGCGTTGCCGGCCTTTTATAAAGGAGTACGCTCTTTTCTTGAAGGTTTGAAGATCGTGTCGGTTCGGAAATACCGCCGACGACAGATCATTCCACAGTTTTGCCGTGCGAGGCAGAAATGAAATAAATTCAATACCTAATCGTAGTGACCCGTAGCTTTAACCCGCTTCTGATGCTTGAGGATGCGGGTACGAAACCTACCAACGACAAGTACCAATGTGACTTTTTCCGAGTTATAATATGTACTTTCTAAGATTATTTAGACACCACTGACAAACGATGAAAGAAAACATCGTCAGGAAAACTGGGCATATAATTTCTAATTATAAGTGTGAAATCGCCTACCAGCATTGAGCAAGCGTGGTGATTAATGCTCAAACCTCCTCCGTGTGAGAAGAGGCTTTGCTCAGCAGTGGGCATTTATATGCTGTTGATGATAATGATATAATAAACAACCCTTGTTAAATAAGGTATTATACACGGTGTAGTTTTGAAACCGTGGCATTTCTCGGGGGCATGTCACGGAAGTCATAAAGGTTCAATGTAAGTGAAAGTTTCGGACCAGTATCGGACAGTAATGTTTCTTATTGTAGTTTTATGGAATTAGGAATAATATCAATTACGTGTTTAAGTTTGTGTGTATTAAGCCGCTTTACCTCTATAAAACTAGTTACAAGACGGCGGCGTGTTTTTCGCACTCACGGATTTCAGTAATTTACAGAAAAATGAAAAATATTTACCTACAATTTTTTTTATTGATTCGGACTCAGAATCGGTAGCCGAGTTAACTCCTAGAAAATGACGCGGCTTTAAAACAACACCTTGTATAGTAAAGTCACAATCCTTCAAATCCCTTGCAGGCAAGAAATTATTTGGTAGAAAAAAATCGAGCCTGTGGTTTTCTACTTCACCTCTATACGTCGATGTTGGCCAGTCTAGTCACTGCGATATTGACATTACCGCTGGATACCTTCAAGACGAGGTAGGAGCATCAATTCTTTTAACCGTAGATTCGCCATTCGATAAATCTTAAGGAAGTTCTCGAAAGAAGTATTAGGATTTAATTCTTCCTCCTAGTATTTATTAACTGTAAAGTCAACAGGTTCAACTTAGGGACACACTTATAATTCTTTTTTTAGATATAGAATATATGCGTGTGTTTTAATTATTATTCTGTGTCTCAAACACACTAAGCCTGCTTTTTGCAGTTTCATCGGATTGTTATCCTATCTGACTTTATGAGTAAAGAAACAAGAAGTGTTCTTGTGTGTATGCAAAATTTGTGCACTATAAGATCTCTTGCTAGAAACTATCCAGCTACTAGTCTCTGTTCAGGATGGCCGGAACCGAAATCAATTGTATTGTATAATAAAGTTAATAATAAAGTTGACTGCCTCATTGGCCGAGTAGTAAGTGCTACTGCCGGGCAAGGGGTCTCGGGTTCGAATCTAGGCCAAAGTATTACTGGGTTTTAAAAAAGATCACAGTAGTAGCACGGAGTCTGGAATTGTGCCCGGTATATGGCAATAGGCTCACCCCTACAGTCACTATTACATGAGACTCATAACATAAATAGCGAAAAGTGGAGGTTTCATTACGCAGTGGCATTAAGTGCCGTAACATGCACCACTACGGATAAAGGCATGATGTTATTTTATTTTTTTAAATAAACTTATTATACTCATCATTATTAATTTGTCGTGGTGGCCCGGAGGTAATTTGTCGTGGTGGCCCGGAGGTTAAGACGCCCACTTCTCATGCATGAGGGTGCGGGTTCGAAACCTACCAACGGCAAGTACCAATGTGACTTTTTCCGAGTTATATGTACTTTCTAAGATTATTTAGACACCACTGACAAACGGTGAAGGAAAAACATCGTGAGGAAACCTGGACTTATAATTTCTAATTATAAGTTTGAAATCGCCAACCCGCATTGAGCAAGCGTGGTGATTAATGCTCTAACCTTCTCCGTGTGAGAAGAGGCTTTGCTCAGCAGTGGGCATTTATAGGCTGTTGATGATGACTCATTATTGTTCACCAATTTTCTGCTTGTTATTAATTATTAAATCCAACTAGGCTATTCTGTAAGATGGTAATTCGAACTTTCGAACAGGAGTTGGAACCCGGTCCGCCATGTTATGAAATTAATATCGACCAATGACAGGCGAGAATGCGATCGAGCTCACTTCGAAAATTTTAATTGACATTATACAAAACAGCCTGACACATATTCTATGGTCTTATTTAACCTGATTATTATTTCAATGAATCCAGACACAGACACTTTTGAAACGTATAAATAGAATCAGTCAGTAAAGCTCGGATATCTATTGTAGGTACCAGGTAGCGAGCAATGAGTCCCATCGAGAGGTGTACCACAAGTTCAGGCAGGAGACCGGAGTGCTGGGACTGTACAGAGGATTCACTCCATACTACGTGAGACTTACAGTACACACACTGATTACATTCTACTTATTAGAAATGTTATTTGAAGTACATCGAAATCGAAAGAAGATAGTAACGGATAAGTGAAATTTTATTGTTGTTTCGTCTTGAAATGAAATATTTATTGTTGAAACCTATTCACAATGGCGTGTTGTAAATGTCACGTACTTGCATAAAAAAAAAACAAAGTAAACGAAAGAGCTGGTCAATTTATTGTTTTGGAAATTGACTTATAGGCTTTTTAGCTCAGGAACGAATGGTTAACAATACCTTCGAGTGCCCTAAATATCTCCCTAGAATTTTCGGTAGTAACCTCGATGGAATGATTGAGAATAAATTCAGAATTTCGTTTATTTTGTACCGTGTTTGTATTTGCTAATGAATTTATTACTTGTATACAGAATGACAATGTTAGTTACATAAAACCTAGTACTAAGTCGAAGCCGTTGATTATTGAAATAAAACTTTTTATTTTGTTAAATTGTTGTTTATGTTTCCAAGACGATTTTGCCTTATCCCCACGTCTCTCAAGGTCAAGGTTAAACGATGATTAGCATTTTCAAAAACCTTTTTCATCCTGTGCTGTCTTGGTTGATTAGAGTTATTCATAACAACCCTGGTTCCTAATAATATCAATACCTGTTAGTTTTTTTTCGGTTTTATTGATCTGTTAATAATCAACTTCGGTATTAAATGTATCCAAGTCTACAGCTAAAATGCTATTTCACATTATTGTTTTAATTTCACCCTATAAATTAATTATTCATTTCAATACGTATTGGATTAAACATAAAACTCATAGATACACGTAAAAGAGTAGCATCAGAGTAATAAATATCGACGTGAGCCCAGTTGTCGGCTAATGCCGCACTCGTACGACTTCAATTAGTCACTATTGACATAGTTCTGGGAGTCGCAGCGGTACCGCCCTCTACTCCACACATTGCTCATGTTCCCAGCAAATTATATGAGCAATCCACAATTAATTTACCTAAGTAATTAAATCGAATTCACATTTTTATTGACCAAAACATCTAGACAAGTGTAATCAAAGTCTTCCGACAAAGTGAGTGCGTAATGGTCTCTTGAAGATTTAATTAATAAAATCATTGATGAAAAATAAATTAGAGAAGTTGCGACAGTGCATATTACGGAAATCAGCCAAGATGTTCAACTTGTATCAGCATATGAAAGCCAATAACGAGGGTAAGGAGCAGAAAGAACCGGAGACAACTGGACACGACCGGTTTTATCAGGAACGTCCTCGGAGTAGTTATAGGAAGAAGAAGCGTCGTGGTGCGTGCAGGAGGGCCCAGTCTGCTGCCGAACTGAACCCTGAGTCCATCGCTGCAGCCAATAAGCGGAACGCGTTCAGAATACGGTCAGTGTCCACTGACAGAGAGGAAAGCGAAGGTATGATAATTTTAGTCTTGTCATCCCTTTAATGGTTCCTTAAAATGCTTAATCTACAATTTCTGATCCGAAGCAAACATACATACTCTAAAATGTCCTAAATTCTAAAGGTTCATTTCAAACGTTTGCTAGCTTTTCTTCTATGTCTTCTTCTTCTTTTCGGCGTACGATGGTCTTTTTGTAATGGCGAATTTCTGGGCAGAATGTACATGTTTAAGCGCAATATCAAAAGGGGCTCTTGCCATTTATTAAACAGCTTAAACTATTTCTGGTTTTTATCGAACAGTTTCTTAGTTTTAAGTGTTACCTAATAGAAATACGATGCCACTACCCGTTTTAGCGCTCTGTGCATTTAACCCGCCTCTAACTTTTAATATGAAATGATATTTAGCACCTAGTAAACATTTTATTTTTCGTTTTGGCTAACGCAAGACGCTGGGAGACAAGACGAAGGTGAAGGATCATCGTGCGCTTGTAGCTCAAGTATTACTTTATATTTACTTCTTCTTGTGTTACCTAGTCCTAGAAATTATTATTGTTGTTGTTACCTCTAAGTCTTACATTAGTCTACTATTATGTTATAAATCCTTTCTTATTTTCTAACACACTGAGTAATATGATAAAATTGAAAGCTAACTAATGACTTATTTTTTTTTAATATCACGCTTTAGAAGAGAACTCTGAGCGCGCGCCCTTGGTAGCACAGAAGATTGACTCTCTGGCTAAGCTGTTATTCAACAAGTCGCTGATTGGGACAGGATCTGGGAAATCTTCACCGTCCGAACCCCCTGCTTCTCCTAGGTAATATTTAATCAATCTTAAAGTCTCCGCCTCTCCTTCAAAGAATGTAACAGATAAGATTATGAAGTTTAAGCCAATATCGTAAATATATACCTTTACATTACGTTTCGTACTGTATCATCATCATAGTCATGGAGATACAGAAAGTTCCAGAGCGGCCGGTTGCAAAGTTTTATTTGATCTTCTGTCCACCTTGTAGATAGATTGTACAGTGTACCATAAGACAGGTGCAACTTGCAATACTAACATGTTATATTCTGCTACTTCAGAGCCGGTGATCGTTCTATGGAGAGTTCAGCTGCATTGGCCATTTGCACAGAATACTTGTCACAGTCACCCAGGTTTGTAGTTATTATTCAAATTATAAATGGTACTATTTAATCGTCTACTTTTTAACCTTTCGATATTTATTTTAGGTACGACTTGTTGTCTGCGTTAGGGTCTATCGGCTCCCGACTAAACAAGCACTGGTTTGCCATACACGACAACTCTATTAAAACAGACAGACTTCTGACATTGGTAAGAGTGTGTGTTTGTGTGTTATTTATTTCCTATAGCCATATTACTAATTCTTATGAATTCACAAATATTTGCCATTTGGTCAAATATTGGTCACAAATATTGGTCTTACCTAAAGAACGGAATAGTTCATTTTATTGCTTCATATATTTCTTGGTATATTTCAGATGCCATTAACTTCAAAATGCCCCATCGAGCAAGGAGAACGATCAAAGACTCTAATCATGGAACTGTTCCGAGCTCTCCACCATCCCTACATATACCCAGTCTTAGATCTAGAACTGTGCAATGGCCATGCTCTTACCGTCTTACCTTTTAACGCCAGAGGAAGCTTAAAAGATCTAATTTATAAGGTAAAGAAAGTTAAATTTAAAAAATAATACAAATTGATTTAAAGACAGAAATCTCAAATTGTCCATATTATGCTATTAAAATTTTGCAGAGTACATGGAACGATGATTACGCACGTAAGTATGGGACAATGGGTACTGGGCTCCCTGCATGGCAAGTTGCAAGATTCGGTCGACAAATGTTAGAAGGATTGCTCTTCCTCAAGGAGAAAGGTTTTCCACCTTTTCGTCACCTACATTCAGGCAATGTCGTCGTGCAGAATGGCGTTGCGCGGTGAGTCAGTAAAACATAAGTCCCAATTCGGGCGCCAAATGTGCATATTGGTGCCCACCGTGGGACTGTCTGCCAATAGTTTAACCTTTTTCTTACTAAATAATGTTGTTCAGGATATGTGGGCTGGAAAATACACTGATTGGTGCCCAGCCAAGGTGTCCCATAGCCCTGGCTGCACAGTTGGAGCACGTGGAAGCGTTGTCACTAGGACACGTATTGTTTGAGATGTGTGCCGGCACTGAAATCGACTTGTCGTTGTTACCAGATTTGTTGCCAAATTATCCTAATGTAAGTAAATTCCTACAAGATAATTTTGATTCTGTTTAACGTAGCATATATGCAGTAGCATAAACTTATTATTTAAATTCTTAGTATTTTTTAATTCTTCACTATAATCTACATTGTGTGAGGCAAAGAATATATGTTCCATTTTACTTAATCGAATTAAAAGTTTAAGTATACTTAGTAACTTTTCGAAACACTTTACCATAGGTGGTTGAGATCATCGAGCAGATCTTCGGTCCTCGCACTCCTACACTGCATGAGCTGCTACTCTGCGAACTCTTCAGGAAGATCGACCTTCGTGAGATGAAAGGATCTTGCCTTCCGGTACATAATTATTTTTATTATCACAAATATGGTTGTGGAGTATAGGAGGAAGCTCCTATAAGATGTTTTCAAGTCGTTATAAGGCCGAATTTTCATTCACGTTACAAAGCATCGATAAATTTCGAACAAAAATTAAACAAATACGACACGAAGCCGTTCTAGCCAAGAATTGCAGCACAATGGACAAATGGGGCTTGATACTAATAGTTTTGTCATTTGCTTTTCAAAATGTAATGTTTATGAATTTCGTAGAACTTCAGCCAACGTTTGTCTCGTTCATGCCTGTCCCTGCTGGGCGAGGTGGCGCGACGTACGCCCGGCTCGCCACGCACGCGTACTCCGCCGCGTCGCTCCGTGCCCGCCTCACCAGCCTCTCCGGCCACGCCGACACATAGAAGGTGATATTTATTTAACATATGTAACTAGCAAACCCGGCGAACTCCGTTTCGCCATCAGATGGCATCATTTTATGTAACATTTCGTTTGGTGATTAAAAGATGAAGAAATTTTTTTTTCCTAAATTTTCTTTGCTGTAAACCTCACGGAGCCCGAGACCTTTCCAACGAATACAAAATCGTGGAAATCGGTTCGTGCGTTCTGGAGTTATAGCGTCAGGAAGGAAATCCCGACTTATTTTTATATAGTAGATTATTAAGTACTTCCGTTTTTTAGATATGAATCCTTGTCATAAGCAGAAAAAAATGACAAGGATTGGTCGCAGAAAGCTTTGCGCAGAGCAAAGTGGAAGGAGAGTAGGTAGACCTTTGGTCGAAGTTTTTAGAAAAATTCCTTTTTCTGCTGATTACAGCTGCGGTTGGTTGTCACCCTATCAGAGGCAGGTACAAGGTAGACGGAAGATCTGTTCAAAGAATCAGGTGTTGTCAAGTATGACAGTCTACACCGATCAGGTGGCCCAACAATATCCTTTCTAGGGCGTACCTGGTTCTCTAATTTAGGTGATGTGTGGTTTAGTCGGTTCCAGTCTGTAGCAAGGCCATTAAAATGTAATTTGTAAATATTTCAGGAGACACTTCCCGGCAGACCAGGACTTCACTGAGGAGTGGCAGTGGTGATCTATTTGTATTTAAATCAATAAATGCTATTCGTTACACTGAGAATTTTATTTCTTTACATTTAGATTGAATTAAAAAATATTATTTAAACACGTCCTCACGAATTTTACGGCTAGTTTGATGGTAAGTTGTCACCTTAGAAGAATTTATGCAACGTCAGAGGGGCAGACCATGCAGGAAAACTGTTATAAAAATGCCTACTGACTGGTTTCCCGAGGAGGAGCGGGAACCTCGCGCTTAAAACATGTCCGTCAAATGTGAAATGTTGGAACGCGTCTCAACGACACGTACCTTCTTTCTACTACCCAGCGTAGAAAATACTTCTTCCATTCAAACCGAATTGACGGTAATATGGCCGTATAAAAAAAATGTGTGTCACACAAGTATAATGTCAAAACCTTGTCAAATCACAATTTATCAATACGGTAAAATTATATAACATTTAAAATGTATAAAATATCATAGAAACTGTCCGGAGTATCCTTATAAATTATTAGTGCAAACATAACAAAATGAGTGATGAAAAATCAAAAGGAAAAGACGCACCGAAGCCACGTACGATACCCAAATACATGAACTTTATCATCGGAGGCACCGCCGGGTATGTACTCGGTATTACAACTAAATGCAACCTTCTTTATCTCGAAGGTAACTACAGTAAGTAGGTACCTAAGTAGGTAGGTAGTTGTATTAAAATTCAACTATTTAATGACCTCGTGAACTTTTACCTCACACCACAGCTATAACAACGCTTTAGGAATTTAGTTTTATGTACTAAACGAAATTGTGTCTAAATGAGCCCTTGAAACCCCTGTTATTTATTTCATTATCCGCATTTTCAGGATGATGGGTATTACTATAGTACAGCCAGCCGACTTGTTGAAGACCCGTATGCAGTTACTGGGTCCCGCTGGCAAAAACGCGTCGTTCGTGAAGGTTGCAGGTGATATCCTGAGAAAAGAGGGTATTCTAGGTTTCTACGTAGGTCTATCGGCTGCCCTGCTCCGCCAGGCCACTTACGGCACTGGTAGACTTGGCTGCTTCAATGCAATGTTCGACTGGCATAAAGCGTAAGTGTTCAACATCATCAACTGTTCTTCTAATCGTTGAACTTAAGGCCCGGCGCACACTATCGGTGGACATCGGTGCGGCTCGGTACAGCTCGAGCCCTTTACGCCGGCTTTGAGCGGCTTAGGGGTGCCTTAGAGCTCCGTCGGGCGACTTCGGGCGGCCTCGGCGACCGTAAGCATGGCTAAGGATGCCGAGTCGGTCTTCGGGTAGCTCGGGTGGCATTTTCGGATCAGACACATCGCAGAACAGTAATTTCGATCACCGCACACGCCCTCATTGTCGTATCGAACACTTGTACGTTTGCGGCTACTTAGACGCAAAATAACTTGGCAGCCCTGAACATAGGCTCTGCGAACTTCTGCGCATGTACATTCGTAAAGAACCAGATCAACCAAGGCTTCAACGTCTTCATAATCCATCCTATAGTAGTCGTAAAATTTGCGAACGTCATATCGTAAGTCATTAAACAAGTTATGAAATTCAACGAACGTACATCTTTCCTTCCAAAGCTTATTCACCCAAAATCTTCTTCTTTGTCTTAAGGCTCCAAGTTTCTCTTCTTCGTCAGCAAGATGAACAATGAGAACTAAGTCCCAATCCGACATTATAAATACACACACATAACTGTTATCACGGAACGTTACGAGTGACTGCTCTGCGATGTTTATGCAGCCAGAACTATTCTTAGGCTACCCAAAATCAGCTACGCCGTCCTTAGGCGTGTTTACGACTACCGAGGCAGCTCTCAGGCGCCAAAAGCCGCCCGAAGCCGGCGTAAAGCGCTCGAGCTCTACCGAGCCGCACTGATGCCCATCGATAGTGGGCGCCGGGCCTAACTAACAAATTCTAAAGAGCAACGTCTATTTTAGTAATCGCGGCGTTCCCAATTTTCCGACGAAGATCGCAATGGGTGTGGTTTCCGGTGCTTTTGGAGCATGGATAGGCACACCTGCTGAAGTAGCGCTTATTCGAATGACTGCTGACGGCAGGTTACCGCCAGAAAAGAAGAGAAACTATAAAAATGTATTCAACGCTCTCACCAGGTAGTATTTATCAATCATTCTTAATTGCCCCCTACCTACTCTACCTACCTACCGCTACATGGATTCGAAAAAGTGCTACCTATGCTCTGTGCCTATACTCGGAATTTTAATTCGATTCCAGATTTGACAATTTCAGTGTGGTAACGTTATGACAAGTACTAAATAGTGACGTTGCGAAATTATTCGATATGGAAATCCAATATTTCTGGATCGATTCTTCTCGTTTATAATAATTATAATTTTACTCTGGTGAACTAAGTATATCAGGAAATTAAATATTTCTGAACCGATAATTTAGTTTTGACGATTAATTAACGATCTGAGACGTTTCTTTTATAATTGTGTGTGAAATAAATAAAAAAATGTAATCATGAAGGAACATGACAAATAAAACAGATAGATGTATAATGGTAATAAGTTATTTTATAAATTGTCGCCGTCATCGCTATCGCTATCCTGTCACTTTCTGTAACATTTATTATAAAACACACACACTGATTGTTTATCGATTTTTGTGTGCATCACTACACTATTATATGTGGTATCATTATTTCACAAAATGACAGTAGCTATTGTCAAATCTGGAATCTAATTAAAATTCTGACTATAGTTACTTTATCTTACATCAATATAGGGTAACGCAAGAAGAAGGCATAACAACACTATGGAGAGGTGCCGGTGCTACTGTCAGCAGGGCTATGGTGGTCAATGGCGCCCAACTGGGCTCCTATTCCCAGGTACTAGAGACAAGTTTCTTCCAGTCTAGTTATTCACCAAAATATTGCGGTGGTCTCTTCTAACGTATGTCATCAATACAAACAATTCTAGGCTCGAGAAATTCTTCTGCCGTACATGTATGATGGCTTACCACTTCACGCAGCAGCAGCCATGATTGCCGGCTTCGTCACTACTATTGCCTCACTGCCCGTCGATATTGTAAAGACCAGGTATCAAGCTAGAGAACATTACCTATATTCGGTAGTTACCTAAAATAAATTAGGAAAAATATTGTTCACATTTACATAATTATGTAAGTATCATACATCTTAGAAGACATAGATCTTTCGTTGCTTGCTAGTAAACTGTTGATCTGTTCCATAGGTCTACTTTCCACCCATCTAGCTATAGCTAGATAATTGTTCTTTCCGCTGGGGTAATGCTTACATAACGTCTATAATTTATAGTCGGGTATGTCAAATGAGTATAGTGCTGCACGGCAACGGCAACTCTTCGGCCGCTCGGCCGCTTGTCTATGGGTAGACAAGCGGCCGATGAGTTACCGTGAAAATATTGTGGGCAATATTTATTTTTAAACATAATAAAATTTTTAGTTCCTCCTTTTTTTTTTTTCAAAATATATCTATCTATTTTTTTACTTGTGCATTAAGTACAGTGTGCTGAACTTTATTTTGTATTTCTTTTTCAGCATATTTTACGTGTCTTCCGTCCGTACGTCGCTGCAGGGGTGTCAACTGAAAATCAGTGTTGAGTACTTACTGTGCCCAACTTATAGGTACTCAAGAGGCAAACATTTTGTATTTTTTTACTTTTTGTTTGTAATATTTTTTTTTATAAATGGTACAATGTGCCTACCTGATACAATTTCTTTTTTGTTGTTATATTGTTGTTCTTACCTTCCTTTTATGCATACCTACAATATTATTGGGGCATCGTGCCTGGTGCCAAATAAATGATTTTTCTTTCTTTCTTTCTTTCTTTCCATTATACCTAATTCTCTAGACATGCCGTTTCATTCCACGGCTTGCCACAGCACGCCATTGCAACTCGTGAGCAAGGGCTAGTTTCTAGGCTGAGCAGCTTTCAGTAGAATGCCGCGGCATGCCACGGGATACCGCGGCGTGCTATGCCTTCATTGAGCGCCGGCTCTTACGTAACTGTTTGACGAGGTAATTCAGGTCAGGGGCTCATATCCTTGAACAGCATTTACTAATTCCTACCCGACGGCGACGACCGTCAGTCAGTTGGATATGCGACGTTCTGAGGCCTTAGTACCTACGAGTTTGTTTTACGTGTAAAGTAATCGTAACGAGTACGCGTTCGGCGCTCTGATTGGTTGGTTTATTGGCGCCGGCCAATCAGAGTGCCGAACGCGTACTAGTTTCGAATTTTGATCTTGAGTCGCCGTGCTTGAAAGTCCAGTTACCTACCTTCTTCGTCAAACAGTTACATAAATAACTAATTTCGTAACATTTTTCACCACATTTATGCTCTCTTTCCACCACTCAGAGTACAGAACGCAGAAAAAGGTACCGGCCAATTACAAGTTTTGAGGAGTGTCATCCGAAACGAAGGCGTCATGGCTCTCTGGAGCGGTATGATGCCGACCTACGCCAAAATCGGACCTATGACTATACTCATATTTGTATTCTTAGAACAGCTCAACAAACTGTACCTCCACGTAACAAGTTGAATGTAAATTGAAGTGGCCGTGGTTGTCAAGAGAATGAAGAGTGAAAATCGGCCTTAGTACCAGTTTGATACGTTTAAAGCATTCGAAACGAGTATGCGTTCGGCGCTCTGATTGGCCGGCACCAATGAAGCAACCAATCACAGCGCCGAACGCGTACTTTATTTTATTTTATTAACGCTTCATGCACAAAGTGTACACAAGGTGGACTTAATGCCGCAGGCATTTTCTCCCAGTCTGACCTTTGGGTGATGCAGAGAAGAGTGAATGGTAGGAGCAAGAAGCAAGCAACGATTTAATTGAGAAAATAGAAGATTACACTAACATATTTCAAATATGAACATAAATAAATATAATAATCTATATATATAAAAGTAAGTCGTGTTAGTTACACTATTTATAACTCAAGAACGACTAAATCGATTTGGATGAAAATTGGCGGGGAGGTAGCTTAGAACCAAGAGACGGACATAGGATACTTTTTATCTAAATTTTTTTTTTATTTACTTTTACCGAAAATCACAAACGGGAACGGGGGGAAAATGGGATTGCGCGTACGAAGTCGCGAGCAGAAGCTAGTAATATATATACCTACACACGAGTACACTACAATATACATACATACATACATACATAGACTCATAGCATATAATATAAATATGAACATAATTACTAATACTCTGTAAATAATTATTGTGATGATTCAGCCGTACTCGTTACGATTACTTTAAACATGAAACAGATTCGTACTAAGGCCTCTGTTACTTTAATATTATAAAAAGGTACGTTTCAAACGTTGTGTTGTTGTAGTGATCATCTTACTATCTTACTAAAGTTAAATGCGAAAGTTAGTGAGTTTGTATAAATGTTTGTTACTTAATCACGTGAAAATGTCTGAAGGGATCGGAATGAAATTTGACAGAAGCTAGTTTCTAGTAACATACAGCTTCTCACGTAGCTTTCTGCCTCGCACAGCTGTGGAATGATCTGTCGTCGGTGGTATTTCCAAACTGATACGACCTTCAAACCTTCAAGAAAAGAGCGTATTCCTTTTTAAATGGCCGGCAACGCACCTGTGACTCCTCTGGTGTTGCGGGTGGTCGTTTACCATCAGGTACATCTGCGCGTTTGCCTCCTATTCCATAAAAAAAGCTAACGATCGCTATACAGGAGTCAGGAAGTACCTAAGCATATCTATTAATTACATTACAATTTAGAAGTAGAACTGAATTATACGCCTTAAGTGTTTGTTCTGTGTATTTCTGATCAGTTTATTTTTATAACGATATTGTATTTTTTAAGGCAAAGTTTACAAATAAACCATTTTTACATATTGCACTAGGTGTTTCAGTTTATTGAGAAAATGAAACACAGACACCCTTTAATCTATCTATCTCTCTACATATAAAAATGGAACCAGTTTCCCGTTGTCTGATTTGATATTGTCAGGAGAAGGTTCTTATGACAGAAAAAAATCTTGAAAATCGTACGGGAGCGGGAGAAAACGGTATCGCGCGTACGAAGCCGCTGGCAGAAGCTAGTCTAGGTACTTATCTATATAAATAAAAATGAATTTCCGTCATTTTCCATTCGTTAGTCTCGATAAAACTCAAGAACAGTTGAACTTAAGTGTGGGAGAGCCATGCTTCGGCACGAATGGGCCGGCTCGACCAGAGTGATACCACAGCCTCACAGAAAACCGACTTGAAGCAACGCTTGCATTGTGTTTCGTCGTGTGAGTGAGGTTACCGGAGGCCCAATTACCCTCCCCTTCCCCAATCTCTCCAATCCCTGAATCCCCAACGATCCTCAAACTCCTAATCCCCAAAATGCCGGTAACGCACTTGTGACGCCTCTGGTGTTCCAGGTGTCCATGGGCGACGCCGATAGCTTGCCATCGGGTGATCTGTCTGCTCGTTTACCGGCTTAGGCCATAAAAAAACTGATTTGGCTAATTTTGATCTTGAAATGTTCGTGGAAGTGCAGGAAAGGTTCAGAGGTGAGAAAAAATGTTTTAGGCGGTACGAAGTGTGCCGGAACAGCTAGTCTGACATATATATTTCTTACCATTAACACAAAAACTTATGATATTTTAACCCAGGCCCATATAAATCTTCTACTTCGGATAGTGACCCTTAACACGCGAGGCGAGTGAGCGAAGCGATCATGCCGCGGGAGTAGCCTCCGAGTACCACACCAATTTTTTTTTAGATTTCTAAGCATTTCAATTAGCTTTTGACTGTTTTGAGGTAAAAATATGAAAACTCGTTTGTCGAAAACGCTAAGTTACCATAACTTGAGAGTAAGTGGAGTAAGGGAGGAGGGGTAGGTATAGATAGGAGGGGAAGTCCTTTCTTCGAAGAAAGAAGAAAGAAAGAAAAAATAAACTTTATTTCACGCCAAAAAACAAGTGACATATACATAAAAGCCATTGCATTAGTAGGTAATGATGGATACATGTTCATGTCCCATGTCTGCCGCGAAATGGTTCTGTATGAAAGCGATATGTATTCTTTTAAAAGGTTTTTTTTTATATTGTAATGCAGTATGTAGGTGTAATTGGTAAGCACTAACATGTTATGTTATTAGTCCTATGTATTTACGAAATTTCGTTTGTCTCTCACTTTGTTCGTGGGGAATGTTATAATATAATGGACAAAGTTTCTAGTTTTTAGGTAACCATAGTTTGTCTTTGCTGCGAGTGACAGCTTGAGTTGGCTGTCGCTTTATCAAAGGCAGGTCCAAGGTAGGCAGGAGATCGAGACTGTGAATTCAAAGAATCAGAGTGCCAAGCACGAATAACCATCTCATTCATAACGTAATAGTATCGAGCGCGTTTGGGGCTCCGATTGGTTGGTTCACTGGAACCGGCCAATCAAATCAGGGGGCTTACTCTTGAATATAATTCCGATCGATCGACATTGGTATTGTGAAATTTTGTACTCTTGAATTGCGACACTAGCGCCCATCGCATCCGTATTGAGTGAATATTGAATAGACTAAATGGTATTGAGTTTGACTTTATATTCCGTACTCTGAATGCTATTGTAACAGCTACGACAGGAGTTGTATAGTGTTGTCATTGAATAATTATTGAGATTTTATTGGATTGAAATTACATTGACATTGAGATTGGTTTCAAGAGTAAGCACCCAGGGGTTTTCAATTATGGCAGTCTATGACCGAATGGCCCAGCGATATCCTTCTAGGCCCTAGGTATGCCCTAGATTATATGGGGTACCTGATTTTCCCGTTTAAGAGAACGTGTGGTTTTAGTCAGTTCTGATTTGACACACCTACTCCACCGCTGGCACTAGTTAAGCTATTAAAATGTAATTGGTGAATATTTCAGGAGACCAGGACCTCGGTAGACCAGGACTTCATTGAGGAGTGGCAGTGGTGATCTAATTTGCGCTGCAGACCAGACCACTTAGGAAACTTTAATTGCGTCTTGCGTCCCCTTAGTTTCCGGCAAATACTACTACAGTATACTGGCTGGTCTCCGGAGACGAACAAGACACACTCAGATATTACGTCACTGGTATTTAGGTCGTTATGTTGCAAATGCTTTTCAGCATCGCACCTTCTTTATTCCTTACCGTAGGATACACTTCTGCCATTCAACCGTCACAGATAATCACTAAAATAGAAAAAAAAGCAAATGACAAATCACAAATCACAACTCATCAATACGATGAGATTACAAAACGTTTTTTAATTAAATGTACAAAATGTTATAAAAAAATATCCGAAATATTCTTCTAAATTATTCGTGTAAACAAATAACACAAAAATATTACAAAATGAGTGGTGATAAAAAAGGAAAAGATGCACCGAAGCCACGTACGATACCCAAATACATGAACTTTATCATTGGAGGCACCGCCGGGTATGTACTCGTTCTTACAACTAAATGCGAGCTTCCCTATCTCGTACCATACCCACGTACCTAGGTATTGCAGTATCTGCATAAGTAGGTAGGTAGTTAATATTAAAATTAAACGCCTGTGAGGCCTTTAGCCTTAGGTCATCTAAGGCTAAAGGCTCTCCTTCCTCCCTATCCTCACAGCCACACAAGATTTTTTCTAAATAGCCCTTGAAACCCCTGTTAGTTATTTCATTATCCGCATTTTCAGGATGATGGGTATTACTATAGTACAGCCAGCCGACTTGTTGAAGACCCGTATGCAGTTACTGGGTCCCGCTGGCAAAAACGCGTCGTTATTGAAGGTTGCAGGTGATATCCTGAGAAAAGAGGGTATTCTAGGTTTCTACGTAGGTCTGTCGGCTGCCCTGCTCCGCCAGGCCACTTACGGCACTGGCAGGCTTGGCTGCTTCAATGCAATGTTCGACTGGCATAAAGCGTAAGTGTTTAACATCATCAATCATTCTTCTAATCGTTAAACTTAAGTAACAAATTCTAAAGAGCAATTTCTATTTCAGTAATCGCGGCGTTCCCAGTTTTCCAACGAAGATCGTAATGGGTGTGGTTTCCGGTGCTTTTGGAGCATGGATAGGCACACCTGCTGAAGTAGCGCTCATTCGAATGACTGCTGACGGCAGGTTACCGCCAGATAAGAAGAGAAACTATAAAAATGCATTCAACGCTCTCACCAGGTAGTATTTATCAATCATTGTTAATTTTATATAATAAGTATGTTTAATTTCTACAAACACATTGGATACGACACCGTACCTACACCGTACATCCATGGAGAGGTAGGTACCGCTACATGGATTCAATAAGAAAGGGTTGTGATGGTGCTCTATATTTATTTTATTTGTCTTTCATTAACATAGAATAACGCGAGAAGAAGGCATAACAACACTATGGAGAGGCGCCGGTGCGACTGTCAGCAGGGCTATGGTGGTCAATGGCGCCCAACTGGGCTCCTATTCCCAGGTACTAGAGAAAAGCTACTTCACATAATTATAGAGTTTTCACGTCTTTAAGCAGCAAAGTACAATATACCTCGAAGCGCTCACTATTAGCCTAGTTATTT